TTTTTTTTTTTTATATATATATTACATGGCGCGCCGTCTCGTTTAAAAGAAGTACAAAGAAATGTACACAAGAAAAACCACATCTTCATTTTCTCCTTACAAACTCTAGGACGTATTTACAACAGTTATATGTACAAACGCAACACACTCGCAACGCACACATTCGCTCCATATCTCTCTCTCTCTCTCTCTCTCTTCTATATATCGACTTAAGAAAAATATTAACATGGAACAGTGTAGCATTGTTTTTGTTTGCTTTTTTTTTTTTTTTTTATATATTCTTCTCACTTGTGAAAAAGAAAGAAAAAAGAAAGAAAAAAGATTCTAGATTCATCATGCCCAAAAAAAAGCAACGATTATTATCTGATCGGTTTGGTAACAGAATGTCGTCGTGTCGCATCGGGGAAACAAAACTCGTCGCACTACGTCAAACTATCAATCGCAGTAATCGTCGTTGTTCTGAACGATACCGTGTTTCTTCCGACAGTCCGGACAGTACCACTTGCCCCTGGGCGGCACCATTATGCCAACGCACTCGAAGTGAAACCACTCGATGCGGCAGTTCGCCCCGTCGCACGCTATCATCTCGGACATCTCGTCGTACGGGCACCGACAGTAACAATACTTGGTGACATTACTGTTCCGTTCGCCGGTGGTCGCCGCGCCGTCTTGAACGACGGTCGAGGTCTTGATGCCGGAGGTCCTAGTGGGCGCCTGTTCCGTCTCCGCCTCGGATTCGCTGCTGTCGCTGCTGCTCTCGCCCGGATCGTCGGATTCGGTGGCGGACGCGGCGACCGGCAGCGTCTCCGGTAGAGGCGCCTGCTGGATGCTCGTCGCCTGTTCCGGGGGAAACAATCTGTTGCCGTACGACGGAGGCGGTGCGACGGACTTGGCGCTGAAGGTGATTTTCGGCGGTGCCACCGGTTTATTCGGATTATTCGCCGCGGGCGTTGCGGCAGTAGGTAGTGGCGCGAAAGCCGGGATGGTGGTTACAACGGCGTCGTTTTTGCGCCACCTGCCGAACGACTGCTGCTTCTCGTGCGGCTCGTCGTCGCTCGAATCACCGTAGAAACGCTTCGGCACGCGTTTTCTCTTCGAGACTCTTTTGTTCTCGATTTGTTCAGGCGTGGCGCTGTTCTGATTCATACTGGCGATATTAGCGGCCGACGACACCTGTTGCTGCTGATGATGCATCATGTCCATTGTGGTGGTCACACCGCCGCCGTACAGATCATTGCAGGTAGACAGCAAGTTCGGCGTCGATGACCTGCTGCCGGGATGCATCGGTGTCGACGTAGCGAATCCTGGATTCTTCTGATAAAACGTCTTGGGAATGTTCAGCTTGATCGACTCCGGAGTCGCCGCGCTTGTCGCGTTACGTTTGCTATTGCCGACCCTTTCGCCTTTCCGTCGTTTCTTCGTCTTTATCTTTCTCTTCTGCGACGACTGCTGCTGCTGCTGCGCTGGTCGCTGATCCTCAACGCTCGTCGCTATCGATTCCGTGTTCACAATTCCGTTGTTCAGCGGCGTAAGTGGCTGTTGCGACGCGAGCGTTAACGCCGTGGACGTCAACGCGGGCGCGACGGACGCCAACAACTGATTGCGCTTCTCCGTCAGAATTTGATCGGCGTGCAACTTCGGATTCTCGTCGTAAAAGTCCTCGTCCGTCTCGGTTTCCTCGGTCTCCAGATCGGATTCCCGCAGCAACGGTTTCGGCGGTGGCGCCGGAGGCTCGCTCGTCACTTCAAGAAGCTTCTCGGCACTGTGTTCCGTCGTGACTTCCGTCGTCGGTTTGGTCTCCGGCTCGACTGACTGCGACTTGTTCTCCCGCGAAGTTTCCTTCTCCTTCTTCCGTTCCTTCTGATCGCCGGATCGCTTCTTCGACGAGCTCTCGGTGGAACTGTCCGAATCGGAGCTGCTGTCGGACGAGCTGCTGCCGGACGAGCTGCTGCAGCTGCAATTGGAACTGCTGCAAGCGCTCGAGTCGCTGTCGCTCGAAGAACCGCTGTCCGCATTGCGGTTGGGGCTGGCGGTGGGTGACGGGGTCCTCGCAGAGGACTTGGCGTTATTCCGCTGTTCGTCTTTCGCGTCGTTGTCCTTGGCGGCGGTCGCTCCGTCTTCTCCGGCTTTCTCCGGGTCCGAATAGACCACGCAATAGTCGTGATCTATCAGAATGATGCTCCTCAGATACGCGGCGTCGGTTTCCGGCACGCTCTCCTTCAGCGCGACGTTCTTGGCCGACTCCTCGACGTCCAAGCTGGCGGCGTACGTCTTAAAATTGTCCCATATACCGTCCATAATGCGCGCCTCTTTCTTCTTCTCCTCCTCGTTTCGTTCCATCTCGTCGGCCATGTCCTCGTTGATCGTGCCGGCGGCGTCGTCGTCATTTACGCCGATCTCCTCGACGGTTTTGCTCGTCTCCGCGGTCGTCTTCTTTTCCTCGCCGCTTTTTTCATTCTCCGTCGGTTTGTCCGCGGTCGTCTTCCCGTCCTCGGTGTCCGTGTCGCTCTCGGACGACAAATTGAGCGGCGGCAAGTCGTAAACGTCGACCACCCTTTTCACAGCCTCGGGTTTGGCAGTCTCGACGATTCCCGCGGTCGCCGCTGCGCTGTCGGTAACCGTCAACAACGCGTTACCTTTGTCCACTTCCTCCTTGTCCGTCGAAACGTTGACCACGTCAACGTGAATCTTCTCCTCCTTGTGAGCTTCCTGATGCTTGGCCAAGAGCTTTCGCGATATGAAACGCTCGTTGCACTCGTCGCAGCCGTACGGCAGATCGCCGGAGTGAAGTCTCTTGTGAACCTTGAGCGCGACCGCGCGACTGAAACTTACGCTACACTCGTCGCAGACGAAAGCCGTGGGCGGTATGCAAAAGTGATAAATGTGCGGCCACTTCTTCTGCAAGCACTTCCGACAAAGCACGCTCTCGGTTCCGTGTTTCCAGAACAGATGCTTCGTGATGTCCGGTTTGTTGCGATAAGTAATGTCGCATCTGTGGCACATGTGATTGAGCTTGTGCTTCCAAACGTGATTCGAGAGACGCTGCTGATTGCCGGTCGCCTCGAGACAAACGTCGCAGATGTGGTGACGCTTGCGCAGATGAACCATAAGCCGGAACGCCGACGGGAGAGTCGCAACCGTGCAGAAGCAGCACCGGTAACGCAACGTGACCGTTTCCGACGAGTAAACGCCCGGACACAAATGGCACAAAAGCTCGCTGTAACTGTAGAACGTCGACTTGCACATTATGCAGATCAGTATCGGCTTCTGATGCATCTTACGATTATGCAGATAGAGTTCCTTGTGCACCGCGGTGTGAAATCTGCAGTGGAAACACTCGTATATCAGTACGGCGGGCACGTTGTACGTTCCGTTCGTGGTGTTGTACGTGCCCAGATTGAAGTAATGATCTTCGAGCTCGTCGAGCGATCTCTTCACGCGCGCGGTGAACTGTTCCGCGTGTATTATTATCGCGGGATGCTGCGGTTGGAATTTGTGCTCCGCCAGCATGTGCAGACTTAGTTGCTTGCCGTTCACGGCTATGTGTCGCGCGTGATTGCAATAAACGCAGAAGGGACTGGCGGTTTCTATGCAGCGCTTCAGAAGGTCCTCCAGTTCCATGCTGTCCAGAGTGCCTTCGATGTTCAGATCGATATACGGTGCGTCCTCGCCGGCCAACGCGATGCCACTGTTGTTGTCGCCGATCGGCTGGCCGCTCGGTTGGTCGTTCGCGATCAAATCCGTTCTTTCTTCCACGTTGTTACCGATTGTTTCGCCGACGTTGTCGCTCGGAGCGACTGTTTCCGCGATGCTGAACGTCCCGTCGTTGCTCGCGCCAATCACGATTCCGTCCGTCTCTTCCTGATTCACCTCCTCCTCGTTTTTTGCATCGTATTTATCTTTCTCATTCTCCTCTTCCGCCTCTTCGCTCTCCTCGGGATTGCTATCGACCACCGCGAGTTTGTCGCTGTCGGAATCGCTGTCGTCCAGCTCGATCGCCTGATCGCTCATGATGTCTCTCACCTTTTCCGAATCGTTCGACATTTCCTTCGATGTAGATCCCTCGGCGTTGTTGTTCTCTTCGGATTCCTTGCTCGGGACGGCCGTCGCGACGGTGAACTGCGAGTTCCTGCTGCAGATCTTGATGACCAAACTCCTGTCCGAAGGAGCGGTGGCGTTGAACGAGACCGAGGCTTGAGATTCGACTGTGCTCGACGTAATAGGTTTCTCTTTCTCTTTCTCTTTTTCTTTTTCTTTTTCTTTCTCTTTCTCTTTCTCTTTCTCCTCCTCCTCCTCCTCTTCCTCGTCCTCTTCCTCATCCTCTTCTTCCTTATCGACGCTCTCGTAAGTCTCCTTCTCTTTGGATTGCGAATCCGAGACATGAGACTCGTGTTGCGGGCTGAACAACGATCGGGGAACTGGACTTTGACTTTGCGCGTCCTGCGGGCTGTCGTACGATCGAAATCCGGATTCAGTTCCAGGTTCGCACGTGGTGTTCGATTTTGCGTCCACTGTCGCGACCTCCTCGGCCTCCGATCGTTCCGGACTGGGCGCTTTCGAGCTGGTTGAGCAAATCGGATCGATGTCGCTTTTGTCGCACGTCTCCTCGTCATCTCCGACGATCGTCTTCTCGACGTTCGACCCACGCACGTTCGTGTACGCCGGATTCTCGTCTCTCTTCTCCGCCTCGTCCGTCGTGTGTATCGCTCGCGACACCTCCATGATGGTTTGGGTCACGCTGTCGTAAGGTTCGTTGCGATCGAGCTGGCAGTTCTGCATCGGCGACTTTTCCACCGATCCCTTGTCGTAACTTCCGCACAACACATCCTTGTTCATCGCCTGTTCGTCATTTTCGTCGTTCTCGTCGGACGAGTCGACCTTGTACCTGGACACTTCCATTATCGTCTCGGTGATCGTGTCTCTGGGTAGATTGTTGGCGACTTCTTTTTGAACGTCGGTAACGAGCTGACTCTCGTTGCATCGGGTTGCTTTCGAGTTGCTGAGCTTTCTCCCAAGTGTGTTTTGTTTTTGCTGACGAAGATTCTGCGCACCGTCAGCTCTGTGCTTGTCTCTGTATTTCATTTCTTTTCTCGGCAAACCTTTGCCACCGAGACGCGCGGTTTTCTCCGGTAAAGGTACGGTCGCCGGCGATTCGCTGTCCGCGCGCGTCGTGTCCGCGATTGACAGCGGCGTCGCGGTGCCGCTCAATTCCTTGTCCGTGTCCGACGACGCCGACGCCGCCGCCGTCGCTGCCGCCGCCGCCGCTGCCGCTGCCGCTGCCGCGAGATTGCAAGTGGCCGCATGAGTGCCGGTCTGTCGGCATATGGTGCACACCGACGAGCCGGTATCGGCCACGTCCTGCTTGATCGGCGGACAATAATGATTGTAAAAATCATCAGTTTCCGAAAAGTCCTTCTCGCAGGTGCAACAGACCAGATAGCACGAGCCTTTGAAAGTTTTGTAAAAATCCTCGACCGAGTCGAACGTCATCTCCGGTACGCTGTGTTTCTTCAGCAAATGATAGGACAGTCTCTCCGCCTGGCCGAACATACCCAGACAGAATAGACATATGTGGCGCTTGTGTATGTCCCTCATGTGGAGAAAGAGATTCCAATTCTCGAAGTACGTGCCGCACGCCGAGCACAGATATACCTTTCGCGTGATCTTGAAGTTGCTGGCCACGTGCGGTGGCACGGAGGTGCCACCCGACTCGGACGTGCTGGGCATGGGGGCCATGCTGAAATTGCAAGAGCACGAGTTCGGTCTCGAATTTGAGCCGCAAACCGTACCGCACTTGGAGCATTTGTATTTCGTTGATGGTTGCAAACCAAGATACTGAGCGTACTCCGCTATCTTACGCTCTCGCTTCCCCTCCGTCTTCTTGTCCTTGCCCTTTGCATTGGGATGCGTCTGTTGTTGCTCCTGTTGTTGCGCGCTGGTTTTCAACCGAGCGGGATGAATCTCGCGGGTCTGGGCCAATATGCGCTTCTTGAAACCCTTGAACGGGAACTTGGGACTGCTCGTGACCGTGTTCTTGGCCGGTGAATCCCTTCCTCTGACCGAATTGTAGTGCAGCAATTGATTATCCTCAATCACATCCGTGTATATGTCGTCAATGGAATGTTTCGTCAATGGACTGCTCAATGTGGGATCTTTGAGCTGTTGCTCGTCTAAGATGTTCCACATATCTAAATCTTTGCTCTCACCATCCTCATCTTCCATAATAGTGCGCACTTATATAGAGATTCACCTGGAAAACACGCAAATTGCACATTGGTACACTTACGTCACATGCGTGAGGGGGGAAATTAAAAATTTTACTCTAGCTCAACGCGAGAGAAATGTTTAATTTACGTGACGCGCGCGCACAAACCAATTGTGTGAATTACGCACATTTTTTTGAACTCCGATTAGCAAGAGCGAAGAAACGTGTCGTCGATTTTATTCGTTGAGACAATTCCGACGGGACTTCGGAACAAACCTTGTCGAGTGAAGTTGTCCATGAATGAAAGCACTCTCTCTTGAACGCAGATATGAGCAATGGCGTTTTTGCGAATATACACCGGTGTAAACTGTATTAATAGAATCCCAATCTCGCGAACGTCGAGAGATCGTCGCCAATGCAATGATTTGATTACGTCGTAGAGCGCGCGCACGTGATGCCACCAAAAGTTCGGTTGGTCTTTGCCGTATTCCTTTTGTTTCGATTGCTTCGCCGTTCGCGAAACTTCGCAGGTTACAAAAATTGTGACTCAAGAGACTCGGCAGTAGTCACCTGTTACTCGCGCGAAAAAACTCGACGACCTCGCGACGCGTCACGACGATCGCCACAATTGAGCAAAAAGCTTAAAAAGCGAAGAGAGCCCCCCCGAGATTAGAGAGGAGACAAGTCCCGACCCGCGTTGCGTCTATATATAATCGCCGGTGTAACGCGCAACACACGGACCGAATCCTGTGGCACGAAAATCGCGACGGTCTCGATCTTTATTCGCGAAACGAAGCTTCCTCGACCGTCTCCCGGAGAGACGGGGAAACGACGCGCGGTCGACAAAGGCGTAGTTTATCGAAGTCTCGTTTCGTCTGTGCGATCGTCAAGGGACGAAAACGCGTTTCGCGCTTACGGAACGAGAACGTCGATCTCGCGCGCCGGGGTCTTTTCGCCGCGGGAACTTACTTATCTTCGTTGAGTTGCGGAGCGACGTCGGGCGTCGCCTGAGCGACAATGCGATCGGCTGCTTGGTCTGCGACACGTAGCGCTTGGCGTTTCGGCGCCTCCGACTAACTGGCTGCGATGCGCGACGGAAAGGTTAGTAAAATGGCGTCATATCAATTGAGCACCATCCGAGCACCTCCAACACGTTTCCTCAGTGATGCCACCTTTCGTCGCGAGCACCGTCGTGTCTCCGTCCGTGACAGACCGCGAGATACAGAGAAGGAGGTTAGCTCGCGCGAGTTTTGTTGTTGTGATACACACACGAGAGACGGCGAGATCGCGCAGCCGACGATACGCCAATTTGCGAGAACGTCGGCCCCGCGGTTGCGAATTCAACCCGGGACGAGCCAGTCGCGAAAGAAAGACACTCCGCGAAATGACGAACCCGCGAATGATGTGATCCCGCGAACGTCGAGTTCGCCGCTCAACGTTCAGGACCGCGAAAACTCAACCAACTGACGACGCGATCGCATCTCTCGCGTAAATATACACACACTCAGCATATCGCCCGCGTGCTCCATCCCCACCTATTGGAGGATTTTTTTTTATTGTCGCACCGAGAGACCGACTGGTGGCGGGCGAATCTCTCGCGACGATTTTTAAGTTCGGTTTTCATTGCGGCCGCTTCGATCGCACGATAACGTTTTCCGGGATTGGCTCCGATAACGCAGTTTGTGATTGGTTGATCGAATACAGCGTGTGTGTTCACGTTTCTGGAGTACGTTCCAAAATCTTACCTCGGTAACCGAAAACTATAGTACACGTGACGCAAAATATAGCATTTTAAGTAACCAAAGTAGGATTTTGGAACGTACCCCTGTAAGGGGTAAGCGAAACACCGCGATGTGAATCTACTCGTGAATATGCGGAGAGTGTTCTTGAGTAGTTGATTTACGCAATTTATTTTTATATTTGCAAAAGCAAGCAACTGAGAATTATGGAGGACAAGAAAATCACTTGGCAAGACTTGGTAAGTATCCACGCGGTATATGTAACGAACGGTGTATAAAATTTTGTTAACATTTTTCAATCTTATAACCTCCTCACCTATAAGCGCTCACACATCGCGAATACGAACCTGCACGTGCTCGTAAAAATTAAACCACGCAAATTTATAATTGAGCAAAATCTGTGTGATTTCGTAAATGATTTCTCAAGTAAATGATGTGATAAATTGTTTTTCTTGGACGTGAAATTTTGAGGTTGTTTAATAATAAATAATTTATATGTAATAAATGATATTATTCAGGGACTTGTTGACATACTTTGCAAAGTGTGTGTTGATTTAAAATGGATCACACCTACCAAAATTCAACAAGAAGCTATTCCCTTGACACTTCAAGGTGAGTTTTTGTTGTTTTTGTGATTAAAATTTTTAGAGAAAAGAATATTAATATCTACTTTTATAATCAACAGGCAAAGATGTGATAGGATTGGCAGAAACTGGATCGGGAAAAACTGCAGCTTTTGCGTTGCCTATACTGCAAGCATTATTGGAGAATCCACAGAGATACTTTGCGCTTGTATTGACCCCTACAAGAGAATTGGCGTTTCAAATTTCAGAGCAATTTGAAGCTCTAGGTAAGAATCATCTTGTAGTCTGCTAAAAGTGCTTGCATATCACAAGGTTTTATTTCAGGTTCCGATATGGGAGTGAAATGCGTGGTCTTGGTTGGTGGGATGGACATGCACTCACAGGCACTGATGCTAGAAAAGAAGCCTCATATCATCATTGCTACACCCGGCAGATTAGTTGATCATTTGGAGAACACCAAAGGCTTCAATTTGCGACAGTTAAAATTTCTGGTGACGATATATGACGTGCAAGTTTGACAATTTTGTTTGTAATTCTCTCGATTCTAACGTGTTTGATTTTCTTTAACCAGGTCATGGACGAGGCGGATCGCATTTTGAACATGGATTTCGAGGTTGAGGTTGATAAAGTTCTCAGAGTGATACCGCGCGAGAGAAGAACGTTGCTGTTTTCCGCTACCATGACCAAGAAGGTGCAAAAGTTGCAACGCGCGTGCTTGAAAAATCCTGTGCGCGTTGAAGTTTCCACCAAGTATCAAACTGTGGAAAAACTGCAGCAATATTACATATTTGTCCCAGTTAAATTCAAGGTACAATTTTACACTGTCGCGTTTGTCGCGGTACATGTCACCAGAAAATAAATTTGTGTAATAACTCTGGCAGGACGTGTACCTGGTGCACATCTTGAATGAACTGGCCGGCAACAGCTTCATGATATTCTGCGGAACCTGCAACAACACATTGAGAACCGCTCTCTTATTGCGAAATCTGGGATTCACGGCGGTCCCGTTGCACGGACAGATGTCGCAGAACAAGAGAATAGCCGCGCTCACGAAATTCAAAGCCAAGAACAGATCCATTTTGATCTCGACGGACGTCGCTAGCAGGTCCGTCTGCGAAACATCGCAGATATGCAAAGAGTTGCGCGCGCGCGCAAATGTGTGCAAAATGTTTAATTGTGTATTTTTGTGTATTTTATTTTGCAGAGGTCTCGATATTCCACACGTGGACATTGTCATCAATTTCGACATTCCTACACACAGCAAGGATTATATACACAGAGTAGGTCGAACTGCGCGTGCAGGTCGATCGGGTCGTTCCATCACCTTCGTCACGCAATACGACGTGGAACTATATCAACGCATAGAACAGTTGATATCCAAACAACTGCCGTTATATCCCACGGAAGAGGAGGAGGTGATGTTGCTGCAGGAGAGAGTGAGTGAGGCACATCGAATAGTCAAAATGGTAAGAAACGAGTGTTTGAAACATTTGACGATTGACACGTATGCGACGACGTGAAACATTTTTATCTGTTTTTAGGAGATGAAAACCATCGAGGAGAACAAAAAGTCGGGTAAGCGAAAACGCGGCGGCGGTGGCGGCGACATCGACGACGACGACACAGAACAGTCTCTTGGTGTAAGAAAACGAATAAAAGGCAAAACCAAGAGAAAGTGACGTTAGTCAATGAGGTACGTCGCCGATATATTGATTGTAACTTTAATAATTTATATTGTAATAAAGTCATCTTTTGCCGTCGTAAAACCTTGGACGTAATTCGGAAATTTGTTTATACAAAGGTGGTAAGGTTCTTCCTGTAAAGATATTGAAATAATTAAGGCTCAGCAATAAGGCAAACGTTGTACTGAAGAAATTAGTACTGTATTTTTAACAGACTCATAGTCTTTTGCACAGAGCAGTATTGGTATTTAAATATCACTCAAATAATCACAATAAAATATATTATTAAGAGTAAAATCACAATTTTTCTTTATCAGTGTGTGATGGACGCCTTTGGGGGGAGGAAAAATTAACGAAGCATCGAAGACAAAAACTTGTTATTATATCAAACGGAGGTCTTTCCCCTTTTTCCATTCTTTCTTCTTTTTTTTTTTTTTTGTTTTTTTTTGTTTTTCCACGCTTTCTACTACCTCGAGTGTTATCACAAAAAAGCAGAATTGTTCTTGCTTATTGAGAGAAATGCAACAAAGGAAAGCACGTTTTGCTGCTACAGAAGAATGTTATGTAACATGAGTTATAAGGATCGTTATGTATGTACAGCTTTTATACGCTACTGTAAAATCGATAATTGATTCATTTGTCTTCATCACAAAACTCTCTTTCTCTCGTTCTCTCTCTCTCTCTCTTTCTCTCTCTTTCTCTCTCTCTCTTTCTCTCTATAGAAAATCAGCAACCGGCGTTGTACAAGTCTTTGTAGTACAAAATACGATACAAGGAAACGCACGCGGAAACGTGAGCTTCTCTCAAATTTACAACTACGATGCATCGTCTAATCGCTAAAGAGATTATTTAATCGTATAAAGTGGCAACAGATCCTTATTTTGTGGTTAATGCTTAGCGGCGTATAATAGAGTCGCGTATCACAAAACTTAATTAGATATAAATCGTGCATTGGAGAATTCGTATTATGTATATGTGTATATATTTTTTTTTTTTTTTTTTTTTTTTTTTTTTTTTTTTCGGTGCCCTGTCGCTATTGTCGTTGCGANAGTCGCGTATCACAAAACTTAATTAGATATAAATCTTGCATTAACGATTTTGTATTATTTATTTGTGTTCATTATTTTTTTTTTTTTTTTTTTTTTTTTGCTTTTTTTTCGGTGCCCTGTCGCTATTGTCGTTGCGAGAAACGCTAATTAAAAATGCTTGCAAAACTGATTTTTTTTTAGTTATTGAGTGATCATCAATCACGCATCTAACTCGATTATTCAAAATGCAAGCTGTTAAGGAACACAAGGTGAGAAAAGCATTAATCGGTGAGATTTATGCGGTCGGAATAAAAAATTTTTTCTCATCCCGAACATGCCGAGACACTGAGAAGTTCTCATTATCATAACGCTGTACACACCTCGTAAATAGTTCGTCACGATATATCTTACATATATATCGCATTCTGTTCTGTCTTTACACATACGTGTGACTCTTCTAAAAAAAAAAAAAAAATCCCCCATAAAAAACAACCTAAAGTAAAACGCGAGAAATGCGTGTGTGTCTCATGCAAATAATATCGATCTCCGCAACATCTCTCTGCAACAAGAGATGTGATCTGCTTAGAAATATACATGGTGTATACGCTACGCTTTTTTTATCGACAATTAAATCTTTTTCTTCTCTAAATCCCGCGCTAAACAAATTTTTTGTATGAGAATCTCAAACTTAATTAGTATTACTAGGGAGGGATGTCATACATATCTAATCTCGTTGTCGAAGGTTCTTTTTGCGATAGCGCGTCCAGTTTAGAGAGTCTCTTCGATTTTCGATGTGTGTGTGTGTGTGTGTGTGTGTGCGCGCGTGTGTGCGAAATTATTTATTCTCATATCGGGAGAAAGATATTACTCTCGCGGCACAAACGATTATTGATCTCAAAATAAAAGAACGAGTGTCGATTGTAAAATTCGATTGAAAGTGTTGTAAAATTTTGCTTCAAAAACAAAACAAAAACAAAACAACTGATAAAAAAAATAGACAATAAGATATACAGTTTTTATTGTGGCTGTAATATATTAATAAATATATAATATCTCTTCTCTCCATTTTCTCTCAACATATTACTACAAACAAATGACGTTCATATATCTCACTAAAGTTATTTTTTTTTTTTCTTACATCAGCGGTAATTGAGATTTTTTCTTCGGAGTATTGTGTAAATGCCATGCTACAACATCACTCAGAAAAATGATCCGACATGATCGGTGATCAACGGTAATAAATAAATTCGCACGCGCTGATTTGGTTTTTTTTGTGTGTGTAAACTGCCTTCTGTTGTATCTCATAATTCTCGATAAAACAATAATGCATACGTGTATGCGCGATCAACAATGATGAACGTCGATTATCGACGGGCGTAAACTTGAAATCGTAAAATTAATTATCGAATCTCTAAAAAAAATTGCAGCGGAGCAATTGCAGCATGAAAAGTAGTATAGTCCTATGTGGTGTATGCTATTGTTTAACGATACGCGGTACATTGTTTTAGACCTCTCGACGACGAGCCCCGGCCTCTTAATTAATCGTTAGAACGCATATAAGTAACCTATTTCTTTTCTTTTTTTTTTCTTTGCCTTTTGTTCGAGAGCGGATTCTAATCACGATGGATGGAATGTCTTTTTTTTTTTTTTTTTTTTTTTTTTTNTNAANTNTTTTTTCCCAAAACGTAGGTTGAGATGATGTGCTAGTAATATGTGACAAGAATCGAAACAACTTAGGTTTCATTCAAATGAGAAATAAAATATATTCCATAATATTATTATTCACTATTTCTACACATTCTGTACACATTAATTCAATTTAAGGGTTTTATACCTCAATACACTTTATACAAAAAGGCTACTTATAATCTAACATTAAGTCATACCATAGCATGAGGGCCCTCCACCTTACCGCCAAACGGCAGACGGGCCGCACGCTTGTTTGTACTGGTATTACAAATTCAGTCGCCAGCAAGTACATCACCCTCTCCCTCTCTTTCTCACCTATTATCACACTGTATCGTTCTGTATTACTATGATGCTTTTTCTCTCTAAGTTTCATTCCGATCTCTGCTTTTTCCTTTTGTTGTGTTGTTGTTGTTGTTGTTTTTGTTGTTGTATCCCCATTTACAATATTTTTATGATTTTATTTTTCTCAAAAAAGTTTCCTCTCGTTTGTCTTGCTGTTTGTTTTTTTTCTTTTTTTCGTAAAATCTACCTCGTGGGTTTTTTGTTTTTCTACGAAAAAAAAAAGCATTAAGACTCTTGGTCCTACGCTATTGCATTACAATGTCAGAAACAAGAAATTGCACGAATGTAATTTTCTTACATTGCACATACAGAACTTACACGTCCTTTTTCTCTCTTTTTCTTTTTCTCTCTCTCTCTCTCTCTCTCTTTCTCGCTCTCTTTTTCTCTCTCATACCGTCCTACGCGTTCGGTAATACAAGCGAACGTAAAACTTCATAGTTTTAGTTCAGGAACCATCGCACAAGACTCACGTTCTTGTGCAGTGGCTAGTGCTGTTCACATTTTGATATATTATCGATGGGATGTGAGAAAATAAAAAATTTCGAATTGATTTGTAACGCAAAAAGTTATATAATATTCACACGATTTCTCGTTTCTGATATTACAATTCAATATGACCGCAGCGGAAGACAAGGAGCCTTAAAAAGAATTTTTAAATGTCGCAACATCGAAAATGTAATGAAATGCCTTCATTTTTATCTTCTATTCACAAATTTGTTCTTTTTTTGTTTTTTTGGTTTTTTTTTTTTTAAACTAGAGCTTTTTGTTTTTATTTTTTTATAATTGTTTACCGACTTGACCGAAAAAGATCATCTGTGAGATGTCAGATAAACACAATACCGGTACAGAAACGGCGCATTTCGAAGACTTAACAAGCGCGACAGAACTGTCTTAGTTCAGGTCTCTGTCCTCTAAGTACTTATACTCGAAAGTAAATCCTTCCTTTTTCCTCTGACCCCACTTTTCGTAGTCAAAATAGATGTACGTTCCCTGAAACGCAAGAATAAAGACCAAATAAGACTCTTATCGTTGTTTATTTATTTTCAAGATGCGCGAACTTTCTCCCGATCGTAGCAGGAAGGTAAGCGGAATGAAGACGGAACTAACCTGTTCGTATTCCTCGTTAATAACTTTTGGTTCCTCGTGTCTCTGGAACCACATCATGTACTTGGTATGAAACCTCCAGCTCTGTTTTTTCAGAGCTTTCGCTGCCAAATACTGTCCCTTAGATCCTTCCATATAATAAAATATGAAGAATAAAGTTTCCGTAGAAAGACGTTGGAAGAACTCCACAGTATCTGAGTGAGGAAGCTGAACCTAAATGAAAATTTGTGTGTTTCCGTCAGTGGAGCAATTTCTTCGTAAAAAAAATATTCACCGAAGCTAATGAGAAGATCAATTCAGAGAGTGTATTTACTTGCTGATAATAAGGTGGCGTCGTGCACGTGTTCCTCGGCAAATACGAACGTAGTCTTTCCGAGTCAGACGGATGTGGCATATGATAGTAGGCGGCTTCCATCATTTGGAACTGCATCTGATGCTCCTTCTGCAGCGGCACAGGTCCGAGAGGCGCGACTCCAAGTAACGGAGGAATGTGTGCTTCCGACGTAGCGTTGGTGTTGTTGTTGTTACTAGTCTTGGCACTGTCAAAGATGGTTCTGTTCGGCTCGGAGGGTGGTATCTCCAGACCTGCTCGGACAATTACTTGTTGGGCAATGGATTTTAGAGAGGACATGTTTCCATCGGGAAGCTTAGAGATGAGACCATTGGCAGTGGACGGTGCTGGCGAGCAGGAGTTTGCGGGCATCGGCGAGGATCTACTGCTGACCGACGACTGCGGGGACGACGACGGCGGTATCGGTGTGGTCATTTCCGTTTCGCTATTGTGATTCTGGCTTTGTTGACTGTGTAGCACGTGCGTTGTCTGCGTCGAGACCGGATTGCTGTTGTGCTGCTGCGTGACCGTTTGCGGCATGTTCGACGTAACGATGGACGTGGATGATGACGATAAAATGTTATTTTCGCTGTTATGGGCTAAAAAAAAACATACATCAAAGACGAGACTTAATCGCGCGATCAAAACAAACCGTATTTGCGAGAATTGTCATCGGCCACGCAAATAAGTACACGTTACGTATTGATTATTCGAACAAAAAGAAATTTGTTCTTACTGGATGTTTTATTAGAGGTAGAATGGATGGCTTGCGAATTGCTATGCGAGGCAGCTACGGTGGCAAAATTGCCTGCGTTAGTCGTGGCAATGTGATTGCTTGTGGAACTAGGCGAGCTGTGGCTAGGCGTCATGGGAATGGTTTTGCTTGGAGTGCTGCTCGACAACATGTTCGACTTTATGGTGGCAGTGCTTCCCGTGGTTGGAATGCTCGCTTGCGTATTCAATAGCGGCCTGACTGCTGTTGGTTTCACCGGCTAAAATTAAAACGAAACGCCGTGTATTAAATTTCGATCTCCGTGCATGCATAAAAAGTCTTTCTCGAGAAACCAAAATAAACGAAAATATTAAATAAATTTCGTCCAGAGTTTAAACGAGATAAGAGTACGCGCACCTTCGTTTTCTTGTCGTTATCCGTAGAACTATCACTCGAATGATTATGCATAGTAGAGCTCAACGATGGCGATGGTATAGGCGAGGTACAAGAGTTAGTTGACGTCGGTGTACCACCGGTTTCGTTGCTGTTGTTGCTGTCCGTCGTTGCTGACGATGGGATACCAACACCGGACAACTCGACTTCATCGAGGCCGATAATATCGTCGTAGATGTACTCGTTCTCTTCGAAATCGGGATCTTGCGAAGATTCAATGTAATACTCGACATCGTCTTTTATCCTTTTAATCTGTTGGCAATGTTAGCGAGAAAAAAAAAAAACGTGTGAAAAAAAGCGTATCCGGCAATTTGCTGCGCGATCGCATTTTGATTATTACTGTGATTGATTTGAGGAAAACACTAACTGTGTTAACTTCGACAGACATATTGTCAAGCATACGTAATAATGTCTCCAATTTACGGATGTGATAACGGTGTTTGTCGAGTTTCGTCTTCAGTTCATCCACCCTATCTTGCTTATCTTTGTCTATTCTTTTCTTCTTTCCTGCCTGTAACGATTCTATTTCCGATTCAAATGTATCCATCTACGTCAAAAGTAATAGCGGTTACAGCTAATAAATTGTTGATTTGTTTGTTTTTTTTTTTTTTTATCGAGAAAAATCCAAGATACGTTGCGACTACGACTGGTACCTGCAGATTAAGAGCGTCTATAGAATTGGCCAGCCAATTGGTCACCTCATCTTTCTCCTTCTGAGCTGGATCTAATTTCTGAGCTGCTCCTAAACCTTCTTTAGAATAAGCCTTTGTTTTTGTCTCTCTTTCCACTACTTTAAATCTTTCCATTTGCTACAAACAAATTGAAAATTGTATAAATTTATGCGGAGAAATGTGTGTGGCAATACAAACACACACAGCTACGATATAACACGCGCGTATATATATATATATATTACACTCACAGTTTCGATTAACTTTCGATAATCGAGCAGTGTACTCTTGTCTTTTATTTCACCCGATGCGATCCAACTCTTAATTTGATCGCGTAACCTTTGAAGTTTCTTGATTTCCTTTTTGAGATCAGCCTCATACTTCTCTTTTTGATTGCTGTTTGTGGCATTGTGAACTTTTTGCCAGATATCTTCAAAAGTTTCCACACCTTCCGTTACTTTTTTAAGGCACCTATCTATTTCACCTGTAAAATTAACAATAGAAATTTCTTTAATTTGTTTATTTCCTGTGTGCAAAAAATTCAAATATACATTTTATTTAAGGAATGATCAAGTTATACCAGATATATTGCAAGAAATATCAGGGAAGACGAGCGAGAAGTTAAAAGGGAGAAGAATAAAAACGAATAAAATACATTCTTTGCAAGCCGGATTTCAAAAGAAACAAAGCGAACAGAACCTGTTGCGCAAATTATCTCTATGTAAAACCTAAACACATGATATTCTATTCCATCCCGTTGATTAGATTAAGGAGCAAAGAGATGCTTCTATCTGGATCACAGATACCTTATATCAACAATCTGTGCAAATACAAAGTATCACACACACACACAAGCATCTTTTAAAGACCATGGTGTTGCAACGGATTTAACAATCAGGTTGCAACATTTAACATTTTTACAGGTTATGCCAATATAAAAGAACAGCTGATTGACTTGCAGATAACAAACTTCGCGCGGTTACGCGATATCAGAGATAAAGTAAAAAAAAAAAACAAAAAAAAAAAAAAAACAATACAAAATCGCACGCGTGCGGAGAGTCCGAGTCGCGGCGATTCCGGCCATCGCGTCGAGGAAAAAACGGACGCTGGAACGCTCTTCAATATTGCGTGTGTCCCGCGCGGTTGTGCACACACAAACGCGTAAACCGCACGCGAACCGCACATGCAACGCATTTCGCGGCAAACACACACACACGCGGATTTCGCGCGCGCGAAAAATCGCCGACCGAGAATTCGGCGAACAAAAAAGCACGAGGAACGCGGCGACTCGGAAACGACCAGGACGACGAGAAAGAGAGAAAGAGAGGAGGAGAAAGAGTTGCGAATTTCTGAATGTAAACACGCTGGAAACGCTTCTTCCTCACCTTGCAACTTTCTTGTCGCAGCCATGGCTATGTGAACATGTGATAAAATGGTTCATGCATAGTCTAGACGTATTGGAAATAACACGGAGCAATTTATCGGAACAAATAGTCGTTGCAACTATTATTCCTCGTATAATATGGGAGGCTCGGCCACAAGATGGCTTCCGTTTTTCAAATGACAACGTCCGAACGTGTGTCCCGTCCGTGAGTGTGTCGCGCACAAAAGATCCACCGCGAGTCCCGCACACCACACGTCTCCCCCAGATGATCAGACAGACCTCCTTTGAGTGAATCGTGCGCCTTTTGGCTCTCGTTTTATCCACCAAAACGCGACGCGCACGTTTTCCGTTTCTTTTACAAGTCTGTAAAAGGATTTCACGAGAAGCGACCCAGCATCAACAAACGATATATATTTGAGGCGCGAGAGGCGAGATAGCGCGATACGTATCGGCATACATACTTGTGTTCGCTCGCTCGCAGCGGTACGCACGTATACACGTACACACACACACACGCACGCAAGCACGCACACACAATCGCAAAAACGTAACGTTTCGCTTCGAACCGACCACCCTGTATATCTCGGCAGGTTTTCATGACGGGGAAAAATTGGAAACGCGGATAAGCGAACGAAGAAGTTTTTTTTCCGCGCGGAAAAGAAAAGAGAAGTTGAATGAGAAAATATACCTTGAGAGAGAGAATTGATCCGGAAGCTCCGGGGTAAAGCGAATTCGGTTCGATTTTCGGCGGATCCGGTCGCTCTTCGATGCAGAATTAATCTCAATCAAATTGAATTTCACCGTTTCCGATCGAAATTCCAAATTTGGACCGTGATTGGTCGGTTCTTGTCGATTCGACCGGACGACCAATTGCTCGATTCCAGCGGCTTTCTCCGCGTGAGAGCGAAGCGTAGTTCTCAATCTACTTTGGGATGGGAATTTCAGCGGCGCTGAAAGCGACGGATCTTTACGCGCAACTTTTCGTCAGCCAATCATAATCGTCTACGGCGGATTTGCGTGCGGTAGCTGAGACGATTTGATTGGCAGTCGCGTCGCATTTAAAGGCGGATTCATTCGGTCTCTCTCTCTGGGGTATCCACACTTATCTCTCTCTCTCTCTCTCTCTCTCTCTCCCAATGGCATTGACAAGCAACTGCGGAAACATCTGTAATTGACACCACACATGTCACAGAACTGTCAGTAGCAAAACCTCGTCACCTTTCAACCCTTAGAACGTTTTCTTTCAATCTTTAATTTTTTCATAACGACAGAAACGTCAATTGCGCGCGCGTTACATCCGCTCGCACGAATGTGACACACACGCAACCGATTGAAGAGTTCCAAATAGAGGTGTCCAAATTAGGTTTTGCCGATTTAATCGCGCGAGTTTCTCCGTGACTGTCCCAAATCGCGCAATTGCACGGAAATGGGATCGTTGACCAGCAGACAGAACGCTGGCGTCGAGGAGGTTGACATCACGTCGAACAACGCGTACAAATATCCCCCGCGATCTGGTATTTATATATATTTCAATTTGTACGAAGATGTACACAAAAACAAAAAAAATATACACACAAACATGCGTTTTGTTTATTGTCAATTATCGTTCAATTGTTTTTCTCGGACAGGTTCCTATTTTGGTAGTCACTTTATAATGGGCGGCGAACGATTCGACACACCTCAACCCGAGGCGTATCTTTTCGGGGAGAACACGGATTTAAACTTCTTAGGAAGTCGTCCAACCCCCGTACGACATTTTGCGATATCTGACATCAGATTTTTTTTTATATGTTAACGAAGGCTTTTAACTTTCTTCTAAGTCCGGTAAAAAAGAAGGACGAGTTTTTACATATTTCTCATCTTGCAGTTTCCGTATCCTCCGCCTCAAGCGAACGATCCTACCAAGACCTTGAAGAGTTTAGTGAACATTCGAAAGGAATCTCTGAGACTGGTGCGCAACATGGATCACACGTCGGCGACCGTTCAGTACAACAACGTCAAACGTTACAACAAAGACATTAAACTGAATCCCTTCAACATCGAGTTTGTGTTCGACTGTGATGTGAAGTGCGCAATAACGATATATTACTTCTGTCAAGAGGACGTAACCACGAAAGGCGTCAAGTGCGTATCTCTAAGTGTGCAAGCACGCGACAAACATCTTCGCGAGAGAACCACTTAACCGTGTGCGACGTAAAAAAAAAACCAAACCTCTGTTCAAATATATGTTCGCAGATACATACCCAGAGATATAGACATGACTTCGGAAACGTATCACTACAACAAAGGAGCGAACCAATTGTTCTCGCAACCGTCGCACATATTCGATCCGTCGTTGGAGGATGCGGCGGATATGGTGTACAACGTGAACAAAGAAGTACGCATTTCTAAGATAGAGAAGATACACACACACACACACACACACCGTGTGCGCATCATGTGTAACTTAAATAAGATCGATTGCTTCCGTAACTTGTAGATTATTCCGATAGCTATACATTGCGTAGCGGAGGAGGGATCGGACGATCCGAAACAGTCTCACACGACGATAGCCGTGGTCGAGAAACATCCCGACGGCACGTACGTTTTGAAAGCGCTCAAGCAGAAGCTGTACGTGGACGGTTTGTGTTATTTGTTGCAAGAGATTTACGGAATCGAGAACAAAAACACCGAAAACGCCAAGGTAACGAGAAAGCGTGTACGCTTTGTGAGTGTGCGATAATTTTTCGAGTTTTTATTGATTTTTTTCTGTTTTTCTTTTTTTATTTCTTTCTTTTCTCTCAGCAACAAGGCAGCGACGAGGACACCGAGGACAACGGTTCCGAATGCGTTATCTGCATAAGCGAGGTGCGCGACACGTTGATTTTGCCGTGCAGGCATTTGTGTTTGTGCAACTCGTGCGCCGACTCGCTCAGATATCAGGCGAACAACTGTCCGATATGTCGCGCGCCTTTCAGAGCGCTTTTGCAAATCAAAGCTCTTCAGAAAGCGACCGGCACGATCATCGCCAATCCGGCGTTGCCAGAGGTGTGAGAATTCATTTCATTCACGTTTCGCGCTTGTCTTCTTGTTGTCAACGTAATTCGAAAGGATTGATCTCGCAGGGAAGCTGCGAGAATATTCCACCAGGTTACGAGGCGGTGTCTCTGATAGAAGCTCTGAACGGACCTTACACTCCGCGAACCGCTATCATCGCGCCGGAATCTCCCGATACACCCGACACGGATACGGCGAGCGCTATTCAAGCCGCGGAAACTTTGAATCGGTAACGCGTCGATAACGCACGCATCTTTTACGGTCTGTACACAGGTCCGATATGAGAGAAATGTTACGCGCGTTTTCAGCTCGGCCGAGCGCACACCGATTTCTAAACACGCATCCGCCAAAGAAGCCGACATATCAGCCAGATCGAGCGGCACCGCTTGCCCGACTCCCGAGTTCCGTATGTCCGTGTTGCTGGCCAGGGACGAACACTCGGGTTCTCAAAAAGATCTCCACAACAGATCCCCGGCTATGCGTACCAAATCGGTGCACACACGCGACAAATCCAGTTTGAGAACGCGCGACACCCTCAGACTGGTCAACGAGAAGCAACCAGCAGCCTCGTTGTACGAGGTAAAGTATTTTTTTTTTTTTTTATATGAAAAAAAAATTGTTTTGAAGCATAAACGACGATTTAAAATCATGATCTCGTTATGTTTGCTTAAAAAAGGGCCAAGGTCACGACGAGGACAGCGAGGCAGAGAAGTTGTCACCGTTGTTGGATGCGGCTACAAGCACCGAAGCTCTGGACGTACATTCCCACAGAATATGCGATATTGATGTCGACGACGAGATTCAGAACACGGAAAACGAGACGGATACAGATCTTAACTGTCATTCGCGCTAGACACGTAAAGTGTTTTTTTTTCCTCACGAAGCTTTCATTCTCGAGCAGTTTGGTTACCATTACTGAATAATAAGTTTTTAAATTTTTCGCGAAATTATTTATTTATTCAGGAGTTTTAAGCAATTTTTTTTAATGCGGGGGAATCCTCATGGACACTCTCAGTTCTCTGAAAAGGCTGAGAGTAGTGTCGGACTCGTACCGACTATAGAACTCCCACGGTGTGCCTATCCCGCGCGTTTGGGAGAACCCGTCGCGAACTCACCACCAGTGCTCTCTTCCGCGCTTAACAATTCGGGGAGGCCAAATAGACTCCTTCCGAGTCTGCCTAACGCTGACGGCAGGACAGGACATACTGTCCCGCCCTTCTCTCATGAATCTTTTTTTTTTTTTTTGTTTTATACACACGTCCACGTAGATTCGCGCGCTCTCTAGGATAGTTCAAGTAAAAATTTTATTTTATTTGAAGAATTCCAAAAAAAATCTCGTACTTTCCCTACGCGAAATTATTTTCCTTGTATAGAAACAAATTCTTACGTGCGGTTTTTTGTGAATAAATATAAAATCTACATTTTTGCATAATAGAATAACTTAGGACTTAGGTATAAAAAAAAAAAAAAATTACATTCTATCACTCTGTGTATTTACTAATGTAAAGAAGATGCAAATAATGGTATTTTTTATGAATCCTTTAGGTCGATAGAACGTGAAGCACACATATACATAACATATAAATATATACACATGTACATATACGCGTATATACTAGGGCTAATAATTCTGTGATGAGATGTTCAGCTGCTGATGTACTCTTGCTTTGTTCAACTTTTCGCACGTGTGTCACAAGCACACTTTCTCGTTACGAATCTTCGCGGAAGCAAAACATATCGCAAAATGATGTATCAACGAAGTTCTCGTTGTATAAATCAGCTGATATTCATCCTCTCGAATGCGAGGACAAAAATGGATTACTTGGACATTGTCTGACACATTAGAGATACCACGGATATTATTAACTCTGATATATAGCTCCTCGAATTGTAAAGACTGTATTACATTAAAAAAAAAAAAAAGAAAAAAAAAACAGAACGCTACTGCATTTTGCAATAAGATATAAATTATTATATTGATTTACAAGCTGCAAACTGATACTAGGTAATAAAGGTGCTTCCACTTCATTTGAAATCCAATCGTTTACTCTTTTTTTGTTTTGTGCAAAAAAATCCTATGTAAAAATTTAAAATAGCATATATAAAAAAAAAAAAACTCAATGAAAAGTATCTTCAAATAAACTGTATTCTCATAATTGTTAGGATTTGTGTGCATATAAATATTCACTGTTTTGTTTTTTTTTTTCATCCATTTTATTCAATTCCATGTCCAAAGTGTTTTATGGTCTAACTGCTTTAGGCTGCTGCAAGCACCTTCCTGAATTTCTTCCACTCATCAAGTGGTCCGTGCTCAGGTAAATACTTGACATTGCAACCATCCGGAGCAAGACGGCCCGCCACTTTCAGCTCTTCGTACTCCGCACGATCATACTTGGTGAAACCCCATTTCTTCGACACGTAAATCTTCTGACGGCCGGGAAACTTGAACTTGGCACGTCGCAGAGCTTCGATCACAGCCGCCTTATGACGGTCCGAAGAACGCACGCTCATGATAGGCTGACCAATGTGTACTCTGGCCACAGTACCTTGTGGTTTCCCGAACGCACCTCGCATTCCAGTCTGGAGCCTGGAAACCATTGAAAAATAATAAAATAACGTACTTTTCCAGTTTTCAAAATTTAGTTTAAACTTTTTTTCAAGTTTATAAAAACAATATATGTACTCGACATCTTATTTAACATCAAATTTATATACCTGTCAGCTCCGGCGCATGACAACATCTTGTTGATACGAATAACATGGAAAGGATGGAGTCTCATACGAATGTGGAACTGATCTTTGCCAGCGTTCTTGACCATGTACTTGTTAGCACAGATACGTCCGGCTTCCAGAGCCTCGGAACTAAGCTGTTCATATTCATCCGATACCAAGTGCACACATAAGGGAAAGTCCTCTACAGATGCTTTCTTCTTGCCAAGATCAAAGATACGGATCTTTGGATCCGGTACACCACGACAAAATCTGGATTTTGGATAGGGCTTATTTTTACAATATCGATAGCTGAAAACAGAAAACATTCTCAAAGTATTGCGTAAACCATGCAATTGAGAAGCATTTGTGACACACAATGTTTATTAATCTGGTGTTGCACAATATTGCGATTGCAAATTTTAACACAAAAAACCAAGATGATCACAAGACACTAAGTTTACTCATGAACTCTGTACGATGGTAATTGACAAGATAATATTTTTTCAACTGTATTTATTCAGAAACTTGTCAAAAAATCGCTAAAAGTTTTTGAAGAGCGCAACACACAAACGTGTTGAAGATTTCGTTACGTACCACCTCGCAGGTCGGCGCCCCATTTTTTAACCTGTAAAGTAGAACAAAAATTCACGTCAGAACATCAAAATTACATTACTCCACGTATTAAATAAATAATCAATAAACGCAACATGCAAATAAACATTTGTTGCTTGTTGCGATGCCTTTGGATAACAATGGATAATAAAAAGATACTCACGTCGTGCAAAAGTTAACGATCCCAATACAAACGCGCGAGGAAAGAATTCGGCCACAGCTGGCAATGGGAAGTTGGATCGAGTCAGAAGGTTTTATCTCGTGAATCCGAGCGTCGGATTGGCCGACAACAAGCGCCAATTCGGCCGCAGTCCACTTGACACGAAGCCAATCCGGTTACTCGACAATCCGCCGATCGGATTCGTGTGAAAACACGAACCTAAGGTAGGATTGCCAACCGCAAAAATTTCCAATCACTCAAGTTTTCCACGGAGTTGGCAACTCCGGAAATTAGAAAGTCCGCACTTCTAACTTACCAACGAAGCGCAATCAATAAAAACGTTCTCGCAAACACATCGGCTGAACCATTTGAAACGTATATTTGTATATGTACAGAAAACAAATTTCACGATATACACATCAGGGGTATGTATATTTACAAATCTAAACCTCTTTATTTTACACAGACTAATTTTTTCCCAATAAACGTGTGTTGTTACAAAAGAGAAGACTATTTTTAAAATCTTTTAATTAAAATAGAGAAAGTGTGTATGTGTGTGTGTGTATGTGTGTGTTATATGTAGGAAAGACAATATTACAATCGCCAGTGAAAATCCGCGAGCAAATCCGTTATTTACGCATGTTTGTTTTTTTTTCTTTTTTTTTTTTCCACGAGATTACATCGTACAAAAAATACAAGTTTTTTTGTCGAAAAAATTTTCAACCATGCCATCTGTTTAAAAGGGAGAACGAAGTCTCTCGAATTTCCTTCAAAATAATTTCAGACTGATCCCTTTTACAATATTTACAAAAAAAAAACGTAAATTTAGATTCTCGCAAATTTCTCATGCTCGCGCCAATTTTGCTAGATGTGTAGTAATAATTAAAACGTACAAAAATTTCATTCGTATTTCAGTACGTTCGAAAGAGATCGGGGGAAACTCAAAACGACGCGACTTAAACTTCTTTCGAAAGCAGAGCGCGCAAGAAAAAAAGATGACGATATGTCTTGATAAGAAGGTACCGTACGAGACGTTTGGCAAGGGGTAAAGGAAGACGATCCTCTTTCGTCGGGTCGTCTCTCGTCGCAACGCAGCAGAAACGAGCTCCGCTCCGACCGCTTTATTACAAATTACCTGTGTGAGGTAGTTCAAGACTAACGGGGGAGGGGGTTGCGAGAAGAAAAACCAGGTAAAACACGGTTGACGAGTTAGTGCACAAAGTCGGATAAAAAAAAAAAAAAAAGAAAAAACGATCCCGAAAACACTTGCGTCTCGCGTGATATAAAATTTGGTTTGCGCGTATTCGCGCGGAGTGTGACAACGAATTGTGTCACGTGCAAAGCGAATTTGAAACGCTGAAATCATGGAAATCGGGTAAAAACATGAATGTTGACGTTATTAAAATATTAGCTATAATATAACAATCTTCAACATACGACGTATATGTACATTGACAAGGGAGGAATGATCGAGTTACACTAAAAAATATAGCATTTCCACCATGTCCGACTCTCTCTACTCAACGAGAAAAAAAAAAAAAAAAAAACAAACAAACAAACAAACAAATATCGCGGTACATAGGTGTTCAATCTATGTGCTGCCGTTGATTATACATATGCTCTCCATCTTGCCTTTCTGAACGACGTATTCCTTACTATTTACAGCTTTGACAGTGACTTCTATTCGCGCCGCTAAGTCGTACGTTCCCGGACTCGGTAACACGGCGTGCAACTTTACGGTGCTGCTCGCGTACGCTTCGACGTTCGAGTGAATTGACGAGTGACCCGCGTACTTGTAGTACGTCGAAGCCTGAGGCGAGTACAGCTGGGACTTAATACTTGGAAGATGAGTTTCACTGGAAAAGAAAGTGGCGAGTATAATATACGAAACTAAATACATAGTGACATAGTGTGTTTGCGTAACAACAGCGTAAAAAATTCGTCTTTGTGACGTGTTCCCTTACCTACTGGTGCCTATTGTATTTATTTTGACGTCGACTCGCATATCCGAGTGATTTTGCAGATACATCGTAACCGGCATGACGCACAGTCGGCTCTGTTGAAAATCGTGCGTGGTCTGTCTCTGATGACTGAGAGAGAAAGAGACGAGACTCTTTGAGCACTCCGTCTCCCACACGGGATCCTTCACGGGAGCGGTAACCGCGTTCGGTACGTTTCGATCCGGACCGAAGATCCTCAAGCGAGTCCCGTACTCGTTGCGCTCCGTGCGCGCTTCCGCGGGATGTTTGTACGTCTTGTCCAAGTGCTTGAGTTCGATGTGATGCTGTCCGACCGCTTTCCGCGCGATCGCACCGTTCTCCGTTATATTGGCGCACCATCTGACGATCAGCGTCGAATTCAACGCCATGATGTCCGACGCGTGATCGACGTTGTGCTGCGGCTGAAATTGCTGCATGTCGTTCGCGCTCTCGTTCACGTCCAACGGCAGGATGTGACGCCTCTGTACGAAATTAATGAACGGATAATTGTCGACCGACGGCGGGTCGACTTCGTCGGAGATCAGAGACACGTCGGAGATGGTGCTCGATTCGTTGCTGCTTGTTTTCTTCTTCTTCAACTTAAGCATCAGATGAAACACCTCCTGCGGCTGCACTCTGACAGTCAGCGGCAGAACGGAGGAGTGAGACGCGAGCCACAGCGCGCTCTGCAGCGACACTTTGGATATCATGATCTCGTTTATGGATGGATCGTGAACCTGATTGGTGTTCTTCACGGACATGATCAGATTCAACGTAGGCGAGTCGTTCTTGAACAAACCGCTTCTGGTGGCGATCGCGGTGATCTGTATCGAGTCCAGCACCGTCAACTGCCAGGTGTGTCGACACAATCGATGCTTCAGCGCGGACGTTTTCGACTCGACGTTTTCGTAATAAAAGAGCAGATCCAATCTATGCGTGCCCTTGTCGCGGGGCGCTTGCACCCAAAGTGACATTCTGTGAGTCTCGCCTACGTTTAACACACCGTTCTTGGAGACCGGCAACATCACCTTCGTGACAGATCTACTGCTCTTTCTCATCGTTGAATCTGTAAACACGTCGTTTATTTTTCATAAAAAAAACAAAAACAAAACATACACAAACACGTTTTCTAAAGATCCTCTCACCCTCGGGTTTCACGACTTTCGAGTTTTCCAACGTGAACAATTTCGCGTCGGTGGACGCGATGTGTACGTTCGTCAGTGGCGCGTTGCCGATGTTCCTCAACGTGACCTCCACCTTTTGTATTTCACCGCACAGCATTTCCGGCGACAGTTTGGTAAAAAGTATCTGCGGCGAAAGACAGAAATGTCAATTTGTCGGCGCAAGAGACGGTATATAAATTTTTTTTTTTTTTTTTTACCTCCATAAACGGCGCTTTCTCTATCACGTTCATCTCCAATCTAAAATCCTTTCCTTGCGTATTCGCGCCGGGTTTTTCTTTCACATTTCTCAACTTGGGCAGCGTGATCTCGAACAATCTCTTGCCGATGACGACGATGTTCGAATTCGCAACCGGCGCGTCGTTCAACACCTGTACCGGATTCGTCAGTTTGTAACTTATACCCAGAACCTTCACCTCGCCTACTCGCCTGGGTATGAGAGACAACACGATGTTCTGTTTGCACATCGGTTGCAGTAAAATCGCGTCTATGACGCTTGACTCGACCGGGCTCGAGTTCGCTTCGATCTCGTTCGTGACAGACTCGTTTGTGACAGTCTCGTTGTCGCGTGAGGCGAAAGACCACAGCAGAGTCACGTCGGACAACGGAAGCGCGACGTGCAACGGATTTTGCAACTCGATCGAATAATGTGCCGGCTCGTCCAGAACCGCGTTCGGTTTTGCGGTGTTGTTGCTTTGTCCGGAATACAACGCGACCGTAGGTTTGAATATCATGGGCGGCGATCCCTGCGCCTCGGCTATCAGCAACTCCTCCATCTTCGACCACTTCGCGTCGTCCGTTTCTTCGGTGCTGAATGTGACGTGGCTCGCTGGGATATTGCTTTCGGTCGATTTACCCAACGGACCGTAGAGCACCTTGATATTGTTGCTATCTACTAACGGTAACGGTAAAACTGGAAGTTCCTTGCACGTCATTCCATTTTCCTGAAACAATAACTGCGCGAGAATGCAAGCGAGAATTATCTAACACTGATATTTCCCAAGTGTTATCAATTCCCGCGACGAGAAATTATCTCTGGTTAGGTGCGAGTACTCACATTATGAGTGTGTAAAAATTCTCTTAAAAACGCGGCCTGTTGCGGAGCGTGTTGCTTACTGGAAGCGTTAAGTAATTTTTCAAATGCCTTCACCGCCTCGGAAACCTGCTTTAACGACGCAGCTTGCCTGCCGATTGTGAAATGGATGTGATCTTCGGCCAGAGACCAGCCTCTTTTATAATATACCTAATGTACACACAAATGTTATTTGAGATAACGACATTTCTCTAAAAAAGTACACGAGACGATGATAGGGCGGTTTAAGCAATTTACTTACCTGATACGCTTGCTGATAACATCTCAGCGAGTGTTTTCTTTGTCCGGCTTTCGAGAATCTGTGCCCGGCCAGAACCGCGTGGAAGGCGTATTTGCGCATCATCTTCGGACCGATGAAGCAATAAGCGGCCTGCTCGAGCAACAAACCCGAGCGCAAGTCCGAGTCCTCGCTGGTCATTCGTATCAGTTGCTTCGCGGCCTCGCCGTACAGTCCCCGACCCTTCAGACACTCCGCGCTGAGCAACGTCGCCCTCGTCGCGAACTGCGGCATCTTGCAGCTGTTCGCGTAAGTCAATATCGCGTCGTCCATGTACTCGATGGTTTTCCTATTGGTTTCGCCTTGCATGAAGGCGCTCAGGGCGGCCATCTCGAGAGCACCCGCGTAGTACACCCACGCCTGATCACCCGCGAAATCACGCTTCGCGCTGTGATACGCCTGATAGGCGAGCGTGTAGTGGCCGAACATGAAGCACAGATCGCCCAAACGTCGTAATTGCAACTCTGGCGAATCCGTGGTGTAACTGCAACATAAAAATGTGTAAAATTTTACGACCGACGACGTAATCGCGAGGTTTAAATTCAACTTCCAGATCGGTTTGAACAACAAGAGACGAAAGTACGTCTTACATCACAGCGTTGGATGGCGTCACACCCGGCGCACCAGGTTTATTTGTACCGAACCATCGTTTCGTGGCGCTGAGCAGCGATCTGCTGACTCCCTTCTTGTTCGAGATCACGTCGTTCAACAGACCGATCTGCTTCTCCACGTAAGGCAACAAGCTTCGCAAACAGAATTCCGTGATCAAGGTCCGCAGCCTCTCTAGATCTTGCGTGGATAGACGAGCACCGTGTTGAGCAACCACGTAATTCGGAGAATCCGCCCAGACGTTCATGTTTATCGGAGAATTAATTGACTGACCCTTGACATTGCTCGTGGTAATGAAGCTCTTTTCATTGTCCGGACTGAGCGGATGAATCGTAACCGGGACCGCTTCCTGTCCGACTTCCAGATGCGTACTCGCCACATCGGATATTTCAGAAGACAGACTAATTGTGTCGATCCCGGAGACTAATTGCGCCGTGTCCGGAGACGGCAACGTAATACAGTTCTGCGGCATTATTGGCGTTCCGGCTTGACTTGTTCTGTAACAGGTGTTACATGCCTTTTCACAAGATATTGAAATCCTTTCTAAATTGTTCGTATCATTAACCCTCGAGTTCTGGTCAATGTCACTTGCAATAACAAAAAAAAAAAAAAAATAAGAAAAACGTACTTGTCGGATTCCGTAGTGACCTCGCTCGGCATGGCGGATACTCCGCCTGTGTCCGCGGGTGTGCGCGGAGAACTGTTTTGTTCGCTGCTGCCCGAAACCTCCGAGTGTTTTGTGAGAAACTGACTCCAGGGATCGGGCAGATGCGTATTGTCGTCGGACAGACCCGGGGGTCTCGAATTCATTTGCAACAGAAAGCAATTGTTAGCACCGTAAATAGTCTTCATCTCCGTAAAAACCATTTCCGCTCTAGAAAAAAAAATACAAAATTGTTCGGTTTTGTCAATTATTTGATGCAAAAATCCGGATACTGCAAAGTTTTCTGTAAAATTGTTTGAGAGAGAAAAAATATATACTCACTTATTTCTATCGTCCTGAACGGTATCGTGAACTAAAATGTAATACCTAAGAGCATTATTATTGAACCACTTGGGCAATTTTCCCGGCACGCTCTGATGCAATTGCGCCCCCATGGTCTGAATTCGCTCCAACGGATTGTCCTCCGACGTGGAGACGACTATCATGCAAGCGAGCAAGTGTTTCGTGAATTCGTGATCAGACGGGAACTGAACGCTCAGAAATGTTTCTCTCCACGCCTCGAACCAAGGAACGGAAATCGGTATGTCCAGATCGGTTGTGCCGATGCGAACCGCGGTTGTGCGCTCGCACAAACCGGAACTTACCGCCTCGCTCAACATCTTTTTGGCGTGACTCGGTTCGGGCGGTCGCGCATTGATATCCTGTATGGCGAGCCGCAGATTTCTAACTGTAACCGTGCTTCCTTGAGGATCCTTGAAGTGACCTGAAAGAGCGCACGTTGCTTTTCAGACCATATATCTGTGTAACGAATCGTTCAGGTTTAAAAGTTTAAACAAAATGATCGCACAAGCGTTGGAAGATCACATCAAACATTGCACAAATTACGTTAACAAATTGCCATATATGAGATTGACATATATGAGTTCTCGATGAACAATTATGACGACGTGCAAGGTGGTTGGTTCTGGTGGGTGGGTGTTAATTACCTTCGGTGTTTAATTTGCAAAAGGGCTGAAGCAACTCGACGAATGACAGATTGTTCCTTTGGCACGCGGCGTCGGCCGCGATCGAGCAGACCACGGCTATCTGGGGCGAGAAAGCGTTGCCGATGAACTCCCGCGGGGTTAACTTGCACTGAGCCATGATCCCGTACGCGCGCGAATCATCAAAACATCACGACGTTCACACGTAACCTCGAGGTTCTCAGCGCCGTGAGAAACGCGCTCCTCTTCATCGACTCGTTGTTCGCGCGACTCACGATCATATCATTCCCGCCCGTTATCTCGCGTGTCGACTAAGTCGACGACGGGCCTCAATACGCGCTCCCGTGCATCTGTGGCGATAAACATGTCCACCACCCGAACAGCTGTTTTCTAAATATCCGCCCGTCGACAAACTTGACACACGAGGAGGAGACACGCGCGCGCGATCGACTTATCGTATCGCAGCGTTGGTTACGCACCGATAAGTCGTGCGTGCGCTCGAGCGTCTCGCACGCACTTTCCGCACCCGCCGCGCGTGCGGAAATTCTCGCCTCCTAGGATTGGCGTGTATTTTTAATTAAATCGATCAGCGCGCACAAAAAAAATCATCGAAATTATAAAAAATTCATTTTGAGAAATCACATCAGCGAGTGTAAAAACATTTTATCATACGATTTATTTCCGTTACATTTCAATTTTAATATACAATTTGCATCGGAGCAACAATGTTTTTTTTTTATTAACAAATTATTTATAAGGATAAAATCATGATAGGAGAAAAAGTTGCGATTGTTTTATTTACAATGAATTATTTTTATGAATAAAATGTGTATACGCGCGCGCGCGCGCGCGCGTACACACACACACACACACACACACACACACACACATAACGTATCTAATGCAAATATGTATAACAATTTTACGCGCATCTTTCGATCAATATCGTACTGCCGATGCGTTGCCGAGGTGTAAATTAATTTTCCTAAATTGGACCAACGTCGTCGCGCTTTATTCTATATTCAATCGTCGCACCACCACCCTAGCACCTTCCGTGATATCCTGAATAAATTTCAACATCTCTATGCGCACCTTGCCGTTTTTAACATCGTTGCTCGCGCATTTTCGTCTCTGCCTGAGGCGTCTCTGACGAGCGACATCGTCTTTGTTTTGCGCGAGCAAGTCGTAATAAAACTCTTCCGTGATGTCCTGCAACTTTCTCGGCGAGCTGTGATGATGTCTCGAAGACGGTCGGCGTGAACCCCTGTGGGTCCCGTTGTTTCTCTCCTTTCTGTTTCTCGGTGATGCGTTTCCGTTGCCAACGTCGATCGTTACGGACGACTCGTCGAGTTCCGTTTCGTCGAGCTCGGCAGACGCCGCGCACAAATCCTCACGTTTGTTCTTCAACGAGGAATCCTTGGAGATCGCGTCTTCTGATGAAGACGTTGTGCTGTCACGTCGTTGCGACGTCTCGCCGCTGCTCGCGGCTGAAGAAAATCCACGCGTGGTCTTGCGCGCGCTTCGCACTACGTTCTGCAATACAAATGGCATCTGATCGATGGTAATGATCTTGTTCGAAATTATTCTCGGAACGCTGGTTGTTCTGTCTCGCGACTTGTCGGCAGGCTCCTCCGAAATTGGCGACGTTTCTTCCGCCGATGTCTTGATGGTTGAATCCGACAAAGAACCGCAATCTTCGGCCGATATATCACACTTGTACGTCACCTCCGTGTTCGTATCAATCAGTGGATTTCTGTTTTGCGACTCTAAAATTGTTTCCTCGGTCGAAAACACTGTAGACTGAAAACTCTCGGGAGTAACATCGTCTCCTCTCTTTTCCTCTTTCTCGTTACTGGTCTTATTCGTTACATCTTGTTCGTTGTCGCTACTCTGCCATTCCATTAAGTCACTTCGTCCGGTTGTACTTCCGCTCACTGAATACATGTCGCTCATGTTCTCGAAATCACGTTCCCATCGGCACGAGTCATTCGCGGTGTTGTGTTTGCTGTAAACAATCGGAACATTTGATCTGTTCATTCTTCTATCTAAAAAATTGGCGTCTGAACTATATACAGTGGTGCTAGGATAAACGGACGATGAGTTGATCAACGTTGGTATCGAATACGCGTTATTGCTAATGCCGGCGTGGCCAGTTTTGCGACGTGCGCGTTTCTCGTGAGGCGAGTCGAACATCGTCACCATGTTTTCCAGTCTCAACAGGCTTGAATTCAACAAACACTTTTCTCCGGCCTTCGTCTCAGCCTTTTCCGAATTCTCCAACACCTCGTCCACCTCTAACTTGGTCTTCTGCTCGATGACGGCCACGCTGTCCTGATCTTGTCGAATGGTAAACATCAGACCCTCCATTACCAGGTCGGTAATATTAGAGGTGCGTAAGATCTTGTCTGGTATGGCCTTCTTCTCGGATTCCCTGGCTTTTTGTTTGCGAGATCTGCACGACTTGTGGTGTGCATTACTTTGCGACTGATTATTACCGTTCGCCAATGTGTGATTCCCGTTGCTTTCTTCGGACTTCGAGTCGAGTATTTTGTCATTACCGATGGACGTTTCGTTATTCTTTCTTTCGATTGACAAATCCTCTTGTACTGACCGATCAGTGGCCAAGAGTGTGTTCGATTTCCTGTTGTGTTTCTCACTTTCGATATCTTTCTCAAAAAAATATCTATACGGTACATTTTTATTATTATTATCTTTATCATCCTCAGCATCGACAGCGCGAGCGTTCTCATTAAGCTTCGGTCCAGGTGACGACGAATCTCTAGTAACGTTTGCTATTTCTGTAAACCAAGACCTTTCCTTCTGTAATGACTTCGAGTTTTGATTTATAGCACGTTGTTCCTTACTCACGTCCGTTTTTTTCCGTTTGGAACATCGTTCTTGTGCATCTTCGATGGAGTGTTTTACGGCTTTTTTCTGGTTTCTGACGTCAAAATTAACTGATTTATTTCCGATGACGTTACTAAGCAATTTTGAGCCACTCTCGTTAACGAGATACATCGCAGTTGTACTCCCATCTTGATGTTTGTTAACGTTTACAGAGTCTTTTACATTATCTCGAGAATTGGATGTTTCTAATACCTCATCTGATGTGGTTTCAACTTCATTATGTTGCGAGATCTGGTCTATTGTTTTGCTCTGACACGTCTCAGTCTCTTTTGCAGATGTTTTGTTACATATCACAGACTTAGCCGCTTCGTCAATAGCCAAAGGAACATTCGATTCAACGTCTCCGACAATCGGACATCTTAAATTACGCGACGAGTTTTCTTCCGACGAAGAGATTTGTATAGTTAACACAAACGCGTGCGAGAATGTCGCGGCATTTTGTCTCTGCTGAAATTTCAATATCGCGAACATTTTGTCCTGGCGCGTCCAAGATGTGCAATCTGTGATTTTTTATTGATACGGAAGTGAAGGAATTTATATATTGCGAAACTTGTTCATCAAAAGAACAATAATGAGAAATCTAACAATAATGAGAAAAAGGATACTGTAAGTAACAAGAAGATGTTGAGTGCCAAACTGTTGACCTTGGCTTGGATGACACTTTATGATCCTTCTGATAATTTTTAACAATTCCCGTCCATATGGAAATTGCTCGGTATTTCTGAAAATTAAAACGAAAATATTAATTGAAATTTCTCAAAGAATAATTAAGAAACAAGACAATTATCTTTGTACCTCATTGTACGATGATATCTAAAAATAAATTTGTATATATTCTTCTTGCAACACAGCCAATAAGATCCAGGAATGGTTAGGAAGGATTCCTTTTTTGAGTCGATCCAATTAAATTTGCTAAATGTTCGTACATATATTCCAGGCATTTTCTCTCAGGCAGTAGATCTTGAAATAGGGGAACTAATCTTGTTGAATCTTGTCTACCAACTGACTCTTTTACAATAAATGTGAGATAATAAAGTACCCTTTGCTGAAATTGATATATTTCCAAGCTTGAATCTCATCTTTCTTCTTGTAACACAAAAAATCTCTGACAAACAAATATTATTACAGTTCACACAAAGAAAAACTTACTCCTTTTATGACTTCATTAATGAACACATCCTCCACCACATCCCATGGTAAAAATTCTGTAGACGAGAAAATTCCGAATCCTCTTTTGCATTCGATATGCACGCCAACAGATTCCACAACTAATAAAGTATCTGCAAAAGTAGCATGTGTAGAAAAATTGGTCGAGTGAAAAGTTTTGAATTATCTGGCGATAATAAATTGTTTCCGTCAAAAAAAAGTCGTTGCAACATTTTCAGTTTAAAGAAATTTGAAATGAATTTGTTTCCTCACCATGGCATGCGGAAATTATGAACACGTTTCGCAGGAGTATCAGGACAAACACCGACAGTAGAGACAGAATCAGAGTTTTCGACACGACCCATACGAAGACAACCGCGCAGACCAGTATCAGGCAGAGATTTATATTAAATCGCCGTTCCCTACGCAGCACAAAGCTTATGACACTGCCAGTGCTTGCTTTCTCCTCCAACGTTAGCCATTCCCCATCGACGTTTCTGAATGATACTTCAGTGGGAAGTGCTTGTGTTTGATGATTTGACGACATCAATGCATTCTGTTTGCAAACACTCTGTTTGTGCTATTTACTAAAGTCCCATCGTCCCGCGCGCTACATATGAGCCATACGCTTATATAAATCTAATGTAAATATACTCAAAACAGAAACCCCGGATACTTGACTGAGACCACTTCTCCCAATGACAGGTACGCGAGAATTCGCCGCTCCTAGTGTCACGTCGAAAGACTAGTTTCCACCAACTGTCACAAGTGATCGCCTTGAAGTCTCGAGACCCTTTCACCATCGCCGATTAGACGTGAATCGCGATTGGTCGGGTTGACTGATGAACGACTGATGCGATTGATCAATTCCAATCGGGTGATCAGCCGATCGGTTTGATCAGAGACGAACCTCCGGATTGGTCGAACTCGCGTTTGTTGACCGAGTCGCGTGATGAAACTCGTCCAATCGGGACGAGGTTCGCCACACTCGAGATTGGCACCCAACTTAGCTCGCTCGGTCCGCTATTGGTCGGAGAGAAAGTTTACCGCGCGCCAGAGGTCGTGTCTCGCTCTCGAACGGCTCCGACGACGGTGGGAATGAAACAGCACCTGCTGCCATTCTGGCATTACGTCAATGGTGTGTGTGGAGGTCTCATTCGTCGGTTTGGGAGGAGTTGCTGTTGACCGCCATTGTTACAACTCCGTCGCGCATATCTCGGGGGGAACGTGATTAATAATTTTTCGCGATTTGTCATTCGCGGATTGCCGTAGTCGTCGCGCATCCGGACACCGAGACAACCGTTTTTTTTCCCCTCGTCGTAATTGTAATTTCGGAAACCCAAAGGATCCCGGAGAGAGCGTCCACATTATCACCAGCCAGCTCGTCACTCGCCGTAGCATGTCCACGATGAATCCCGAATAGTGAGTAAATCGTATCCCCTCATTCTGCGCAGAGACATACGAGAAGTGCGCGAGATCTCGCGCCGCGCGCGACGTCTCGCCTCGTCCGCTCGAGCGACGACACGCACGCACAAGAACGACAAGAGAGAAAGAAAGAAAGAAAGAGAGAGAGAGACGACGCGTGTGTGAATCCTCGTCGCCGTTCTTCTCCCCTCTGTCCTTCGACGGGGGCGAACGAAAAAAGAAGAAAAATATATATATATATATATATATGTGTGTACATGTATACACGTCTCTAATCTCTTCACCGTCTGACAGATCCACCCTCCCCCCGTGCGTCGTCTCCCCTCCTACTATGTGAAACATGGCATTCTAGCGCCGTAGTCCATATTTCGCTCATTTTTTCCGGTGGTACACTTTCGCCGTATCCGCGCGTCTCCCGATGTCGAACACTCGGGTCTTTATTTTTTTTTTTTTTTTTCCCCATTATCAGGAACTAATCAGCCTCGAGATACCCCTCGCTCGAACGTCCAAGGATCCGATTTGCTGAGTAGTTTTTTTCTTTTTTTTTGTTCCGTTGTGTGCACTTTGCATCTTCGATGTACATTCGCGATCTCGATGATTCGCCTTTTCACACATCGCTCTTTTGAAGAGCGCGGTGTGTGCGAAGCGCTCGTCTCTCTCTCTTCCGTCACAAAAACACACGCGCACGAGTCGACGACACGATTTGATAACAAAGCTGAAACGTTTTTTTTTTTTTTTTTGTTTTTTGTTTCAGCGATTATCTGTTCAAGTTGCTCTTAATCGGAGATTCCGGCGTGGGCAAGTCGTGTCTTCTGCTACGTTTCGCCGATGACACATACACGGAAAGTTACATCAGCACCATCGGTGTGGATTTTAAGATTCGTACCATTGATCTCGATGGGAAAACGATAAAACTTCAAATCTGGGACACGGCGGGTCAGGAACGGTTCAGGACAATTACGAGTTCTTATTACCGGGGTGCGCACGGTATTATTGTTGTTTACGACTGTACGGATCAGGAGACCTTCAACAACGTCAAACAGTGGTTGGAGGAAATTGATCGTTACGCCTGTGATAACGTCAACAAGCTGCTAGTGGGCAATAAATGTGATTTACACACTAAAAAAGTAGTCGATTACACAACAGCCAAGGTAACGAACTAATGTCCGCAAACGTTCTTCTTGCTCGATTCGATTCGTTTCACGATCTGGTGTTCTAATCGCGCTATTGTTTCTGTGTTGTCTCGTTTGTTTTTGCCAAACAGGAATACGCCGATCAACTGGGCATACCGTTTTTGGAAACATCAGCGAAGAACGCGATGAACGTAGAGCAAGCGTTTATGACCATGGCTGCCGAGATCAAGCTTAGAGTAGGTCCACCCTCGAGCGGCGCGAGCGATCCGGCCAACAAGGTGAAAATAGAACACGGACGTCCAATCGAATCATCCAAGTCCGGATGCTGCTGAGAACTGTAATCTCGTGTCCAATCCATCAGTTTAACCAAAGTAAGCGTTCCGCGTAAATCCGGCAGGTGCGAACATCGAGGGGGGGGGGGTTTCAAACAATCGGAAGTAAAAAGAAATTTTTTTTTTTTATATATATATAATTCTTGATTTCAGAACATCTAACGGTTGCGGTCCTTGGTAACTGCAAAAATTTTAAAAAAAAGCTACACAAAAAAGGATGTACATGAAAATTTTCAGTTCGCATCGCAAAAGGAAGAAAACAAAAAAAAATCTAACACTCACATGGACCACCAACTCTTCCTCGGAGTTGTACAAAAACAAAAAGCAAAAAAAAAAAACAACGTCTCTCCTCGTCCGCCTACTCTTTTTCCCGTTTTTTTGTAGTTGTCTTTCTTTTCGAAGAAGACAGGAAATGCGGTTACTCTCTCAACGCCATTTTCTAGATCAAGTTCGACCTTAGATAAATTCGTCGAATGTTATATAGCGTTTAAATAAAAAAAAAAACGGTGTCGAACGTGTGCGTAGGCGTGTGCGTAACAACACAAAGCGATATAACTCATGTCTTTTAAGAGAAGAAGAAAAAAAACAAAGTAAAATTGGGTAATATTGCGATGAATTATATTATAAAGATAAGCACTATTTTTTTTTAGCCTAATTATATATGTACAATGAATTGTATGTTTGGCTTTTGTATCGCGCGAAAAGCCTTTCTATTTCTCAATGTCGTATAATCTTTGAAGTTGTTTCTATATGATTTTTTTCTTATCTTTTTTGTTTAATTCTCTCTCTCTCTCTCTTTCTCTTTTTCTCTCCGTTTTCTCTCCGTTTTCTCTCCGCGAATGTGCAAGTCTCTTTCGTATTGTTCGTTCGCGTTCTTTAATTTTCTTCGCAGCGCGGGACTCCGCGGGCGCGACAAAGTCGCTTTTTTTTTTTCCTCACAGCGCTCACTAGTGTAATTTAATATGTAATAACATTTTATTAAAAAAAAAAAAAATAGAATATTTCTGAACACACACACATACACTAACTCTCGGAACGCGTAGAACACACAGACGTTACTTCTGCGCATCACGTATACAATGTATATGTATATTAATGTTCTATATAATGTGCGTACATATACACTGTATTGAAAAAAGTATTCTCTGAGCGTGCGCGCCCAAGAGATAAAAAAAAAAAAAATGCGGAAATATCCTTCTTTCAAAAAAAAAAAAACTGTCTGAAGATTCGTCATTTTTACAATCCTCGTCGTTGTCCCGTATGTTTTATTTTTTATTTTCTTTTTTTTGTTTTTTTAATTTTTTTCATCTCCAAGATTCAAACGCGATCCGAGAATCGAACAGAAGAAATGTGAAACGGAAGTTCCAGACTTTTAATCAAGTAGAAAACGGGGATATTTTGTACGAGCTAAGAATTATATTATTACAGTTACAGTTTAATCCAAAATTGTATCTTTGTATCGTGATGAAGTTGCGGGGTGGTATACGATATAACGGCACTCAAAATTACAATTATAGTAACTGTAATTTATAAAATACAAAAAGAATAAACAAATTATCTAAACGATAGTGCGCTGTTCTTTGTGCTGTTGTTTCTTTTTTTCTCTCTGCGATTTAGTGCGTGCACGCGCGAACGTTGCGCGATGTGTCATCTCTCTTGCTACATGTTTCATAACTCGACGCGCCCAAAGAAATCAATCGATAATTTATCTTTGTGTGCGTGTGTGTGCGCGAAGCGGATCGCGCGACAACACGTCCATCTGATGGCTGAAATTTGTTATTACGAACTTGTGTTTCGCCAGCGCTATGTTCAGAGTGGGGCTCATTGGCACCTACGTAGCCGTGTTCATTAACCGGTTTGTCGGTAAGTATCACGTGTACGCACCAAGACTGGTTCTTTTCGGTGCTACGGCATGTGGTTCTACGACATGACATTTAGTTAAAACACGTCAGATGTTCGGAGCAAGTTCACGGCACTGACAGTCATCACGAAATGATTGAACAAGTCGGAGTTTTCGCAATCGATGAATTGTGAGGAGTTCGAAGCGTCGAACGGAGAGCGTATGTAGATTGAACAAAACAACAAAACAGAGACAATGGTCGTCTTGCCGATCGCAATTTCCGTGCGGTTTTTTAATCCAATTGTGACATAACCCCAGCGTACCTTTGTTTTTGTTCAGACGAAACGTTAAACATAAAAATATCTTCAAAATGATGCAACAATATATGAAGGAATTGGAACAGGTGTGTGTAGTTTTTTGATGATTTTACATTTTGATCAAACGTCAAAATGTCACGCCAGGTAATTGGTGTTATGATATTTGCAAACAAGTTGCAATTTTTTTTCATTCACAGGATCCGTTCGATTCTGAGGAATTTGTCGAGCGATTGGCTTGGAGAACTGTCAATGACAAGACCAAGGATGGAGGAAAAACGTTCTTCGATCCCGTCATAGTTCACGAAACTTTTTTACAGGCGATTAAAGACCTGCAGATATTGCAGGAACGTCAACAAAAGAAATGCGACAGATTGGAGGCCGCTTTGAAAGAAGAGGAGGCTCGACACGCGATGGAGATAATGGAATTGCAGGAGAGGAATAGACATTCCATCGATTTGTTTCACCAGTTAGACGAAAGAATCAATTTTGTGGCCACCAAAGTCTTGCATCTGGGAGATCAGTTGGAAAGCGTCAATACACCGAGAGCGAGAGCGGTCGAGGCTCAAAAATTGATGAGACATTTTTCGGAATTTTTAAGCCCCGGTCTGTTGACAGATCCGATTTTTACGGACAAATCTTTGGTAGAGAGAAATAAAAAAATTTAATTTCGAACACCGCGACGACTAAAATCGTTGTAACTAAAAAGAAATAACGTTGTTTCAGTTGAATGAAGCGGCTGACGTGATTCAAAAGCTCCATCTCATAGCGCAGGAACTTCCCTCCGAGAAATTCGAACACGCAAAGAAGAAGATCGGCGTCAAGTACGACGAGATAGAACGGAATCTGATCGAGGAGTTTGTGAGGGCGCACAACAGAGAGGACGCGCCGCGTATGAGGGAACTGGCGGGCACTTTGGCTCATTTCAAAGGTTACTCTCAGTGTATCGATGCCTTCATAGAACAGAGTCAAATGGGTTCGTTCGGTGGGAAGGATGTCTTTCAGGATGTAATACCCATGTGCACGAAGTATCACAAGCTCATGCAACAGGTGTTCACCAATCCCGAGCAAGTGATGGCGAAGTTCGTCTTGAACATTTATCATCTGCGTCTTCAGAAGTACGCGGTAGCCAAGTTGGCCGATAAAGCGGACTCCGACAAATATCTCAGGAATTTGTACGATCTGTATACGAGAACGGTGAAGCTGTCGAACGAACTGAGGATCTTTAATATGGGCACGGACGACACTTACCTCTCCAAACTTACCAGAAATATATTTCAGAAATATTTGGACGCTTACATCACGTAAGTCTTTGGGACGTTTATTTAATAAGAGCTAAAACAATCATTTCATTCTGTGTGTGTTGGGTTGATTTTTTTTAGCATCGAAACGAAGGCGTTCCGAGAAAAATCGGCGGCGCTGCTCATCGAATATTACGAGTCCAAGAATCATCAGAAGAAACAATTGCAAACCGGCGGGTTCCAAGAATTGCGCAGAGATCTTCAAGCTGTGCTGGGCGCAAGGACTAATATAAATATTGCTCAAATAGAAGATTACGGAGGCGAGACGTTTCTCTCGGAAGAACTGGCGATCGCGATATTACAAAGGAGCAAACTCGCGTTTCAGAGATGCCAGTTACTCTCGCAGTCCGTAGACGTTTCCGCGAACGCGCTGCAGATCTTTGAAATATTGCTCCAATATCTGATAAGCGAACACGTGGACTACGCGTTAGAATTGGGTTTGCAAAGCGTGCCGATACCGGAGAGCAGAACTCAGCCGGAGATTCACTTCTTCAACGTGGTGCATCAGTGTAACGCGATTGTCAGGCTCTTGGAGGAACAATTCAACGACAGCGTATTGCCTCTCGTTGTGTACGCAAGTCGCGCTTTCGCGCGCCTACTTTCGCCTAATGCCAATCTAAGATACGAATCAATATTGAAGATGCGTTTCTTTTCAGATCCACACCCAAACATCCCGATTGTTTGTTAAAGAAAAAAGCGATATTAGAACAAATTGACGTTAAATTGGACACCGGCTTGGACAGAAGCATTAACGCGATTGTGGGCTGGGTGAAAGTTTATCTACAAAATGAACAGAGAAAGACAGACTTCAAGCCGGAAACTGACGTCGACACCGTGAACACTCCTGCTTGTTTAGCAGTGGTCCAGTACGTGAGCGGAATGATACGACAGATACGAAATACTCTGGACGGCAAGCACTTGGAGACCACTCTCAAGGAATTGGGAATCAGATTTCACAAAGTCATTTACGATCATTTGCAGCAATTTCAGTTCAATTCCGCTGGCGCTATGTGCGCGATATGTGACATGAATGAATATCGCAAGTGCATCAAAGAGCTCGACGTTGAATTTGTTACGAATCTCTTTGACACCCTGCACGCATTGTGCAATCTGCTGTTGGTAAAACCGGAAAATCTGAAACAAGTGTGCACGGGAGACCAACTGGTACGTTGAATTATCATCAAAATATACGTGTAACGCAAAAAAAAATACACGTACTCTTTGCACAATTTTCTCGATAAGATCATTTTGTATTGGAAAATTAATATAAATCAATGTGATGTTGCAGATGACACTCGATCGCACCGTTCTACTAAATTTTATTCAATTAAGAACCGATTACAAGACACAGAAGTTAGCCAATTGTTTAAAAGGCCTAGCAACATAATGACACAGTCTAGTTTGCGTAAGAAAACGAATGCTTTATGCTTTAATGTTGGACTATCAATCACAAAAATCGATCATCTATCTATTAAATATAGGAAAAAAAATCGCTCCGACACAAGAATGTAACCTGTTATTTATACAAACTACCTAAATATGTATGAGAATTTTTTCGCCATTAGGATTATTGTTCGCGTTGTTGTCATGTACATACACTCGCAGAAAATAGCACTCTTTCAGGTCGCTCATATCGCAATAAATTGAACATACGACGATCAAAAGGATACGACCATAGACATATATCGACCTACGCTTTCAGAGCATATTTTTTTGTGGGAATGCAGCTTGTTCTGTTTCACCTGAGTTTTTTCTGTTAACTTAAGCTGCTTTCCTTTTAGGAGACACAGTCGACACAAGAGTCATTCTATCTTTGTTTTTCACTGAATATTGAACGAAGACAGAATGACTTTTGTGTCGACTGTGTATCCTAAAAGGAAAGCAGCCTTAGTAGGGTGTAAGAGCCGAATGTTTCTCCAGTCAAGCGGCTTGTATTTTATTTGTTCTTATGAAACAAGCGAGGATTTTATATGTCTATGGACACGACGAATGACCACACACAAGAATTTCATCAATATTTAGATTAAAATTCTTATTGATTTTTGTTGTTCGTTTTTTTTTTCTGTAACTCTAGCAAAATGTGTTGAAGCAAAATTTAGTGAAATAATAAAAACAATTTAACAAGAAAATGTCTGTCGCACAATTATATTTTAATGTACATTGAAGACGCACGTGTTTTTTTTTCCTATTGTTACATTACAGTAATTTTATATTATACAACAGTACTACTATGTAACACAACATATGTGTATATATAAACATACATTTATATATATAAATACGTATTATATATTGCACAAAATACATAATATACTATATATTGCACAAAATATATAACATATATAATACATATATATTATATATTGCACAAAATATATTATATATTATATATTGCACGAAATATATAACATATCACGCACAAATGCATATTTATATGTAAAAAATTGCGTATTACGTAATAATACTGTTGTAACGGCCCGCGGAGTTACAGTGAACGCCAAGAGAGATTCAGCAATACATTTCGAAGACGTTGCACACAACAATAGTGATCTTGTGAAAAATTATGCGCAAAACTTCCTCTCTTGTCGTTTTTTTTTTTTTTTTTTTTTTTTTTTTTGTGATGATAAAGTATATCTCACACCACGTTTCAAATCCAATTCAGAATATTATAAATGCGACTAAATGTTTACAAATGTTACAAATGTGCTCGTGTCCGAATCGTGACACGTCCAGTATAAGAGAGAGAGTGTCTGTAAGTCATTCACATTAAATAACTAATCAGGAAGCATTCCATATTCTCTAAAATTGAAGATAAACTTACAATACTTCAAAAAAAAAAAAAAAACATAGCTCATTAATATACCATTTATCAGTACACAAATGTCCAATTGTCGTTTTTTCTTTTTTTGGGGGGGAGTTTTTTTTTTTTTTGTTTTTTCATTACATGAAGAAAGAATTTTGTAATTCGAGGTTGATTAAATGGCTTTCCATGAACTATGGATGGGAAGAAAGGTTACACAATCCACTGAATATCAGCGCATACGATAGTTGTTAGTTTCGTGTACTTGGCACAATTCCCCTTTAAAGTCCAATTGGATACTGAAGTCTAGATCCCTATAATTCCTGGCATTGGGCTTCATCGAGAAAACGCCGTATATTTCCTCCCCCTTCTTCACCGTCATGTATTCGTCGAAATAAAAGACAGTTTGCTTCCAATGTGTGTATGGCACTTCCGGTGCTGTGCTGAAGCCGATACGTTTGTGGCACTTGGTGAATTCGATGTTGAAGAATGTAACTAGCGCTTGCACATAGTCGTTTCTGCGTACTTGTAGGGTGAACGGCGACGAGAACTCCAGATCCGTCTTCTTGACCGTGTAAAGATCAACCTCCTTGATTAGGCATGCGTTCGTGACAACTTGCTTGGGATCAACAACATCTACCAGGGGCTCACTAATCGCGACTTTTCTTATGCTACTCATATCGAAACCGTATACGTCATCCCACCAATTGATTTTTTCATCCTTGTATTGTCTATCTTCAATTCCGCAGATGAAGAGAGTCGCCTTGTCGGGAAACAGCATACCTCCCTCGCAGAGCCATTTGTCTCTCGCGAAAAGCACCGTGTCCAACATCGACTCGTAGAACAGACAATAGCCCATCCACTCCGATATTATTATGTCGACCTTCTCGATTCCGTCTGGCAATGTAACTTCCTCGACCTTACCCTTAAGTATCGTTATAATATTGGAAAGATTGTTAGCCTCGACAATCTTTTCCGCGTATTCAACGATATTAGAACATTCAATACCGATGACTTTAGCCGCGCCAGCCTTGGCCGCGAACATGGAGAGAATACCGGTGCCGCAACCAATGTCAAGAACCGTCTTCCCTTTGAAAAGATGCTTATTGTGATACATGGAATTCCTGTAAGTTACAGTACGTATTTCGTCCTTCAACATTTCCTCGTGTATGCCGTAATGGGCATACGAGTCGAAGTAATAATCCCTCGAGGTCATATCGTCTACTGATACAGTCCCTCTACACGAACTGCAGGATGATGTGTTAACGGCTTTGTTCACGGCGTTGGATTCGGTGTCTGTTGCTATATCCATAGACTCCATTTTTGACTCCTGCAAAATTATATTCGCTTGTATTAGAAATTAATAAAATTTTCTTAACCGTAAATACTACTAAAACTTCAATCATCTGAAACACATCACTTCTAACGACCTAAATTTGTCTCTCTGTATTTACATCAAAAATTATTTTTCATCATTTTTCGAACATTTATTTATAAAAATTACAATTATATATTTTTTATAAGTTTGTTCGTTAGTTTCCCTCAACAATCGATTGGGTTTTCTTCTTTTCCATCGCGTTCTCTGACGCGAGAAAAAGAGATTGATTAATTAATAAATTGCGCGAACACAAGCAGCGAGTAAAGAAAAGTTGCACGCACGAGGGAAATGCTCGTTAACACAAGGCGCGCACAGCCACAGGCGTCGTGCGGAAATTACGTATCGCGCGAAATCCTCACGTTGCACACACACACACGCACACACGCACACATACACACACGCTCTTTAGACTCAAATCAACTCAATCGAGAAAAAGAATATTTACTATATTGTTCATGAGTGAGCCGAGCCTCGCAGGAAGAGAACGAATTTTTTTTTTTTTCAATTCTCTCGGAGAGAATTCGCATACGCCGGTATGTACAAAGAAACAGGACGCACGTGCCCGCCAATGCGAATGGCGTCCTCTTCAGATTGAACAGTCCGCCGCTTTGCACGCGCTATATCCCCTCGCGCTATATATCCGTTTCCGTTGTCTATATAGAAAAAACGCGGAGATGCGGACGCGAATTTTTTTGCGTTTTAAAAATCAACGGTTCTTAGCGGATACGCTAACCGCTCCGAGAAATTCGTCGCGAGACAAAAAAAAAAAAAAACATGCAATATCACTCCCGCCGAACGGCTCTGTTCCCGAGCCAAGCGGCTCCTCACTGCGAAAACTTGAGGAACAAAATACAACACTGAGGTTGACGTCCCCCCCGAGTTGCTTTGCGTCTCGACCGCGAGTATCCGCAACTTCGCGAGTGGTCACCGCGTATCGTCGACGATAATTCTCACGGAAATCAGCCGTCTTATCACCTCGTCGATAATACGTGCGGCTAAACTCACCGAGTTCTCCATGGCGTGCACGCGACTCTCGTTGATTTCTACCGGCGCCTCATCACTCGCCGCCATTTTGTTTTCTTGCGTCACAGCAGACGACCGGGCAGATGTGTCGCTAGCGGCCGGGAAAAAAGGGCGTGCTTCGCCGCCGTCCGCGGGACGTCGTCGCGGACGAGTCGAGTAACCACGTAGAAAATATAAGCCGGACGATTTTTCTTTTTGGTCCTCGAACACGGGGCGACGGACGGACGTGGAGAGGTTCACGAGACCGTTCCTGCGTCGTGTTCCCGAAGAAAATATCGCGATCGCGCGCGAAATCCAACGAGGAGACGCGAACGCGCGTGCGCGCCCTTAACAGATGGCGCTGCGCGTGGCGCCAGGTGGTGCACGCGTACGCGGATACGTCCCTGCGGCCACAGCACATCGGCCCCGAGAGGAGGGGGGGTTCTCGGGCATCGAATTTCTGCGAGAGAGAGCGGCGCGCGTGCATCGGCGGCGTTGTTACGTTCTGTTCGCGGTGAGAGTGTGCGATCGGGACGTGTGTGTGCGAAAAATTGCGTATTATCTTCCGGGCGCGGTTCGCTACTCGGCGTTTCCGCGGTAAAACTCGCGATCGTGTGTTTTTTTTCCAATTGACGTGCGAGAGACGAGAATTTCGCGTGTCCTTTAACGTTTTTCAGCGCGGGAGGAGTACGAGGGGAACTCCGCCTCCGCCGCCGTGCGTACACTACGGATCGTCCAATGAGAGCGGTTGACAAGTCTATTCGTGGTGGCGATGGGCAGGGAAAAGAGGCTCGTAATCGTCGCGCGGGGCCGAGCGTAGTGAGGAGCTCGCTGTTGTCACTTTCTCGAAGGGGGTCACGCTTTTGCGCTGTTTGCTCGCGACTTGGCACGAGCAACTCGTCCTGGATAATGTAAAGAACGACGCCTCGTCGTCCCGACCGCGTTTTCATTATTGTTCGTGAAATTGCGTCCAAAATCCGGAGTGTCCCCGAGTGTCCCCGAAATTGCGGAGCGGTGAAAGATGCTGGTGAGTAAACAGTAAGCGGAAGGAAAAATGCTCTCTCTCTCTCTCTCTCTGCGTTTTAACGTCTGACCGCCAGCTACATACAACAACAATTCACGGCCAGACTTCTCCTGGCTGCGATCTCTTGATGCATGTGCTGATAAAAGCTTTGTTCTGGACGCGCGTCCCTGGTGTTTTCGTGGGTCCCGTTGCAATACACATATTGTGTGTATTACGTGCCCGCGCCAACATATCCACGCTTTTTTTCCGCTTCTCTCTTTTTCTCTCTCTCTCTCTCTCTCTCTCTCTGTCTTTCCGCTTTTCCCTCTCACTCTCTCTCTCTCTCTCTCTCTTGCACGCGTTCACTTGTTCCTTCGCCCTCTTCTCTCTTCTCTTTTTTCTCTAGCTCTCGGTGACGATCGTTCCGGATTTCTCATCAGACGCGTTATTAATTGGTCCAAGGGACGGGAAGTTGATTTCTCCCGGAGTTTTCTTGAGCAAAAATGTGTTTTTCTTCTTTCTATAGTTTGGTGTTTTTTTTTTTTTTTTATATATATTTTTATTTGTTTTCTCGTCGAGAAACTGAATGAAAATATTTTTCCAAAGACGCTTAATGCGAAATTAAATTTAGTGTGTTAATATCTTTGTTTTCGTTTAGGAATTTTACCCGAACGACGTCTGCAACACCTCACAAGTATTATTTGATATCCTTCTTCGCCAAGATATTGTTGGGTTTTTGACAATGCCATTAGGTCCCTTTGCTTTACATTTTTTCCGGCTCAGGACTTTCGTCGCTGGATTCAAATAGAAGAATACTTCTAGATGATACATGATTTATCATTGCTACATACACCTAATCTCACAAAAGATTTACAATTAATTTTCTTCTGTTTATTTCTTTTTATTTTTTTTCTTCTGTTTATAATTCTCAGGTAAAAGTACCAATATCGAGACAGATCTCAATACTTGAACGGTTGAAAATTGTTTCACAATGATATATTATGAGGATTTAAAAATAATAAACAAAAAACGTTTATGTGAAACCATTGAATCAGATAAAAAGCAAAACTTTATATTTGAAGTAAAAAGATCTAAATGATGTGTGAAATAATGTGACATTGATACTTTTACTTTGTAACTTCTTGTTAATCTACTATATTTTTAAAAACATTGTGTTCACTATTATGTGAAATTTATATTTCTTATTTTAATTCAATTTTCTTACTTTCTTAACTCTCTGCGCATAATATTTAGCCTTTGATTAAACAAATTAAGTGTTTTTTACAAACAATTATAATTATTATGCTTTAGATCAGTGATGATTTCCTGTGGTCACTGTTGGAGAGTTAATTTATGTATACCTTAAGTTGTAATTCTAAGTTTAGTTATAAGGCTAACTTATATTTAAGTAGTTTATAAGTTAATCGTTAAAATAAGTTTTTAAAACTAAGATTGCACTAATAACATTAACAAATAGCATTATTAATGGTAAGTTTAATAATAATTTAGGGAGACGATCCACCCTCCCTATCGGTGGGTACAGAGGTCAGTGCTAAATACAAGGGTGCTTTCTGTGAAGCAAAGATACGTAAAGTAGTGAGATCAGTGAAGTGTCGAGTTACTTATAAACCTCAAGGATTAGGAACTGCTACTGTATCTGATGATCAGATAAAAGGAACCTTGAGAGTTGGCGCTTCTGTTGAAGCCAGGCATGTAGACCGGAAAGAATATGTGGAAGCTACAATTACCAAGATTCAAGACTGCAGTCAGTATACTGTAGTGTTCGATGATGGTGATATCACGACTTTGAGAAGAACTGCGCTTTGTTTAAAAAGTGGAAGACATTTTGCCGAGAGTGAAACATTGGATCAGCTTCCGTTGACTCATCCGGAACATTTTGGAAACCCCGTAATCGGAGGCAGAAGGGGTAGACGATCAAGGCAAGCGCAGTAAGTGTGAGGGGGAAGTTTGTTTCTTTTTTAAGTATTATAACAGCTTTTCTAACCAAGCTATTTCTCTGGGAAATAGGGACGAGAGCAGCGAAGATGAAGACAGTCCACCAAGAGGCACTCGCGACTCTGCTTCCAGTGGAGGTACGAAAGAGGGAATGGAAACCGAACCAGAGATTGGCAGAGTGGTCTGTGTGGAACTCGGTGACAAGAAGAAAAAAGACAATTGGTTTCCCGGTCTGGTGGTTGCACCCACTGCTCAAGATACAGTAAGAATACGAGTGAGAGATGATTATTTGGTGCGCTCGTTCAAGGATGCCAGATAGTGAGTAAACACTTTTTAATATAAGTACAAGTAATTATGTTATACAAACATTTACGCTATCTTCTTTTTTTTTGTTTTTAGCTATACCGTACCCAAGAAAGAAGCCACGGAATTCACGAAAGAATTGGTTAATAAAGTTGAAAACAGTACATTGAAGGTCGCGGTGGAAAAGGCGCTTCTCTTCTTAGAGAAAAACGAATTGCCACCTCATTGGGACAGAGACTCCTTGTTCGGACATTCTGTTTCCAGTGGCAATAGCGATTACGATGGAGAACTCGATTCAGATGTAAGATCTCTTTTTTTTTTTGTACGCAACAATAATTATACAAATTATATATATATATATATGTATGATCTTTCTCTCCAGAGTTCGGACGACGAGCCGCGCGAGGAAAAGGATCATTTTGTGGCACAACTGTACAAATTCATGGATGATCGTGGAACGCCTATCAATGTTTGCCCGATGATCGGAACTAAAGATATAGATTTGTACCGTCTCTTTCGGGCGGTGCAGAAATTAGGTGGTTACAATCGCGTCACGAATCAGAATCAATGGAAGGTCATAACGCGGCGACTGAACTTTTCGATGCAAAATTCCGGGCCTATGCACAATCACGTGAAGCAGGCTTATAAGAAATTCTTGCACTCGTTCGAGGACTTTTATAGAAAGTTGGGCTGCACCATGGTGAATCATCCGCGAAGCAGCGCGCGTAAACAGCGTCCCGGAAGAAGTTTGATTCGCGACAAAGACAGAAATACGCCTGTACCGCAGCAAACAACACCGGCACAAGTGAAGAACGATAAGGACGAAGACGAGAAGAAAGTCGCGGACGATGAGAAAAAGGAGAAGAAGGAAGTCAAGAAGGAGGTGAAAGAAGAGGAGGTGGTGAAGGTGAAGAAAAAAGAAGAAACCGAAGGAAACGGCAGCGGCCAGGAAAGTGACGTCAATGTCGAGGGTGACGCGGAGTCAACTTCCACTAATGAAAAATCGCAAAAACCAACCGCGCAGATATCCACATTATCCCCGACATCCAGCGGCAATGTTGCTGCGTCGTCCAGCAGTCGAAGCAAGTCAAAAAGCAAAGAGGACACCAAAAAGAAGACGGTCGAGAAGAAGAAAACGGAAACCAAAAAACAAGAGAAGAAAGACGAAAAGCTGAAGGAAGAGGAGGCTACTAAAACGAGGTCTAAGGCAAAGGACGATACTGTGAAAAATAAAGGCGTTTCCGAGGGAAGGGAATCGCGAACACCGTCCGGAGAAGCGGAGAAGAAACCGTTGTCGAAGCAGCGACGTTTGACGGATGAGGAATTGAAGAAGCGTGGGAGAAAACGCAAAGACAATGAGGCGGAAAAATCTCGCACAACGGACGAACAACCTACGGACACCGCTCCCAGCTACAAAGGTCCCGTGGAGTGTGGCGATAAACTGAAGGTGTACTACGGTCCAACGCACGAATCCAAATACACTTACGAAGCTAAGGTTATCGAGATAGAAAAGGACGGTCCGGAACCGGTGTATCTTGTGCATTATACAGGCTGGAACACCAGGTACGACGAGTGGATCAAAGCGTCAAGAATCGCTCAGAATTTCACGCAAGCTCAAAGCAGAGTAAAGCGTGTCAAAGGTAATCAAACTCCCCAGCCCCAAACTAGCGGCGCGAGTCTGTCCAACAACGCTGGGAATAAATCAAAAAGTACTTGCAGTTCGAGCGTCAATGTGGCACAAAGCCGCCGCCGAGCTCAAAGCGTAGCTCCCACATCTACTTCAAGCGCTGTTCCGTCAACGCCAACGTCCACGAAGGAAGTTAAGAAGGACGACAAGGATAAAGAAACGACGACGCAACCAATCAGATCGACCACTCCGTTGTCTGCCGTGAGCTCCAGCTCTAGAACCAAGAGCCCCGCCACGCCTGTCAACAATCGACAAACCAGAACAGCGAGAAATGCGGAACTGTCTGGTATAGAACAACAACGAAGACGGACCCGAAGAACGTCGGGACACACGGACGTGTCCGTCGCGTCTGAGAGCGAGGACAGCGAGGATTACGAGTCCGACACCGTTGAGCTCGAGCAAACGAAGACCAGATTGAGAGGCACCGAGGAGAGAAAAGCGAGGAAGGAAGCGCGAAGCAAACTGGAAGAAAGAGTTAAAACGGAGGATGTGAGCGACGCCGAGGACGAGAAGGACAATCTAGACGAGCCGCGCAAGGCGGGTAGACGTTTGAGAAGAACGCCTGGCAAGTCACAAGGTATTAAATCCGAACCGGATAGCGATCAGGAGGAACAACCGAGAGGTCGAGATTTCGATCTCAATCAGATACGATCTGAGTTGAAAGGTTTCGACAAAGCGGTTAAGTTGGAAATAATCAGACCGAAACCCGAGCCTGAGGACGAAATCAAACTGGACGAGAAAGAGACTGCGATCTCGATATCGCCCAAGTTGGAGAAGACCGTCGAGTCTCCGAAAGTGGAGGCCGTTGTTGAGAGTAAGGCCGAGAGCACGGAGGACATATACGAGTTCAAAGAACCGGAACCGTTCGAATTCGAAGTAAGAAACAAAAGAGATACCAGCAGCGAGAAGGATAAATTGAAGAAAAGGGTGTTCGACGATGAGCCCAAGAGTCCGAAGAAGAAGCAGAGAACGTCGATTGCGACGCCGGTGACGAAAGAGACGAACAAATCGGAACCGTCCGCGGATGACGCTCGGAAGATGACAAAAAAATTATTCGGCAGAAAGTCCGACGACGCGGTGTCGGCCGAGGCAGCGGCTCTTCATAAACTCTCGTCGGACAAACAACCCGCCGCGAGCGAACCGTGTAAGACGTGCGCGACTGGTGGAAATTACGGCAAGGTGCAGCAGCAGTGTGTAACGTGCGACGTCAAGTCCTTCAGAAAATTCACGCCTAAGTTCGCAAAAGACACGAGCGTTAAGGAACCGGTCGGTTCCTTAAATCTTTTGTTCAACGATTTACCGACGTACGACGAGAACGCGCGCGACGACTCGGAGGATCGTCTGATAATCTCGGAAAATGAAGTTCCGCTCGAGCAAGAGAACCCGTTTACGACTTATCAAAACGTTCAGTTTCACAGCGGCGAATCGACAAGCGCGACGGAATCAAATAAGAACGAAGTAATCTTGTCAAAGATCCCGAAGATTCACGAAGAAACGACAGCCAATACGAGCACCACCAGCAGCACCACCATCACCACCACCACCACCACCAAACCGACTAATCTGTTGGAACAGAAACAGAGTCAAGTCAAATCGTCACCCGGAAAGATCGAGCAACAACTGCAGGATCTAAAGATGCTGGAATCGAAAATAATCAGTCCGATATTGCCGTCGATCGTGACACCTCCGGCGCCCATAAGCGCGAGGTTGCCAGCGACGTCCACGATCGAGGAAAAGCTGTCGGCCGCTGCTATGGCGTTTCGTAACAAAACTAAAGACAGAAAATCTCCGGTCGAGGACGCGCCTGATCCTGTGCGCAAGGTGATCAAAGAATCGTCTAAGAAATTAGACGCTCCTGTTGTACCAAAAAGCAAAGACTCGGATCGCGGTTTATCCAAGACCGAGCTTGCAGACGACAAAAAGGAAGAGAAGGACGAGATCTTCGATCAGGATCTTCGCAAGGAAATTATAGGAGACTTCGTTAAGCAGAAGGAAGAAGAGCTGCAGCAGTTGAAGTTGAAGAAAGACGCGGAATCGAAGAAATTCATTGAGACAAAATCCATTGAGCACAAGATAAAGTTGCAAGAAATTACGAGGGAACGGAGAGACGAAAGCAACTGGAAATTCATCGAGAGCGAGGATCATAAGAAGTTCGAAGACGAATATTCATCGAGCGACAAAGAGAAGGACAGAATTGAGGATCATAAGAAACAACAAGTCAGCCAGGATATTGTGGATTCCACGGACAGTAGCGATTCGGAACAGAGGCTTGTAATAGACAACGAGGAACCGCAAGACGTAACTTCTACAACGTCCAATTGCGACGTAAAGCTGAGAGAGGAATTGGATTGTCTGCAGGACAGCACGCAAGACAGATACTCCAAGACGCAAATACCGAAGACTTTGCAGAATGTTCAACAACGGCAGCAGCAGGAGTTAACGGAATCAACGGAGTTAGCGGAATCAATGGAATCCGCGGAATCCAAAGCTGCTCTAACGCCCGCGCTCAAGACGGACGAAGAGGGTGAGACAATGAATTCGCTGTTGTGCGAGGAGGAGATACCTGGTTCACCTACGCCGCCGTCCGAGAACACCGAGCAGACCAGTGTCGGTCCTTCGGGCAGTCCACCGAGAAACGAGACGACGGAAAGCAGCATAGTGTTGATGGAAATGCCTTTCGCGAGTGCGCCAACATCCGGTCAGAGTACAACGAGCAGTAGCACGGTCGCTACTCTCAGCATGGCACTGCCGAAGACTGTCGAGGCCTCGATACCCATTCCTCTACCGATGCAGCAGAACGTGGCGTCCCTGAACTTGCGCCAGCAGCAACAGCAACAACATCAACAGCCACATCAGCAGCCGCACCAGCAGCAGCAACATCAGCAGCACGTGCCGGCTTTGATACCGCCGCAAGAGAGAGTACCGAGGAGAGAGAGCAACGACGCCGCGCCAGTCATGGATAACACACCACCCACCACTCCCGACTCGAGCATTTCCAACATCTCGGGTTCACCCAGAGAGGAGAGAACCGGTGGTTCGTCGCCGACTTCCGAGGACATCAAGCTCAATCGCGACAGCTCGGAGGCGGACAACGATAGCGCGGGAAAAGGCCCGGGTTCGAGCGAGGACGACACCTTGCCAAATTCGGAGAACAACTCCGCCGACAGAATTCCCAAACCGCCCCCGAAACGCTCGATCGAATACAGTCACACGGTCGACAATCAGTCGCCCAAGAAACGCAAGAAGAGCAGAAAACATTCGGAGAATGGTGGCGGTAATGTCATGACGAAGAAAACCGGCAGACAGAACGGTAGGCAAGGTAGATACGGAGCCGGGAGCGACAGCGACGACACCAGCGAAGGATCGAACCTGTGCGGGGTGAACTCCGCGCCGTCGACTCAACCCAACACTATCACTAATGTTACCGATCTCAGTACTTACTCGTCGAGATCACCGAGGCCGACGAAGTATAATTTTTACGTCGAATTGGGTACGTGATCGTCAGCAGTCTTTTTGATTGACTTTAGTGTAAAAAACTCTCAAAATTAAAAAAATATTCTAAAAATTCAATATTCCTGTCTTTTCACATGCTATTATTTTATCTTTACAGATCCCGAATTGGATGGTAGTCAGAGAATAGCTGTGCTACAGCAGAAGTTGACCGAATTGCGGAAAACGTACAATGTTGTGAAGGCTGAACTTGCTGCTATAGAAAGACGTCGGAAAAAATTACGAAGGCGGGAACGAGAAGGTTTGTTGATTGTTGAATAGTTTTTCGCAATACGAACTTTTTTTAATAAGTTGTGAAAAATCATTTTGTTAAACTGTCGCCAGTAACTTGGACGATCTTTTAAATTCGCAAAAAAAGAAAAACAAAATACACGTGTGAGAGATATTCTACTAACTTGAACGTTCCGATTGTTTCAGCGATGAAAGCCGCTAAAGCAGAAATGCAGCAAGCTTGTTCGTGATAAGCACTGTTAGGAGAAAGATCGATCTTTCGCGAGTATTAGACTACTCGATCTCGAAGAATTATTTAAAAAAAAACATAACATCTCTACGGGCAAATATGCAATCACACTCTCATGACAAAAACAAAACAAAAATGACAAAACCAATCCAATCAACAACGGACAAATACAACGAGATATAATCCAAGAACCTTTAACAGTAAATAGAGAGATAAAGAAAAGTGAGGCTCTTGCGTTATATTTTGTTTTGTTGTTTTTACGACCTTCTACATATATAGTGTAATTATCTAATATATATATAATGCAATTTTTCGCAATGCCCCCTGTGTGCACGTTCTCTTTATATAAATTACATTTATAAGAACAACTGTAGATATAGAGACGTAAGATTTTAGCACGTTGGGAAAAGATGTTCATAACAATTATATAACATTCATATACGCGCGCGGTATTATTACTGTACATTATTTAGTTACACACAAAAAGGATCATAATTTAAATTAAAAAAAAAAATAAAAAAAAAAAAAGTTTTTCCTTGATTTTATCACTTAAGGTGCTCAGATAAAAAGTACAAATTACCAAATCTGATATTCGTTTTTCATTTACTTTTTTTTCTTTTTTTTTTCTTTTTATTAAAACAGCTGGAAATAATGTTATTGATAGTATGTTATATTATAAAGACACACACACACAACATCTTCACACACTCTTTCACATACATACACACACATCTTGGGAACAAGTAATCATCTAAGCTGGCTATCATTTCTCTGTTTCTCGAATACGATTTTATGCCGATTGCAGTTGAGCTGTTTTCACAGCACATTACAGGAAACAAACTCAAAAGACAAACAGTGTAAAGACTATAATAATTAATCGGTGATCAACAGCAACTGCATAGTACGAACTTTGCGTGTTTATATATATATACATATATATATATATATATATATAATGTAAATATATATATATAAATTAAAAAAAAAAAAATAAAAACAAAAACGAACTAGTAAAATCATGTTGTGAAATATTGGCGCATGGCACACGCAGAGGGGAATATTGTGTATTCTCGTCTAATAAAATAATTATCGCGATTTTATAGACTTGCTTATACACACATGAGAGACAATTTTTGCTTTTGTATGTACATATGTACACATACACACACGCACATACACATGCGTGTGAGTGTGTATTTAACGACGTTTGTACGATGAAGAGTGCGTTAAGACTTTGTATATTAATTAATACATGTGGGAAATATATGGGCGCGATTGCTAACTGCTAAACGAAGAAGAAGACGAAAACAAAAACTTTCTCTGTTTTAATTTATATACGCATATAGATATAGCTCTGTTACAAGCGATATTTTACACACACGCTAATTTGGTACAACAATCATTACGTTATTATTAACACGTAGAAACAGTTTTTTTACTGAAACATAAGTGATATTGCGTTCTCGTTTCCTTTCTCGGTTGTTGTTTTTTTTTCTTTTGTTTTTCACACACCACTTGTGCGGCAATTTTTATCTGCGTGAGTGCAGCTCAACGATATCTATCAATCTACTTAAAATGTCCATCATTCTTGCTCTGCCACTGTGCTTTATTCATCATTTCGACAGATTGTCACGTAATATTCACGGGGTACAGTGCGTCGCGATTGGACTCGTCAGAGATGCATTTATATTTTCTATTTCGATACGCCGATTCCAGATGAGAAAAAAAAAAAAACCATTTTAATATGCAAACCCACGAATGGTATTTAATTTTAAGAAAACACTACGCGAATCAAATGTGCAAGTTATAAATTTGTAAGAAAAACAAAAAATACAAAACAGGCTAAAAAAAAGAGAATAAAATTTTATATATATAGAATATCATACATATATAACATATATTTTTTTATAAGAAGTCGAATATGTGAATATGTGCTTTATGGTATTGAAAAAAAAAAAAAAGAAAAACAAACGTTGATACGAGAAAATAAAAAAAAAACAAACGAAAGAAATTGGACTCTTCTTAACACATTGTACATAAGTTTTACATTGCGTGTGTTTGCATTGCGTGTGTTTACAATTGTTCGATAGTCGACGTCTCAGCCTGCGCTGTATAATATATGGTTTCACAAATGTTGCAGTAGCATACGCGCATAACAATATGTTTTGAGAAGAGCGGAGGATGCATTTAGAGAGAATTTACATATTTAATATTATATTATTCGCAAGTTTAGAATCTTCTATTGTGATGCGCGAAAAATAAAATTTATCAAATGAGAGACACGGTAAATGTTGGCAATTGCACATTTTAACGTTATACACATTTACGTCGCGCGAAATGATACGTCATTTATGTACTAAACATAAGTGGATAAGATGTGATCGACGTGCTGATACACGTGACATGTTGAATATAAAAACATTTTTTTTAAATTATTTTAAAAAAGTAAATTTTCTAATTTTATACATCAAAACTCTATGAAGATTTTTCGGACAGAAGTCAAAAAATTTATGATTGTTATTTATGTTGTTCGTTTTTTTTATGAGAGATCTAATTTATGTATTTCGTTTCTTGTTTTGCGCAGTTTTCGTGCATAGTCTAAAAAATTAAAACTTGATGAAGTAAAAAGTAACAGGTTATACACAAAGCTGCTATTGGAGGAAGAAAGTGCGTTGCAATAATATTGAATGTTTAAATTTAATATATCTGTTGTGTTATTTTAAGTGAGCAATTTAACGATAAAAAAAATATACATATACATATATATATATACATATTATGTGCAAAATTGTACATTGTGACAATCCAAATCACTTGGAGCTATATGTGTAAAAAAGTACTAAAACCAGAAAAGGGTGACACTGCAATTTGAAACAAAAACTTGTACAAAGAAGTGAAAAGAGAGAAAAATTAAGTTATATATCTTAATAAGAAGAATGTCTATACGCATTGTGGCAAGTATTAAAGATAAATGCATCCTCGTCTTCTGAAAACAAATTTATTCTTCCTGTAAATCATACGTTACATGTGAAATAGTACGTATAATAAGCACAAGGCGAACTTGTATCGCCGAAAGCAGCATGAGTAATATTGTTTCTCGTAACATTTAACTACTTGTCAGTAAGTATTATCGTTAAGAAATAAATCTATTGTCCTGACAGAAAAAAAAAAAAAAAAAATGACGACTCTGTGTTGAATTTTGATCGTCGGAACTCCTGAAATCCATTCCTCATTTATGTGAGTTCTGGTTTGTTTCATTTTTTTTTTGTTTACGTTTTTTATCGGTATAAAAAAGAAACACACTCTTGTTATACGTGTTGTTTATTATTATACTGTGGCTTACAAATGAAAATAAACGGATTAAGAGTACGTGTAAAAGTTACACACAAAACTACCAATGGTTCTGGTAGATTTGTGTCAACGTTTGTGTTAGTACATGTATAATTATATAAATATATTCACATTATTTTATATATATATATATATACTTATGTATATGTGTGTGTATATATATATATATGTTTCGCATTCATACTAAACAGTTAAACTGTTCTTTATATAAATGGGATTAATTAATTAACATACTAGTGCACCATATAAATAAAAAAACGCATAATATACAACATATATATGTTTTCTTCCAACTTCTCTCATGTAATATAGCGAATAATAAGAGATTTTTATATTTATATAATGAAAAGAGTAATGACTAAAATCACGTGATATATATATGTATATATATATGTTTGTTTTTAACGCGTTATTATAAGTTAATAATTTTATATTTTTCCTTAACAAATTTTACGTTCGTATTTTTTTAATCTTACATTTTCTATTGTACCAGCAAATTTCTCATTATTTAATTGTATCGCAAAGAGAGTTTTTGGTGAATATATATATATATATATGTATATATATTTATTTTTATACGCCAGCAAAACTCTCTTGTTTTCAATTACGTTAACGAGATACACCGCCAACAATATCGTTAAAAAAAAAAACGCAAATTTAAAAAGATGTACTAAAAAAAGTATCTTCTTAGAGGAGAAAGAGCAATAACTTCATATTTATAATAGCACACGATGATAAGAGATATACTGGGTACTGTGTAGATCAATGAAGAAAGATTTACAGCAGTAAGATTCGCAAATGTGATATAATTTCAAAAATACAAAAAACACATTTATTTAAAGCAAAATTGGACGTCAAATTTTGCATTCAATTGGAGAATTTGTTTTCCTATGTATAATTTAGCTTAACATATTGTTACAATGATTAGAGTTTGATTGGAGCATTTGAAGTTTGCACTTGTCGCAGATATTGATAAATTTGAACCAATAATTTTCTTTCTATAACAGATTAATCGAAACCGCGTGATAATGTTTCCTTTGTTATTTTATATTAAATTAAATTTTGAACATGTCCATTGTATTATCGCCAGCGACAATTGTGCATTCTCTTACATTAAGAAACAAAGAAAAGCTTTCGACAGATAAAAGCTAAACACGCACATTATGTATATATTATTATATTTAATTTAGTATTTTGATTATTATAATAATAATAATATTAACAACAATATTATAGCATTTTATGCCCGTAAGAAAAATTTTGTCAGTGAATCCGTTCACGGAACACATCTAAAAAAATCTCTCTCTTTCTCTCTTAAAATTATCAAATGAATATAATATATTATATGAATATATGTATATATATATATATATGTATATATATTCGATTATTTTAACATTATTGCGCTCGCCCAGAACATTTCACATTCAAAGTATCACTCTTTACAAACTAGCTTATTAATCGTTTTTACTGACCACAATTGAGACAAAGAAATTCAAATATGACACTGTCTGAGATTGATAAAGTTGGCTGGTTCCTATCTCACATCACATGTGTGTAAATGTATAAATATAAAAAGCAAGACATATATCCAAATTTATTTCTCGACATTCACGATCAGCCAGTTGTACAATGTTCAGTGCCAACATTTTTGGTTTTGTTCGCTCGCAAACAAAAAAATGTGCAACTGTAAAATGTGAAAGCATCGCGTGTTACATGAACAAAAAAGTAACTTGACATGGACAAGGTAATTGTCTTTACTTCACGCACACAAACACACCCTCTGTATACGTTTTGTTTACACGTCTTCTCTCATTCACCGAACCGATTTAGCTTAAATAATAACGAGAAAAAAAAAAATAATAATAATACAGAAATCAATCCGATCTCTCGACGAAGTGGCGCGTTGAGCGAATTAGAAAGATGTTCTCTAGTTTCCATTGCACGTAAAGCTGGGCTAGACATCGGGTAGAGATCTGTCGATTGGCGTCGTGTATGAGGACGCCCCCGCAGCCGCCTTGTTGTCCGTGTTCAGTTTCTGCCTGGTGAACATTATCTGTTCCATTAGCTCGTGATGGGCCTCTAATCGCTCGATGCAGTGCAAGCATGCGGTCTTTGGCAGCGGGTCGTTCATATTTATCTGCAACACAACCACACAGAACTTGTACAAACAGTTTTTAATTCATGTGAGAGAGTAAAAATCATCAATAAATAACACAATAATTTCGAAATATCAGAGCAGAGACGACATATACCCAATCGGTGTGTCTTACATATCTCATGTAGAGAACAGTGTGTACGTTCTCCGCTTATGCAAGATGAACAACTTAAAGACTGTGAGACTTGTATCAAAAGAAGGAGCGCAAGAGCGTCCGGAAAATTTCAAACATTCATTTGCGAAGCGGGTTTCGCATCGGCTTGAGGGGATGCGAGGATCTTCTCTCAAATGAGATGAAAACTGAGAGTTACTAATGAGATACAGAGAAACGCGGAAAACAAAAATTCAATTGCGGAATCGCTCGATGGCGATTTACCGAGATCGGCAGGTAGGTGTTGATCTTCTCGGCGAGTTTCATCCTCTCGCCCTCCTCGCCGTAGATGTGGATCACGAACCGATTCATCTTACTGCAGAGCCTGCATATGAACCCCGTGATCACGGCCTTATCCGTGCTGCCCATCTTCTCCTCGGTGTGTGCGGTGTGTTATTTTTTTTTTTTTTTTTTTTCTGCACACAGACTGCCGCCTTCCTCGCGTTAAACGTTCGCGCGACGTGTTCTCGCACAAACAGCGACTCGAAACGACGGGGTCTCCTCTCGCGAACCACACGGGGATCACACGGCGGACGATCGGCGGACGTGCGCGATTTCTTCTTTTGAGATCTTCAGAGTTTTGTTTATTACAGACTCCGCCGAACAGCAGCGCGCTCCGAGCAATGCCTCCGAACGTCTCAGGAACGTAGGTCGGCTCCGCGCGCTCCCTCCGGTATATTATTATTATTATTGTTATTATTGTTATTATTATTCCGGGCCACCCCCCCTGCGTTACCCCGCGGCGCGCAGTGTTTTCGAACACGGCGGCAAGCCTCGATTTTTCTTTTATTCGAGCGTCGCGTCGCAAAAAAAAAAAGAAAAAAAAACGAACGCAATCTCTCCCTCTCTCTTTATCGGGTGCAACAAATTTGTACAATCCTGGCGATCGCGATTGAAAAGAAAGCGTTGTCGAAAAGCACAGCCCCGGGGGAGAGACGGAGAAGAATCAGCTGTCTCTCTGTCAACGAATGTCACAACGACACCGCCGTACTTGAGAGAGCCGCGTCTCAATCAAAAAATTTATTTTTCCCCTTCCGGGAAAAAAACTTTCTCTCTATTGGTTATTCGTCAATTAAAACGCGCATAAAAAATTTGTCGCGCAAAACAATTAATAAAAAAAAAAATTGACGCTTTTGTGGAAATAATTAATCACAAATCGACGCGTCTTTTTTTTTCCTCTCTTTCGAGCGAGGAAACAAAGAAGGACGCGCCTTTGTTTCTCGCGCGAGATTCTTATCGCGAGATACAATTCTTATCCGTGAAAAAGAAAAAAAAAGAGATAAAAAACCAATTACGCGTGAAGAGAGTAAGGAAGTACCTTGTGTGTATAACCTAAAAATATAAAAAAACAAAAACGCCGCCGTGCGAGGAGCCGCGCTCTAACGCGGCGACAATCAATTAAACGGCAAACACGAGGGAAGAAACAGTACTCTCAATTTTTATATATATATATATATTTTTTTTTGTTGTTGTTGTTAAAAAACATTTCGTCATATAAAAAGTCACGAGCGCGTACAATACGCACACAATCGGGCGAGGTGTGAGAATGGATTTTTAAATCGCGACGCGCGCACACACAATCGCGCGACTCAGCATGGCGGCGATCAGCTGTCTTCTGTCACGACGCGCATCCGCCGCGTCGAACGTGCGCCGTGTCTGCGCCGTGTCCGATTCAACGCGCCTCGTTCACGGCCGTGCGCGATCGAATAAACGCGCGGCGTCCGTGAAATCCGGGGCCCGAACCGAATTTTCCCGGGGGGGGGCCCGAGAAACGCGCGCGGCGGCGTCACGACACGTGTTTCCGTACCCCGCCTGGTTGTTTTTTTTTTTTTTCTCTTTATTGTTTCTCTGTTTTTTTCTCCGGTGAGAAATTTTTGCGCGACGACGCGCGCCGTTCCTTCCCCCTCTCTCGGCGAAGCGTACGACGAATGGGACGCCTGGCCTGGCCGCACAAAAGCAATATGGTGGTACGGTCTAGGGGTAAATCGGGGCGCACACAACACGGGGTTGTTTGATAATACCGTGTGTCTTCTTCGTTGGGCGACGTGCGTGTTTCGTGATCGCGCGCGAGAGTAATGAACTTGACGTGACCGAGAGCCTCTCGCCAGGCTGGAGAATTCGGGAACCATGTGCGATGTGTGCGTCGACTTTCACGATCTTCTGCTTTCCTGTGAGTAAAATTCCTCGATACACACAGTGGCGTTTTTCTCGCCCGCACAATTCTCTCTTTCTCTTTCTGTCTTTCTCTCTCTCTCTCTCTCTCTTTCTCTCTCTCTTAACCTAACGCACCCGCGTGCTCGCGGCTTCCCTTCGCGAGGAACCGAACGACCCGACCCCCGTGTCCCATCGGGAAGACGTCGTCGGGACGTAATGTCGAAGAGTAGCGCGCGTTTACTCCTCGCTGTGGAGTGGAGCGTCCTATAACCTTAATCGCTCGTCCCCTTTTTTTGTTTGGGACACCTCGACGAGAGGCGTCGAACGCGCAGCGATTTCAGCGCTTTGTATTCGGCGAACGCATACAATCTCTCTCTCTCTCTCTCTCTCTTTTTGTCTCTCTCGCACGTCCACGTTAAATCGCGACTCCAGCACGAGGAAGGATTGCGGGGACAACCTTTGGTCTCATTGTTGAATGGCGGAGTGGAAATCTCGAATCGAACATGTGGCACGACAAGCGCAACAATGTATATAACGTTAGCGATTCCCGGAAACGACTCGCGCGTCGCACGGAAAAAAAAAAAAAAACAAATAAAACAGAGATGCAACGAGAGATTATCCGATGATAAATTTTTTTTACGTAACGAGGAGGTAAATTTTAATTTTGCAATTCTCGTTTGTTTTTGTTTTGTTTTTGTAGTTGACGAACGATCGTCGAAGGAACAAGATGCGTTGGCGACATTGTGCGTAACGGATGTGGACACGACGCTACATTATGTGAACCAATGGGTGCAAAGGTAAACTGATTTGCATTGAAAGAACTTTAACACAATTTGTTTCTTGTCAATCTGTTCGACGACGAAGAAAATCCACACGAAAAAAAAGATTTTAATGTCACGTCGCGTGTCTCGTCTTTTTTTTTGTTTTTCAGACAATGTATGTGCTGTTATCGCGAGATCAAGAACTTCGACCGATTCATAAGGCTGACCCAGAGCGTTGTGCTCTGCACGCTGCAACAGTTGCAAGCTATACAGCAAAATGAGCAGCGAGACGAGGCCGCCAAGGAGGTGTCCAAGGAGGGAAAGGATGAGGATGAGAAGAACGTTAAACGAAAATCGGGGGACAATGCGGATCAGGCGCAAGCGTCGGAAGTCAGCCCGACGAAACAGACCTGGTCGCAACAGGACAGAGAGCGATTGTTTCATCTTCTTTCGAAAATTTTTTTACTCAACTTCCCACTCTACATCGCCATGAAGCACGGCGGCGTGATAAATCCTCTTGCTCCTGTTAAGGTGAGAGAAGACAACGCTTCGCGTATTCGTCCCGCGGATTCACGCGTTATAATGCAAATCAAAATTCGCACTTTTTTGAAACATTTGACAGGACGAAGGCGGTTATTGCGAGCCGCACGATCCGGAAGTACCGGCGCCGCTGATTCGCGCGGTGTCCATATTTTGCCACCAAGGCGGATTTAATTTGATGTCAGCTTGCTTCGACATGGAAAGCACACTGCCCGTTAGCCTCGCGCACTCGATGGTTGCCGTTATTTGCAATCTGAAACTTTGGTTGAACTACGCGAGCGTGATTCAATTGTTTATACCGTTGCGCAGTCGCGTTATGAAGTACATGTGTCGCTTGGGGGACAAGGAACTGCGCACACCTGCCGTCAGAACCATGGCAGGTAAGTGTACAGACGTAAACGATATGAAAAAATGTACGTGTCTGCAAAATTGACTCTGTGGTGGTCTTTTTCTTTTTTTTTATTTCTCTCTCTGTCTGCCTCAATACACATTAGACTTATTTTTCTGTCCAGACTTCATGTGGAGCGCGGTGAAGGATCCGATCGACGCAGTTTTGCCAAGTTTCGATCGGGACGGACTTGATTTGGCATTTAAATATTTCACCAGCACGACCCTGACCATGAGATTGGCCGGTGTCGCGCAGATAAATGCTCACATTACCGCGTCGAACGAGCTCTGCAACAGCGAAACTGTTGCCGAGGTCGAGCAAGTGGGACACGCGCTCGCTGCCTGGCTGACGGAGAACAACATCATAACCCACATATTCGGACCAAATCTACACGTAGAAGTCATTAAGCAGAGTCATATTATATTAAGTTTCTTAGCGATGGAAGGTAGAATCACATCCTCGGACATGGACACCATGTGGCAGGCCGCGCAACTTAAACACTGCGGCCGTCCGGTGTACGATCTGTTGGCGCCCTTGGTCAAACATCTAGCCCCCACACCCGTGCTTCATCTGTACTCCCTTCTGGGCAAATTAGAACCCAAGGACCACACAGAACAAAGTTTGTTTTTAGCGTCAGCCTTGATCAAATTCATTTGGACGTCCGGTCGCTCGGCTTATCCGAGAGGTCTGGTGATGAAAAACAGAGAAATTCTGAGAAGCACCAGCGGAGTGGGCGGGAGTAGTAGTAGCGATCCGAGCGGGATGGACGGCAGCAGCCCGGAAGATGACGAGGAAGAACCCAGCCCGACGTTGTCCGACGGACCGTCGCCTAGAAAGCAAGCTAGAACTGACAGCAGCGACGGCGAAGGTACACTCGATCGTATTATCTCGCATTAGAGTAAATCTTTCACATGGTCTTTAAATTGAATGTGTGCAACATTTGCAGGTCATTACAAAGGGAAAACTCTGACCACCACCACGATCGAGTCGAGTCTCAACGAGATCGAAAGTCTGAATTCCGATAAATTTGAATATAACAGGGAATTGATTAAGGACACGTCGACGAGCGCTGTCCGAGACGAGGTAAAGAATAAACAAAGCGGATCGGACGCTGAAGCCGACACAGAAAAGTCCAATACGGAAGAGACCTTCGTGCACGAAAAGAAAAAGAGGAAAATCCTGCGCAAACGAAAGAGACCGCAAAAACGATCTTTGAGCGCCGTTGAGAAAACATTGGAAGACATCGTTGGCCAAGACGTTAATATGAAATCGAAGGATTTGCTCGCTGATGCGAAAAGCAGAACGGAAGATGTGTTGAACGGCAGCTTGGACGTGGGCGCTTTGGCTTCCTTGGACGAACCAAAAGGTATTGACGCGTTAGATCGCGTCAAGCAACAAGCAATGGCTTTGGATCCAAATGATCAACAAGTTCCCACTACGGCGGCGTTGCTGAGACGGGCCAACAAAAACAAATACAGCATGTCCATAGTAGGATACAACGTGGATCGAGCCGATTCCGCGGACAGTTCGCACGACGACGATAGTGATGTAGCCGGAGTGCTCGCCGCCGCGGACGGTCCGGGTGCGGTTATATCCGAGCTCGCTGGATTGGTGCATGCTACTGGTCCCACGTTTCTGCCCTCGGGGTTGGACGAGATGCTGTCTGACGAAGAGGGCTCGTACAGTAGCAGAATATCGAACAAAAGTGAGAAGAACATGGCCGATTTTGATGGCGAGGAAAGCGGCTGCGAAGAAGAACTGGCCCAGTTGGCTGCGCGTCATCTCACCGCCATCCAAATGCAGGCCTATCATCCTCATCATTCGCACTCGGCCATGACGACTATGAGGAGATCGGTTTGTCAACCGCCACAAGTGCGAGCTGCTCGACAAACCGCCACGAGGTTGAGCTCGCAATTTAACTTGGACACAGTTTGCAAACCGGGCAACACATTATTGTGGGATCTTCTTCAAGACGATAAAATAGGCCAGTTAGGAGAAGGCCTGGCCTTGGAAGCAGAGAAAGCTCTGTGCAATCTTCTTTGCTTCAATGTCGATCGCTTAATTCCAATGAAATTCATAGAAGGCTGTTTAGAGAATTTAGCGACTAATCGCTCTGTAGTAGTTTCTCTAAGACTGTTGCCGAAGCTGCTCGCGAGTTTCCAGCAATTCGGTGCAATGGACGCGCACACAATCACGACCTGGGCTGATCGCGAGCGTGGAATGATGAAGCATTTCTTCAATAATCTCAAGACGTACACTAGCACGGGGCCGAAAAGTAATTTATATTCGCATCAAACGGAAATACAAGTTAGGCTGCAATTTCTGTCGTCGATCTTCTCGCCTTTGGGTTCGCCCGACTGCTTTCGCTTGAGTCTTGAACAAGTAGACATATTGTGGCAGTGTTTGTCGCAAGACCCGATCTGTGCGGACGAGCTCTTCAGTTGGTTGCTCAGTCAAGCAAAATCTACGGAGCAACACGCTTTAGGAATGGACACGCTTAAACATCTGTGCATGCGCAAATTGCCGAGTTTACCACCGGAGACTATCAGCATGACGGGCTTGAGTCTGTTTCAACAATTGTGTAACCTGGCGCGCCTGGCCGCGGCGCATTTAGACAGACCGCTGAGGGACGTAGACTCGGTAGGCATGGACTTTCTGTGGCGAATCGCTCTCAAAGCAAAAAGCACAGATGTTAGTATGGCAGCTATACAATATCTCAATGGTTACTACATGTCGCGACAACTGACGCAAGAAGCAGAATTCGTTTCGCAGTGCATGATGCATCTCGCAGCGGCCAGCGCCGATCTCGAAACAAACGAAGAGGCTAGTTTACGCTGCATACAACGCGCTCTGCTTCTGCTGAGAACACATTTGGAAGCTTTTCGAAAACGATACGCCTATCACTTGCGTCGCTGGGTGCTAGAAGGTAGAGGCGCGGCGAGTCACGTAGCTATGAACACATCCGAAAAGGGCCAACAATTAAGAATCTTCGTGCAACCCGCTGGTATACCGGAAAAGACAAGCTTCACTCTCCTTAACACGGACTATGTGGCGGACCTACGTGCTGAAGTGGCTAAGTGGTGGGACGATACACAGAACGCTCAAGAAAAATCCACAACTTCTGCGAATGCTGCTCAGAACGGTGGATCAGTCTTGGGATCGTTACTTACCGACGGTCCTATCAGAATGATAACTCAAGGTCAAGAGTTGACCATCGAATTCGACGAAAAGACATTGCAAGAGATGGGTTTTAAAGACGGACAATTGGTATTTATTTCACCTGGCGCTAGTAGAAGTAACAGCGGCGGTGGTCGTTGCAGCAAGCGAGACATTGACTCGCCATCGTTATTACCACCTCCGCCTAGAGACTCCTTGCCGACCTTGCTGTTGCTTCGACCGCAGTACTTCGAGCAATTGTTCACGCTCATGAGGACTCTCAGCGCTATGAGAACGACCGTGAAAGGTGGCCAAGAGATTCCTCATACGAAGGCTCAAGTGCTCTCGCGCAGAGTTTGGGACACGCTCACCTTGTTGCCCACAAGTCCGACTCTGCTGCGAGGTTTTCAGAAACTCGGCGAGACATCTCTTCAGGAATTGCTCGATCCAGCGAGTCCGCAGAAACTGATGTACTCTCTTTACATAGTCGAATCCTTAAGCCGACGAGGCACAACGAATCAATCGTCGTCTAATAACACAGCCGCGTCGACTACGACGCACGAGGGTGGCGGAGACGCGGACGACAATCACGATGACAAAGAGAAGGACGTGGCTTGGTCGACCTTATTTGTGCAACACGGCGGACTGCGACATCTGTTCGACATCTTTATGTCAGGCTGTCTGGAGCAGGGAGACGGCAGCGAATGGCAGCAAGACTGCCTGGCCAGTTTGCTGAAGCAGCTTTGTCATCTTGGCGTCGTGAAGGAGGAGAAGAAACGCAACAAAGCAGACAAGCAGCCGTTGCTGGTGCCCAAACTCAGTGAGGCAATGCTGAGAATGATGAATGTCGACACTGTTATGCCGAGAATTACAAGCATTCTGAATGACGCTTCGCTGCCGCTCGATCCGAATCACTACAAAACGGGACTTTTCGGCCGATCTCAGGTGATACATTACGCTATGGCTTTGTTAGTTTGTTGGGTGCATAGCAATCCGGCCGTCAGGCAGTATCTGTTCTCCTCGTCCGAGCCGTTCGGGAAAACCTGGCTGCGCAGATTGTTGCTGGAGGATCCCGAGCCGGCGGTGAGACGCGAAGTCTGTACAGCTTTGTACAGATTGTGTTTAGGAACTACCGGCGAAGACAATTCAGACAATTCGGACCAATTGCCAGGATTAATAGTGCCCATGTTGAACACCTTGTTGGAGCATCTCGTGATCGCCGAAGCTATGCAACCTTCTCATCGCAAGCCGGATTTACCGCTGCACTTGCATCCTGCTCTGGACGACGGAAAAGAACCCTACGGGCCAGCTTGTAAGGACTATTTCTGGCTGGTTTGTCGCCTGGTGGATTCTCTCCCGGACGAAGCGATTCGTGACAGTTCGACGGACGAGACTTCCGGCACAACCATCGATCTCGAAACACTGGCTATTCGCGTGATCGACTCCGTGCTCAACAGAGAACATCTGGAGACGCGGCATAACACAGTGGAAGACGACGCCCTGGTCGGGTTGCTTAATCTCACTTGCAACATAATGACGCACAATCCTCCGTGCAAACAAGGCAAGATCGGACAAAATCTGCTGAATCAGGTATTTGACTTTCTGTTTGCGCTACCGAGTCCGAGAAGCAAGCACATGCCCAAGTGCAAGAGCCAAGCGTCCAGATCGGCTGCTTTCGACCTTCTGATGGAATTGGTGAAGTCGGCGCCCGACAATTACAAGATACTGCACGAAAAGCTGCTCGCCCAACATCGTCCAGGACCGCATTCGCCGTATCCGTGGGACTATTGGCCTCACGAGGACGGACGTTCCGATTGCGGATACGTGGGCTTGACAAATCTGGGCGCGACTTGCTACATGGCCAGTTGCATGCAACATCTGTACATGATGCCGCAGGCGCGCGTCTCCATACTGGGCGCGGATTGCAGCCGAGCGAACAAGCATCAGCTAACTCTGCGAGAACTGCAAAGAATGTTCGCTTATCTGTTGGAGTCGGAGAGAAAAGCATACAATCCTAGAAGCTTTTGTCGCGTGTACACAATGAATCACGAGCCTCTGAACACAGGCGAGCAGAAAGACATGGCCGAGTTTTTCATCGATCTCGTGTCCAAACTGGAAGAGATGACGTCCGATCTGAAGAATCTGGTCAAGACGTTGTTCTGCGGCGTGATATCCAACAACGTTGTTTCCCTCGACTGCGAACACGTTAGCAGAACACTGGAGGAATTCTATACCGTCCGATGTCAGGTGGCAGACATGAGAAATCTTTACGAGAGTTTGGACGAAGTTACGGTTAAGGACACGTTGGAGGGCGATAACATGTACACGTGCTCGCAATGCGGCAAGAAAGCGCGAGCCGAGAAACGAGCGTGCTTCAAGAAGCTGCCGCATATATTGTGCTTCAACACGATGCGCTACACTTTTAACATGGGCACCATGCTGAAAGAGAAAGTCAACACGCACTTTAGTTTCCCACTTAGACTTGACATGTCCGGTTACGTCGAAAAGAAGCTCATGCCGCAACACTATCAGGACGAGAAGAAAGCGGCGTCCGAGAAGAGAAAGGCCGAAACGGACGGACATCCGACGTCCTTGTTGGTGGACGACGAGGAGGAGGAGGAGATGGAACATTATCAGTACGATTTGATCGGCGTGACCGTGCACACGGGAACGGCGGACGGCGGGCATTACTACAGTTTTATCAGAGATCGCACGTCACCCAACAAGGATAAGTGGTTCCTGTTCAACGACGCCGAAGTTAAGCCGTTCGATCCGAATCAGATCGCGGCCGAGTGTTTCGGCGGCGAAATGACCAGCAAAACGTACGATTCGGTGACGGATAAGTTCATGGATTTCAGTTTCGAGAAGACCAACTCGGCGTACATGCTGTTCTACGAGTGGTGCGCCGATCCCGGCGAGCAGACGAAGGAAGAAGAGGCCACTGTCTCGAGTCCTACGGCCGATAATACCGATCAAACCAACAACACCGGTCGATCATCGACCTCGCTGGTGCGCAACAATATGAACAAGTTGCCGCCGTTAGAACTTAACAAGGAGCTCGAGGATTGGATCTGGCAAGACAACATGCACTTTTTACAGGACAAGAACATATTCGAGCACACCTACTTCGGTTTTATGTGGCAGATATGCGGCTACATACCGCAGACGTTGCTCTCCGTGCAGCCGGACATCACGGAAATGTCCGCCGAATTGTCCACGTCGTTCTTCATGGAGACGTTTATTCACGCGAAGGAAAAACCGACTATGGTGCAGTGGGTGGAACTGCTGACGAAGCAGTTCAACGGCTCGGCCGGTGCGTGCGCGAGATTTCTAGAGCGGATGGCTGGCGATTCGTGGTGGCCTATTCAGATTCTAGTCAAGTGTCCCAATCAGATGGTCAGACAGATGTTTCAACGGCTATGTATTCACGTGATTCAACGATTGCGATCTACTCAGGCGCCGCTGTATCTTCTGTGCGACGAGGAGAACGATGTTAACACCGTCGGCACGCGATCTTGCGTCACGCGATTCGTCAGAATGTTACTGTCGCTCATGGAACACGCTAAACAACACCTCAAGCATCTCACCGAGTACTTCACGTTTTTGTACGAGTTCAGCAAAATGGGCGACGATGAGGCTGTCTTTCTGATCAGAGTTCAGGCCATCTCTACTATGGTGAACTTCTATCTCGGACACAAGACGCACGAATTCGTTGACGCGATCAGCGAGGAGGAAGAAGAAGAGGAGATCGTGACCGTGCCTTCGGAGAAACTCCGACCTGCCTCTTTGGACAAGATGATCACGCTGATAGCGTATCTGGTCGAGCGCAGCAGAGGACAGGATCACAGACTGGCTTTGTCGCCGGCGGATCTGAGCGCAGTCGCGGGCGGCAAAGGCTTTCCTTTTCTTTATCAACAGACGCGAGATGTCATAAATCTCGCTCAGACCAGAAACTTGATCCAATCGTTGTGTCGTTGGAACGACAGACTAGCGATACACATCGTTACTATGATATTCCAGGCGATAATGAAACATACTGACGTTTGTCAGCCGTTCTTTAAGCTGCTGACGTTGCTGACGGAAAGCACGGGGTTGAGCGGATTGCCATGCATGACTCAGCTGATTCTAAGTCGAGTGTGGGAAGCAGCTAGAGTCGCTCCGCACGGCGCTCTCGAGTGGTTGGCGCTTGCTGTTACGAGAAGCAAATTGGCCCACGCTTGGGTGCTGCAAGGACTCGACAACTGGCTGCAACACTTTCTTCTCGAGCACTCCAATCAAAGAGTCCGTTCGGCAGCAGCCTTTCTCTTGGTATCTTTAGTTCCGTCTCCGCACTTCAGACAAGGTTACCGCACCTCGCATCGCGTCAATCTGGCTTGCAACTCCTCCAGAGAGCTACAACTGTCGTCGGAAGCTACTCTGATACTGCATCAAATATACACGGCGCTTCTGAGATTGTTGCAACCCGCGCGCAATTTCATCGACATACAGACTCACGGTACAATGAAGCTCACTGCCTACTTCGCTCTACTCACGTATTGCGCGGTCAGCAAGACCGAAAAGTTAATGGTAAGTAAACCATTTTATATTGCTTTTAAGGCAAAACTAATAACGAGAGACAGAGATCAATTTTCATTGATTACGCACGATTGCTCTTTGCAGTTCAGCCAGTATCTCAACGACTTGTGGACGCTTTTCCATCCGAAACTATCGGAACCGAGCATTCCCGTGCATCATAACAAGCAAGCGGTCCTCCTGTTCTGGTACCACGTTTGCTCCGATTGTCCAGAGAACGTCGCGATGATACTTCACAATTCTCATATAACCAAGAATATTGCATTTAATTACATACTGTGAGCACCGTATTTTTATCTCTCTTCAGTTTTTTTTTTTTTTTTTTTTTTTAATATAAAAATGATTTTTTGTATATTGTTTCTAATTTCTTTTTTTCTTGTTAATCGCAGAGCTGATCACGAAGACCAAGATGTGGTGCTGTTTAACAGAGTTATGTTACCCGCTTATTACGGCCTCTTAAGACTTTGCTGTCAACAGTCGCGCAGCTTCACAAGACAGCTGGCTGCGCATCAGAATATTCAATGGGCTTTCAAGAACATTACTCCTCATCCTACACAGTATTCAACGGTAAAAAAAAAAGCTCATTCGCATTTCGTCAAACGTTTATCATTCGAATGTGAAATTTATTATTCCATTAATTTTTGTTCTGTGGAACACAGGCGGTGGAAGAATTGTTTAAACTGATGCAACTGCTGGTTGCGAGACATCCCGATCAAACGGAACAGGAAGAGGCAGATATCGCATCCTTTAGAAGAGGCACATTGTCTTCTTACTTACAAGGACTTGACGGTCGTTCGTGTTGGGCAACTCTCATTTCTGCTTTTCGGTATACTACAATATTGTTGTTCTTCGGTAATTGTAAGGTTTTCATGTGCTTTTGTTTTTTTTTTTACGTGAGGGAAATGCCTACGCATACCCTTGGGGGAGGGTCTCCGCTGCTCCTACTTTGAGGCCGCGTGCAGGACCTCCACCCCGATCAGTCACGACCCGTGCTAACTTCAATGTAACAAATTATCTATGTTTCTTTTTTTTTTCAGAATTCTCATCGAGTCGGATGACGATCGTTTGTACGTCGTTTACAACGGCGGTTTGAATATGGCCCTCGAAGCGTTTCACATGTTGCATATCATGTATCACGAGGCAACAGCGTGTCACGTTGCCGGCGATCTCACAGAGTTGATCGCCATCATTGTCGAACTCGTGCGCTGTGTTCGCACGGCGCGAGACGGACCGGACGCCAGAAACATTATAATCAACTCCAAAGAATGGCCTGACGCATTGCGAAAACTTGCGACGCTGTTGAACACGTACAATCCACCGGACATGAGAAACTTGGCTATAGATCTTTTGAAGGAATTCGTCATGCTCGTTCCTTCCGAAGCAATAATGGCGTTAGCCCCATTACTCTCACACTGCCACGCGGCTCTTCAGGAGTCCCATGCGGCTGTCCCGCCTGGACCTTATCTTCCGCGAAGGTCCACTCCGCCCGGAAAGCTGGCCACCCGACCTACCAGGCCGATGGTTCAGATGGCGGTGTCGCAATCTCAGTTGGAAACGTCAAAAGGAGTAGATCCGGAGTACGATAACGCTTTGCTTGAGTTTTATTTGCCGTATCACGAGCTGATAGACGTCATGTGCAGATTAGCGATTAATCACGACTGTATGACAGAGTCGTTAGTAAATTTAAGCGCTATGCTTGGATTCGAAGGTGAGTGAGACGATTACGATTGATTCGCGCGCGCGCAAAAAAAAAATATTGTTCAATACTTGAATGTTTCTGAACGTTTACAGGTGTACCTTTGCACTTGCCCCTGTTCCCGAGACTGTGGTTAGACGTGCACGCCGCCACACACTTAGACAGAAAGCACATCACGTCTCTCCTTTGTTCTTCCTACACAGTTGATTACGTCGATTCTGTGTTACTTGACGAGAGATCGTCGTTGGGAGTTCCAGCGATACATTCTTTTCTCAAGACTTTCTTCCCGAAGCTAGCCAATCACGTGTTGACCGAGCAGACGTGTCTGCTCATCGACAATCTGGTCAGTTCGCTAACGGCGAAGGTAGAAGCGGTTGACGTGGAAGCCTCGGCGCACAGATTAACCGGCGATCTGCGCGCTCTGGCACTCGTTTACAGCAGTAGCACAAGACTGAAACCACCTGCCAGCCTGTTGCCGGCTCTAGAGACTCTATTGTCGAGAACTCGAACTATTACGGTGAAGGATAACTGTTCCTCATCGGAAGTGGAAACGTCTTCCAAGAGACGTAAGTTGTGCGGCGACAGTGAAACGTCCGATAAGGATTTATGCGCGCCGGCAAAGGACGTCGATATGGAGAACAACGTTTCCGAGGCGGAGGTCGACAAGACCGACACGGCGAACGACGCTTCCGATTCCGGGGACGACAAGGCCGCCAGGCACAAATCGTCGGGCAATAGTCAAGCGGAGGCGATTGCCACAAGCGGCACCGTGTCGCCGCCAAGTCTGGTCACGACCTCCAACAGTTGTACAAATCAATTACGCTCGTCGGCCAACGTGTCGTGGCTTGAGATGCTCGAAAAGACTATCGTCGATCTCCAAACGATCGTGCAAGTGCAAAGCAAGAACAATTGAAACTGTAATCGTGTAAAACGACAGAGTGCGCGATGATGCGGATCGTGTATTAGGTAAACGTCAGACGAATTTGATCGATCAGTTCTACGACGTGTAATTGTGTGTGTGATCTTTGTGGCGCCGATAGAGAGAGAGCGAAGTTTAACGGTGTGTTTTTATTTTTTTGCGCTCGTTTAAAAAAAAAAAAAAAAAAAAGTCACAGATCCAACTTGCGTAATACAATTAGTATATATATAATAAATCATTATATATATGTACATGTATATGCGTCTCTCAAAACCGCGATTTACTTTTTGGATATACGTAGGAGGATAAGGTATTTTCATTACTCGATTTGTTAAGTTAACATTAAAACAAAAAAAAACAAAAAGCCGTACATTACAGTCGTATATCTGACCCGAAGTTTTTCGTCTAAAAGTAAAAAATAAGATAACGTTTGTTAGTGCTGTGAGATAGATTACTTCATCATTTTTTGTCTCTTGGCAATGGGGAAAAAAAAAAAAACAAACAAACATAATGCGTGCACTTGATGCGTGCAATAACGTAACCTATCCAGTATTCAAGAAAGCGCAATTGTGACTGATAGTAAATTTTAAGATGAATCCTGCGGCACTCCTCGCGCGACGCTCGCACATCTTGTGAATTGTGTGTGTGTGTGTGCGTGACGTCGGAGGCGAGATAATTTAAAAACGATCTGTCGAATTGAAAGTGAGTTCGCGCGAAAATCAAGGTTGCAACTTTGATGTGTGTACTTTCGCCTCCGACCTCACCCCCCTGACGATCGAGCGAGTGTCGAAGAGGTCGTCGATAAGAAAAAAAAAAAAAACAAAAACAAACATCGCTATCGAGATAAAAATAAACTACGTTTACGCCGCAAATTTATTTCTACACGTGCTCTTCTTACCGCGTGTGTGTGTGTGTGAAAGGGATCACAGGGTTTTTTAAGAAATCATTTGAGAAAAAAATCGTTTAGGGAAACAAAAACAAAAAAAAGAACGAATAAAGACGGTGATGTTCGATCAATCGATGAAAAATTTATTTTGTACATGTATATCTTACTCTGTATGTTTTATCCTTTTTTTTGTCAAAAAAAAAAAAATAATAATAATAATAGTATGTTAAAATATAATGAATTTTTTTCGCAATATTTTTCTCTCTCTCTTTCTTTCTCTCTTAGGCTAATTTTTTTCTTTCTCGTCGGTGTAGGAGAACTCGGGGGGTGGTATTTGTTTTTTGTTTCTTTTGTTTTTTTTTACTTCTGTTCACAGACGATCTGTTCACACAGACATCCAGAAAGGAAAGAGGAGACAATAACGATTTGTAATCGTGTTAAGTTAATTTGAATGTAATAGCCGTAAAAAAAAAAAAAAAAATCCACATGCGTCGAAACGTCTCTGACTTGTTGGAGTTTTAGAATCTTAAGTTTCTTCTTTTTTTTTTCTTTTTTTTTTTTTAGCGACGAACTGACGAATGTAGGTTTGTAACAAAGTTTGCCACAGAGAGTGTATATTTTATTTATTTTTAATACGTCCGCGCGAATATTGTGCGTTGCGAAACTCTCGAGCGGATCGAACGCCGTTTCATTTCTTCTTCGATCGCCGCTCAATTATTACGCTAAGCCTTTTTCTATCTAACGATCGTTAGAGCGAGTTGTGTGTGTATGTATGTGTGTGTGTGTGTGTGTGCGTGTCACACAAACGATTGTTGATCTTAACTTTCTCTTCTTTGCAATCGCCTTTCTCGCGACGCACACACGTCTCACATCACGAATGAACAATCCGGTCGCGAAACTCCCAGCCGCCGAGTGAGCGTTCCCGACATATCTGTTAAAAAAAAAAAAATCCACACCGCGGTCATTTCTCAGCGTTTTCACGCGATCGTCGAGCTTGCCGTTTCGGATTACAACGGCACTAAATAAACCGCGATTCAAAGGGAACTTCTGGAGGATCGCAGGTCACTTACATGACACGTCGAATAGCGAAAAATCGCATAAAAATTTCTCGCACGATTTGTTTAACATTTCATGCGTAACAGAACATGCGTAGAACTACCTTGTACGTACAAATCAGTCGAACGAGTCAATGGGAATAAATTTTTTTTCCACGTGCAAAAAACGAAGAATTTTGCTTAAATTTTCGCTTCTGACGAATTTTATAAGATTGTTGCGGAAAAATCGTTGCCCGAGAAGAGCTCTGCATTTCGATCGGGAGAAGTTAAAACAATGGTTTTTTGTAACAAGTCCTCGGAAGTTCGGTTCCTCATGATCGGAAGTTTCGATTTTTCGACGACGCTTGCTAAATAAATTTGTGATAGAAATACTCGAAATATTAAAAAAAAAAAAAAAACGAAGCTCAGAAACGAGACAGTCTGTGTATAAAAAAAAAATATATATATATATATATATATATTGGTCGAGACTCTGGGGTGTTCGAGACGCAGAGGAGAATCTTTTCCACATTACGATACCAGCCACAATTCTCTCTTTTCTCATTCTCTAAATGTCACCTGTATAAACGATCCGTATTGTATAATTGTTGATCTATAAAAAAGACACACACTACGAAAGCGCGTTCGATAGACGATCGTTAAGAGATGCCTATCCCTACGCTTTGACGCACGTACACTATCTTTAATGTCGCTACATCGATGTATAACTTGTAAACAAAGAGTAAACAAGAAACAAATCGGGAGAAATATCGGCTCTCTCTCTTTCTCTCTTCTCTCTCTCACTCTCTCTCTCTCTCTCTCTCTCTTTCTCTTTTCGAACAATACAGCGCGTTATGATGTGTTCGACAATCGCGATCACAAGTTTACGGCGATTGTAAAGTCAGGTTTATTTTTTTCTTTCTTTTTTTTTTTCATCCAGGTTTTGCGCGCGAAACACGTTGCGCGAGAGAGAAAGAAAATAGTATATATATAGAGCGTACGTAAGACGCGAACACGCAGATCTTCAATTGCAATCAAATCTAAAATCGAAAAAAAAACTATATGTACAAACATATAAATGTACATGTAGTTTTTACATTGATAAAAAAAAAAAAAAAAAAACGCGCCGTTTAGAGGCATCTTTACGATGAGGTAGAGACACATCTGTATGTATACACACACGCACATTTATCCACGTACGGAAGAAAAACACGCAGCAGACGTTTTTCCTTTGGTTTTCCGCAAGAAAAATCTAAGATCCAGACGGCGCAAGAAACATCCCGAGGAGAGAGAGACGACAATGGCTAATATCTCTGCGCTGTCCGGCTTTTGTTCAGAACACACATCAATATTGTATTGTATATCGCGCGTATATATACATACATATATATGTATGCATATATTATTAAGAAAATTTCGTCGATACGAGAAGAAAGAGGATGAAAAACACGTCCGTAAAAAAAAAAAAAAAGAAAAGAAATCGCATTGATTAAGCATTTTACGAGTATTATTACACACATACGTTTTGATCATTGAGACGCGATTGTATGTTGTGTAAATCACAGTCGCGGTGTGTTTTCCCGCGACACGGTTTTTGCGCGCGCGCGCGCGTGTCTCTCTCTTTTTCTCTCAGAGAAGAAAATTGTATCGCGATTTCTTCAACGAGACCGAAAGGCGAAAAAAAGAGCACTCGCGATTATTAAAAAAAAAAAAAACTTGTCAAGACTGTATGTAAAAAAAAACAAAAAGAACTTTTTGAGCGCGTTGTGATTCTTTTTACTTTCCGGATCATCTCACCGTCACGTGCCGCGTTTTTCCGCCAGATTTGTATGTCTTCAGCATGTGTGTCTCGCATTAACCCTCCCGCATTAACCTGCGTATCTCCTCATTATCTCATTTTAGATGTGTATAGTTTTTCGAGCGATAATAAAAATCTCTTCATTTGAAAAAAAAAAAAAAAAAAAAAAACAAAACATCTGTACATTTTCTTGTTGTCCCTCGAAGAACGACATGTGATCCAGAGAGATCTCATATTGCGAACGCACACTACTTATAATTGTTATCAGCGCGACAGAAATTTATTTACAAACGTTCTATCAGTACATATATATATATATGAAAATAAAAAGGAAAAAAAGATTAGAGGAAAAAGCGCCAACAGTTTTCTTACTTCTACGTAATTTGTTTTTTACTTGTCTCTTTAAAATTTGAGACAATCCACAATTCCGTCTTTCCTCGCGGACTGGTTTTTTTTTTTTCGTGACTAATATATATTCACAGTTTTATTATCACCGCCTGAGGATTGTATCAGCGTGTCCTCAATCACAGGCAATAAATTGGTGTGTCGATCGGCGCGTTGCGCGACGTTTATACGTGGCAACGGATATCGAATTCCGTCCTTTTTTTGATTTATCAACAAAATGCGTCTTTTTGTTGTTCCCGGTCGAGAATACGTTTAAAAAGCGCTGCAAGTGGAAGTTATTTATTGCATACAAATTAACTACATATACATATTATGGATCATGCTCGCTCGCCAATGGATAACCTCTTCAACATGCTGTCGAGTTTCAGCGCCGGCCACGAAAAAGCCCTGAAACAGGGCATCTACAACTCCGTCGCGCTTTTCTTTCTGTGTCTGGTCTCGGCAGCCGGCTACGGCCTCTATATCATACTCAGACCCTTCGTCAAGCCGCTTGTCTGGGCTCTATTGTGCGGTTCTGTTTTGTTCCCTTTCAAGTGCTCACTGGCCACCACAGTGCAATCCTGGTTCACCAAGAAAGAAGCCTCGCACAGTCCCCTGATCGTCGATGTCAGCCTTCTGCCTGTACACATATTTGACAATGTGTCCGATAAGTTGGGTTCCTTCCTCTGGTCCCACATCAAATATATTATTGGTACGGTCACGCTGGTGTTAGGGACTGTAGGTATATATCACTATACTCCCACCATACTGACATGCTTCGCTTGGAGAATCGTTCAGGCATTTACAACTGTCTCGGGATTCTTCATTCTGACATGCAACATTTACACGGTACACAGTTTTGTCTTAATACACACATGTATTCGGTCTTTTGAGTACTTACTTGAATTTTTTATTTCACAGGTTTCCACAATACTTATAGGATATTTGATAGTTCTGTATGTTCACTGGACACCAGCGAATTTCACTCGTTTCCGCTACATGTCTTTTGTGATGTGGTTCATTGTCAGTATGTACCTATCAAACATAGCTGGTGCCTACAGAGTCCTGGTCTTCGCCATTCTGCAAATTCTATGCGCAATAGGATTTGTTTACGAAGTGTTGCTGATCATGGAAACCCAAGAGCTGATCAATGGCAGTCCTATGACATTCTCGGAGGCTGCGCGTTTTGCTTTAACCAATAATCTGTTGCCAAGCCTGCAACAAGAGGACAAATTAGCTCCACTGAAGAGTGACGAGCAAACGGATGATTTGAAAAAGAAAGAAAGTACCGATGCATCAGCTTGTCCTAAAGAGAAAGAGGAAAAGTTTTCCAGCGTGGAGGAAATCAAAAGAATTGCCAGCACACCGAGACTCGGTGTAAAGTCGATATCTCTGGACACGGACGCCGCTCTATCCGCGATGCGCAAACGGCCTGCGAGTAGCGCACAGTCTCGCGCAAAAGCGCGTTATTTGCTCGGCAAACTGAAGGTCGAATTCCGAGGATCATTCGATATGCGTGACGATGAGGAACTTGTCGATACCGACAAGTACATGTACGGAGCGGTTTACGCGTGCATCGGTATGCTTCTCTGGAAATACTGGTGGATCGTGCACATCCTCGTGATCCCTTTGGTGTATTATATCGTGAAGCAACTAGGTAATTACTTTGGCTTCTGGGATATGATATACAAGTATTACGACTGGGTGCTACAAGCGGTCAAGTCGTGGTGCCTGGAACGACATCAAGCGCTTCTACCTTCCAACATCAGAGGTCTTTACAAAGTGAGCATCATCGTGGACGAGAAAGTGAGGAACATTTTAAAAAGTTCCGTCGACGCGGTGGCGACAACAGCTGTAATATTCGGCCTAATCATCTTCATTACTTTCACGTCTATTTTTATAACGATACAGGTACAACGCATATATGTTAATCATATGTTAATCCGTACGACGGATCTATTTAACTATTGATTTTGACCTCAGGTTTACGCGGAGGGTATACATCTCGTTCAAGTGACAGGAGAAATATTGAATTCCTCTTTGATGAATAATCCCGATATCGAATGGATGCCAGAAAAATGGGAAGAGTCCGTCAACAGTGTTTTAGATAACGCTTACACGTACGGACGGAGCGCCATATCCGACGGAGTGAGATTTATTTGCTTGTTTTTGTTTCTCTCAACGCGAGTTTTCCGGGATTTAACACTTGGTGTTTTAATTCAGATTCGAGGTCTCGTTAAAGATATCGAGCCGACGAAAGCTGAGCTGATGGAGAAGAAAGTTTTGGAACTCTGGGATCGTCTTTACCAGGCGTGGATGATGTCGAATGTGGACGAAACTTTCGTGGGTCCTACTGTAGACATAATGACCGCGTATTCCGCATGGGAGAATTTCAAGGAAAGCGTCGGCACGCCTTTCCGTAAGTGTTCTGTTTCCAAGGATTTGTGAAATGTGAGGAATATGATCTGTTCTTCTTTTTGAATTCTTTGGAACTGCCATTTTTTCTGGAAAATATTGTATTTTTATTTTTTTTTTAATCTTACAAATCTGTATGTTTTTGTTTCAGATTTGTTCAATATGGAAAGCATGCAGAATTTCGTCAAGGAAAATATCGGCATCTTCATGTCCGTGCTCGATTCTATCTGGAGTATTGTCAAAGGCAATATGTCTGTGATACTGACAATTTTTACAGAGTTATTCTACATCGTACTGATGAGCGGAACAGCCGTACTTAATTTCGTTCTTAGCATGGTACGCGCCAACTCACTTCGTGAAACTTGAGAACAAAACAAAGCAATACAAGAATTTTTCTATTTTCAGGTTGTGTTCTTCACAACTCTATTTTATCTCCTCAGTTCTAGCAATGAAACTTATAAACCCATCGAATTGGCAACGATGTTCAGTCCCATCAGTTGTTACAAGTAGGTATTTAAATATTTCTTTGCATGTATCTTGACAAAAAAAAAAGAAAAAAAAAACGTCCTAATTATGTTTTACTTTTATTTAATTAAATTTTCCAAGAAATCTTTATTTTTTTGTTTTTATACAAGCGCACGTAATACGGATGGGTAAGACAATTTTTGTATATAATATACAAGTGTTGATGTTCCGCGTGTGTGAGAATAACATTTATATTTGCAAAAAAAAAAATTACTTCAATATCCTTGAGAATAAGTAAATTACCTCTTGTCAGGTTCGCCGTGGCGCTGCAAGAAGCGGTGATTGGCGTGTTTGCGGCCACTTTTAAGCTCGCCTCCTTCTTCGGCATGTGGACGTGGTTCATTCACAACTTGTTCCAAGTGAAGATCGTTTACTTGCCGTCGGCCTTGGCGACTATGCTGGGAGCGGTGCCGTTTTTAGACGCCTACTTCGCTTGCATTCCGGCCACCATTGAACTTTGGTTCACTCGCGGCTCGATGACTGCTATCTCGTTCTTTCTTTTCCATTTTCTACCGTGCAACATAGTTGTGACGGAATTCTACAAAGAAATTAAAGGGTAACATTGTTATCTTTTGATACGTTACTTTTTTAATTTTACAAATTTTTTACGTATATTTCGCTTTCAATTACAGCGGCGGACATCCTTATCTAACAGGTCTGTCGATAGCAGGCGGAATATTCTGTTTGGGTGTGGAAGGAGCAATTTTTGGCCCTCTGCTCCTATGTTGCATCATGGTCGCCATTAATTTAAGTCGACGTTACCTGCACACGCCCGAGGAGGAAGTTATAATTCCAGCGTATTCTTCCAGCGTGATGTAGTCCAAAGTGATGTTACAATTTTGCTAACAAAAAAAGATCTAACTTTTGCTTAATTAATACTATTGAGTGAGCTACGGGCTTGGCTCCAGCGCTTTATCTTTTAGAGATGAGAAACTTTGATAAATGTTTTACGAACGTTAAATAATGCTGCACAATGGCTGGAACATGCAGACAGTTTATGTGAAAGTCGCGTTTTACACATTTTCATGTGATACAGAAGCTAATAATAAGATTTAGAGCGCTTGCGCTTGATAGATCTAGAAATATTTAAATTTATAACACACAAGAGTGAAATATTAATTTATTTTTTTTTAATTTTAATATTTGTTTTTTTTTTAACGATTTTTCAGTTTAGATATATAAGCGATATTTCCATAGTCTTCCGTGTTCCTTAAAAGATACATTTAAGAGAAATGCACTAATTTAATTTGTATTACACTTATTAATCGTTAAGATTGAGAAAAAAATTATTTATTTCAAGAGCACCATATATATTTACAAATATGTTAATGTTTTGTTTCTGATATATTGAATTTACTTTTTTTTGTTGCGTGTAAACAAAACATATGTTAACAACATGTGATTCTGACTTCAAGACTTTAATGTTTTACGCGTATATATTATTTTTTAAGTCTAACCGTGTAACCAAAGATTATAATAAATTTTTTCAATATTTTCCGTATTATGTTTTAAATTGCACAGTCCGTAACGATCGCATTGAGAGCGATCGAGGCATTGTTTTCGACAACGCGACACACAAATGTCCGATAATCAAATGTACGTAACATGATAACCGTGATAATTAGTGGAACTGTAATTGTGCTCATTATTCTAATCGGATACGAAATTTATTTGCACTACGATAGTTACTTTTCGTCAAGCACGGTCTAAAGGGTACAAAAGTTAAAGATTAAATAAGTTGAATTCGAAAAAACTTGGTGTGTGTAACGTTGCTTCTTAATTGTAAACAATTTTAGAGATGTTTTACGTACAACTGATACGTATCAGTTCTTTTGTGCAAAATAAGTATTATCGAAAGAACTGTCGATGTAAACGTCGGACAACGTGGTGAGCACTATATTTTGTCGCAACAATTCGGCCGTTGTTGCTTCCTGCGAATAGAAAACAATTTCTTTCTCGCTTTCAAACATATGGAAACCATTTTCGGAAAAGCGACCGCGTATATTGCCCACTTCTAACCACACGAACAGCGCTATGTTATCTGTTGATAATGTAAGCTTGAAGTCCGGATAGTTGGACAGTTTTCCGGGTAAGTGTTTCTTCTCGACTCGCATCTGAAAACCAAAATGTTAACGGTACTTACGCGTCGAACGCGTTTTACAACACAACATCAATTATTTGCTTACAGTGACATTGGCTGTTGGTACATTTGCATCTTTCAACGCGTCGGGATATATGTAATTGACCGGCGCGATTAGAGATCCAGTTTCGTCCGTGAGAGATAGACTGGCCACGCAGGATGTTTTCGCAGATTTCAATGATCCGCAACCAAGTTGCGCTAGATACGCGTTCAACCAGAAGGATGTGATTTTCATGGCTTTGTTTGATTCCTTGAACGAACAATACAATCAAACGAACATCCTGTGTGAATACATGAAGATGCTATTACTTACTATTGTAATATCGTCAAAGGACATTGTGAATATGGGCGTTATGGATCTCCAGTTGTAAACGCGAAGTTTCACCGAACAATTTCTTAACGTGTGCAATCGGTCGGATACAATATGTATCGAAATTTCATTGGAAAGAGATAAATATGACGTAACGATAACGGGTGCAAAAAATTCCTTGGCGTAGTAATGGAGCATCTTCCAGCGACCGTCGAAGTCTGTAACACAAGTGGATCTTTCTTGTGTGAAAATGATCGATGTTTTCTAATTTCTCTTGGTTTTTTTTTTTTATAGTTGGTCATTTTATCAATTACCTATGGAGGACCACGAAGGGGCTTGCCAGACGTCGTTCAGTTGCCAATAAAGGGCTCCCATTGTCATACCCTCGCCCACGGAATTCACGTCGGATTTGGCTTGCCTGAAATTTTCGGTTTCTATCTTTACGGAAACAGCTTGATTGATCTGGCTGAGATACACCAAGTTCTTGAAATCTCGCACGCTGTTGTTACTTTGCGGTATAACAAAGTTGTGCGAGATCATCAACCGCAGGTATTGATTGCCGAATGGCAAATGTTGCCGATGCTTGACGAAGTCGCTGTTCATGTGAAAATCCTTGAGAGTTTCCACGGCGCTCGCCAGTGTGTACATCGACGGCCAAGATTGAAACCCGTACTCGGAGCAAAATCTCGGCCGCCAGTATATAGTGATGTCCCATCCGTTTCTGAGATAGTTGTAATAATGAACTGTAAGAGAGACGGCAAGCGTTAACACATTCGAATTTTTAGAATTTCTCTTGTGTACGTATATTGCATATATTACTGTCGCCGTAAAAATTAGAATAGGGATCTACGCCGGTGTAATTGTACGTTTCCTCGTACGCTCCGTTGCCCGGACTAGATACAACGAACGGTCTTACGGGATCCAGTTCTTCCACTTCTCTCTTCAGCAGATCTACGTAAAGCTTGACGTAATCTTCTCTGTAGACCTGAGCGGAACCGGTGCCGTACCAATTTCCGTAGAGCGCCGCCTCGTTCTCGTTATTGCCGGCCCATAACACGATGCTCGGATGGTTCTTCAAACGTATGACGTTCTGCGTCACTTCCTCTCTCACGCTCTTCAAGAAGGAATCGCTCGTGGGATACATGGCGCACGCGAACATGAAATCCTGCCAGATCATGATCCCGTACTCGTCGGCGAGATCGTAGAACAATTTGGATTCGTACACCCCGCCACCCCACACCCTCAGCATGTTCATGTGCGTCTCTTTGGCCGACAACAGCAAGTGCCTGATCGTGTCCTCCTTAGCGCCTAGTTCGGGGAAGACGCTGGCTGGTATGAAGTTGCTGCCTTTGGCGAAGATCGGCACGCCGTTTACACGAAAATAGAAACTCAGTCCCTTCTCCATGGGCTCTTCCACCAGCTCCACCGTTCTGAAGCCCACGCGGTACGCTCTGGATTCGCGATCGTTCGCGGTTGTTACGCAAAGATTTAAATCGTACAGACGTTGATCGCCGTAACCGTTCGGCCACCAACTTTCAACAGCGTCCTTGCGGAAGAAGAAAATAACGTCACTCGGATAATATGCGACAGAAGATGCAAAAAAAAGAATTGACTTACCGCAGGCACAACGAGCGAGAAGTTTACTTTTTTGCGCTGTTCACTTGTGTCGAGCACGAACGAACTGACGTTGGTGACAATTGCGGTTCCCGCGTCTTCTAACGTCACCTGACAATTGAATCTTCGATTTTCTTCGTTCTCGTTTCGCGTTACTTTCAGAAACAACGTAACGAGAACGTTCCAGTTGTCAGCTTCTTTACGTATATCGGTTGTAACGTCACTGATCAATACGTCGTTTACGGAAATCAATTCGACGTCTCGCCTGGAGAAATTTTAATTCTAGAGATATAAAATTATCTTTGAATCAATTTTTTGTTTTTTATTCAATTTGATGTTTTTTTGAGCCGTACCAAATGCCGAGCGAGGGAAAAGCGGGACCCCAATCCCACGCGAAGCTCGCTTGCATTTTGCGAATATGATTAACGTGACACTGCCCGTTGTATTCCTTGGGCACGCACACAGGTGGAACAACGTAATTCGTCTTTTGTTCGTTGTACAAATCCTCGGCAACTTTAACAGCCGAACGTAACGCAACTTGCAGCAGATTCGGCCCTTCCTATTCGCATTTCGAATACACGAACTGAGTAAAGAATTCGAAATGAGCAAACGCGCGCTTCCTTCCCCCGCACAATTTTTTTTCTTACTTTTATGTGATCCGTCACGTCGAAAGTGTATCTCAGAAACATGTTCGAAGTCTCCCCGACAGCGCGATCGTTCAAAGAGACATTGGCGAATGTGTCAATTCCGTGGAAAATCAAAACTATCTTGCGAGCGCTCAAAAAATCACCGCTCACTAAAAATTGCATTGTTTTGCGGATTTTATAAAAATGATTTTCACTTCTCACACGCAGAGAGGGAGAGAAAATGTAGTGTATGCTTTTGTTTACTTTACCGTTGAAATTTTTTGTGTAAATGACGGATTGATTCCCGACCCAACGATTGTTGACATCGTTGTTTCCCAACAGATTGTTTTCTATTACGCCATTTCTGTACAAATCTGTGTAAATCCCGCCAGGAACAGTCGCATCAAAGCTGACATCTATGATATTCAGAATATTTATTTAGTTTATTTGTAGTTTATGTATGATAAAATTTGTTTACACCGATATTGTAAAAAGAATCGTTTATCTGACGACACGTAACAAACTTCCGTAAAGCGATTTCTTACCCTTATCGCATCTTCGAGATAAGTTTTTATCTGGAAACAACACTTTTGTTATATAAATGTTTGCTTAGTGAAAAAATATACACATCTCTTGTGTTTATTTGTTAATATATAAATATTTAAGTACGCATTTATTTTTTATGATAATATATTTACCACAGATATTAATACTCCCTCTCCAGATGCCATTCAAACTTAGTTTGTCACAATATACATTAGTAAAAATTAAGATACACAATGTCAAAAAGAAAAGCTTCATTTTGGCTGCGAAATGCGTACGACGATTGTCTGAAATAAAACTGAAAGTTTAGTTTAGCGAATATATTTCATAATTTTTATTTATATATAAATGTAAATAAATATCTTTGCTTTTTTGTATACTAGCACAACACAGGCGCGCGCTACGCGCACGCTATTGTTATTTTTATTTCACGTGTGTTGTCAGTGAACACAACCTGTTACCGCGATGACAGATAGTATATACGTCTTATAAACCATATAATACACATATGAGAAATGTCAGAAATAACGCATAAAAATCAAACTCAAAAAATAGTGAGAGAGAGAAGTGGAAAAAACAACACGTGACAGGGAAAAGGGTAAAAAAGAGAATATTATATATATTATATGTAATATTCTATATCTATATATAATACACACACATACGCATATATGTGTATATATATATATATATATATATATATATATATATATATACCGTAATCACGTGACCGGGGTCAATGATCCCGTCAAGGCCGCGCGGCCGAGGTCAATGACCCCCCCCACCAAGGCCGCGCGGCTGAGGTCAGTGCCCCGCCAAGGCCGCGCGGCCGAGGTCATTGACCCCGCCGCGGTCACGCGACCTTACGGTAGTATGTATATAATTATAATAAATTATATGTATAATATGTATTATTTAATATATTATTTATATCATATATATTATTTAATGTTATGTATAATATACATTACAGTCACATTACCTCAGTCACGTGTTGTTTTTCTACTCTTTCCTGTCATGTGACTTTAATCATCGATAGAATCGATTCTGATTATTTTCACACGCTTTTTCTGGTAGGAATATATAAAACATACACCAAGTTGCAACAAATACAAAGATAAAAATATAATTACGGTGACCTAGTAACAATTTACAATCGTCTAGTCTCAATAGTCGCAAACACTTATTGTTAGTAAATTGGAGAGCCGCGTGTCGCGCTTTGGATTTTCCGTCTGCACAGAGTCGTCCGCGACTGACGGCGGGTCTCGCACTACGGCGCGCGTTATAACGCATCGCCGTTCTTTCGCTCTGCACGGAATCGCCGAGATCCCGCCGGGACACGGGGGGTACTTATTCCGCGCACGAAGCGCCCCGCAACCCGGCGGAATATAACGGTTGCAAAACCGGTTTATCAATATTTTTATTATTATTATTATCAATTATCATTGTTTTGATTACGTCAAGCTTATCAATCCGTAACCTTGATATAGAATAACGATATTTGCGCCACAAATCGGATTTATGAACACAAACTTCCGTCACGTACAGAAAAAGAAACAAGAAAAAAGTATAAAAATATTTATATTTACATATAATTTATACACACACTCACAAACACATATAATATACGATATGTACATAATAACATACTGGAGTTTGTTTAAAAGTCAAGTAAATTAAATTAAAAAAAAAAAAAAACGTTGCCAGCTGATACTGCGTTGATTTATTTGCATGTGTTATATCTTTTATTCATTTGCAGGTGTTAAATTTTTTTATTGCGTCGACGTGTGATCAGATTCACAGAATTCACATGTAAAATACATACATATGTATGAGTTGTAGAATTACAAAACAATGTTTTGAAATTTTTACGCGACGCAACTTTTTCTTACTTTAATATAGAAAAATAAACTTTTATTTATGTATTGCACATATAAAATGTACATACTTACATGTTTAATAAGCGTGAAAAAATGCATGTAACAATATATATATATATGTATTTATCATCTTTAGATTTTTTGTGTTTTTTAAAAAATTAATGTAAACATAATTTTCAATTCGTCAAAAAATGTAATGAGCTTTTCTATATTCTCAATATTTCTTTAAACTGATTTATTGTTAAGAGTGAGATAGAGAGTAACAAGCAAATTAAAAAAAATTAGAAGTATATAGAATATATTTTCAATACATAGAATACTTAATGGTTATACGCACACGCGCGTATTTTATTTCCCAGCCACTTAACAAAATACTTGCTACGTAGAAAAAATAAATGAAAAGTACTGAATAATGGTTTACAAGTGGTCTCTCACGTAACACCTTTTGTACATGTGTAAGTACTGATAGGCATAATCCGAAAATGTTATAAATAAATGCATATATTAGTTATTAAATATTGTATATAATATATCGATCGTAATCGATTTAGATTAGAGAATCGGCGAGCTTACATTCGCGAAAGTCCGCGAATCCAAATCAGATCTTGTGAGACAAATGAGAGAATGCGTGTCACGAGATATGTTTACGGCATTTGCAACTTCTTCCGTAAAACCGCACGTCGTACCTACGTATAAAGAGATTCGTTATTTAGAAAAACAAAATGCATATTGTGGAATTCTATGCAATTGTTCCAAATATTTATTGCCCAGAAGAAACGGGCGTTAACTCCAGAATCAGCTGGTTTATCAACATGTGGTCAACATTGCGCGCGACATATTGATCAATATTTAATCATAAATAACAATAATAATGCAACAATATTATTCATTATTTATTTATACGTATAGACCGGGCCCGATAGTCTCGCAGCCAAAGTGCGGGGAAGGAAGGTCTCGAGTTCAAATCGACACCTTCGGATTTTTTCAGCCGGTCTCTTTCACTCGAATTTACCGACTGAAATGCAAACTATAAATCGGGATTTTACTTTAATCTTCCAGTTTAGAGATTGGGCGATAGGCTGACAATCCCTTGCCCCGTAAAAAACTTGTATTGAATCGAAAGTTTAAGCCTCGAAGCTTAATATACATTTCCGTGGTGGTTCGGAACCCACCTAAAATCGTAGATCCTTTCTCGCACCCCATAATTGGGAGGCTAAACTTCTCTGAGGCGGCCAAAACCCACAAAGGGTTGTAGAGCCGGAAGAAGAAGAAGATTTATATATATAACCATTATCATTAATAAAAAAATTGAATAATATTATTCATTATTATTATTATTGTTATTATATATATATATATATGTGTATATCACCTGCGTAGATCATAAAGAGTTTCAAAGCAATTTTATCATATCTTACTTATAAGAATGTGAAATCAACGTTTTCTTTTTCTATTGGTATTTGTTTGTTTATTATTATTAGACGAAAATTGATTTAAATAATCTATCTCGGAATCTTTCAGTTCACTGATTGGTTTGAAGGTACGAAAGGAAGTAGATGCGGTTTCCTCATATTCTGTGAAAAAAAAAAGACTACAGTTTTTAAGAGAGATTTTTTTAATTTGAGCATCGCAGACAGAGAGAGAGAGAGAGAAAGAGAGAAAGTTGATTTGTTTCTCAGAAAGCAATCCAGAAAATAATATATCGAACACAAAAATGCCTTTTGCTCCCGAAATCATGATAAGATAATATTTATCATAAATCAAGAAATCAAGAATTTGAAAATAACAAATTATGTAACATCGAACATACCGTGTGAGAGCTTTTTATCTTTCTTCTCGTTTATGCACTGTCGAACGTGGTTTTCGTATTCCATTCCGTTGTTTGTTTTGTACTTGTTACATATGGCGCATTCGAACAAATTTTTCGCATCACTCTCATCGCCACTTATTTCGAATTGATCGCAATCAGCAGCATGATCTTCTATCTCGTTTCGCAAAAACAACTTGTTGCATATTGGACAATTTACTTTATCATCGCTCGTCGAAGAAGATACTTTATCAGTCTGATTTTTATTTCGCACATCAGACTCCTACATAAAAATAAAAAAAAAGTTAAAAAAAAAAAAAAAAATTTTACAAGTAGTCGCAAAAACTTGTAAACCTTATAAACTTACTCGTTTTACTTCGAACAGGTTATCATCATCGTCCGATAACAGTAACTGATGCTCCCAGCTTGCGTTTCCATTCTCCTCTACCTTTTCGCCAGAGTTTTGCTTCTTTTGTTCCTCATCAAGCTTCAGCTTCTTTTCTCTGTTCCGTTCCCAGTCGCTACCTTCACTTGTCACCGTTTTCGTTTGTTTAATCGTTTCTGATGACAATAGTTTTTCTCGCACTTCTTTAGATAGCGGCAGCGGTCGAATCACCACGTTCTTTTCCGTTGCGTCGTCCTCTTTGTCGCTATGCCAGTCTTCCAACAGTTCCTGACGAATTTCTTCGTCCGTTATTGAGGTATTTTTACTCCGACTTTTTGTTTTCTCAGCACCTTTGTCGACGCCTTGCGTCTTCAAAGACGGCTTCGACGCGGCGGCGTTTCCTTTTCTTAGCCTAGACAAACTTAAACGTCCTTTGGGATTAGGAGGCACTATCCTTCTCGGATACGTAACCAACTCGGGCGACACTCTCTCATCTTGTTCGTCGAGTTTTCTCTTAGAGCCTAGAGATTTTTTATGTTCAACGCTTGACTCTGTTTCGTTATTATTATCGGTGAGGGAATGAGCGATCGTATTCGACATTGGTTTTTCGTGACTGGCGAGCTGACTCGCGGCACGATCCACGTTACTCGACTTACTATTGGACTGCCTCTTTTTCTTAACACGAGCAGAGCCGTGCTGCTGCTTGTCTTCTTCGTCGTCGGTTTCTTCAATTTGATCGGAATATTCTCTTATGAGAAAATTCGCTTTACGTTTACTAACTCGCTCGTGACTATCTTTGTACACGTATTCTGCTTTGACTTGTTCAGTCTTAGAGTCTGTTAATGATGTTCTATCCGAACTATTGTTAGCAGTGCCGACCTACAGAAATAAGGATCAGAATCAGAATAAATTGAAGAATAAACATCCGTTTTGTTTTTTACACAAATATAATTTATTCAAATACGCAGTTTACAGTTTATTCAGTAATTATGGTTTTGTAAACGCTTACGTACACATGACGCGTATAAATTCTTTTTTTAAATATATATATATATATATATAATTAGTGAATATGTGTATAAATGGAAGTATCAAAGGTTTCTCTTCTCAAGTCATCAATGTTTTCATTTGGCAACAAAAAAAAGTGATGTTAATTAGTCGACAAGTGATTTGTAATATGTGTATACTGACACAAGTTAATATTATATATACATTGTTAAATAATATATATGTATATATGAAAGATATACATGCACATTGTTAACATATAGAAATATAAATGCGACTTCTTGTTCATAGTTTATGTACTATAATATAAATTGTACTGTGTATTGCATTTTATGATAGTTTCTTAAAGGAAGATGCCGAATCATCACAGATTTGACAGAAAAAAAAAAAAAATAAACGATAATATATCTTCGAAGGAGTACAAGATCTTATATCTAAAAAAGAACTAATACGCACTTATTGCAAAATAACGAAATAGAATTCAGACTCTTATTAATTGGAAAATTATTAATGTAAAAATTATGATAACATATTATGATAGTGCTCTTATCCTTAGTAAGACACGCATACATAGCTCCAGGTAAAAAAGAAAGAATTATCTTATACATTAATTAACGATACGAACAGTATGGAAGGGAGTATAGGGTGGTACCGACCTGGATGGGTGACCCCCATTGAAATACCGAATTGGAAGAGGGACGCCAACTGTACCATAAGTCTGCCATTTCCTTGAGATGCTGACTCAAAGTCCGTGCTAATTGTTCGCATTCGTCGATCGTTACAGCTTTGCAATACTCGAACGGTGCACGTTCTCGAGCCAAAGGCCGATTTGGCTGTCGCAAAGGCACATCGTTTTCGTTGTCACAGACATCGAGCGGATTTAGCTGCCACCTTTCTAGCTTCTGAACAACTTCGCCTTGTACATCCGCGTTCTTCTCCACGGTATTCTGACATTCCCGCAATATGTTTCCAGATCTCAGTGAGAGAAGTCGTTTTGTACTGTGGGTCGAATTGGTGCTCTCTTGTTGTTTCTCAGATTGTGTCCCATCGTCATCCGAGTTCTTGCATTTGTATGTAGGATTCTGTATCTCAAAACTGGGGGATTCCGGACTGTTGGAGCGACGAACGTTTTTACGTTCCGATATGGTTGAGGAAGTTCTGTATGAGAAGGTTGGTCTGGGTAGTTCTCCATCTTGTGAATCTTCTTGTGCTGCGTTTGTGTCAGACTTATTAGTTTCCAGTAGGCACTCATTGTTAGAATGTTGTGTACCCTAAAAAAAACAGTTTGTTGAGAAATTGTAACTTTCTACTTGCTTTGTCTTAATTCAATCCAACAATGTTTGAAAAACTGGACAAATACACCACGTGTGTATAGTGCAATCACTATCTTCGTCATATACCTTCTGAGTATTTTTAATATTCGAACCAGCATTTGATGTATCCTTAGACTCATTGATAAATCCAATTATCTGTTTCATTTGTCCATATGTAATTCCTTCTTCATATATTCCAATGTCTATGAAATATAGTCAATAATTATTGTTACAATATTACTATTTTGCAAATCTATAAAAATTGCAAGAGCCCGGATCAATATTGTTTACAAGAATATTTTGAGAAATTTTATTTACAAGTGAAATAACATTCTATTAAAAAAAAAAAAAACAAATTAATTCTGCAACTCCAGATGTTAAACAAATTTGTGTCTATTGAACTTATTTGTTTTTATTATTGTTTGCTACATAAAATTACATAGTTTTATTATCTCTGTCAAGTGTGTAAACAAATTACTATTCTGTTATTTCGAATACACAAATGTTTCTTGTTTACAAGAGGTAACATTTCCTTCTATACACAAAATGTTCATTCACATTCAATTTTGCAAAATTATTTTTCAAAAGAGAACTTACCCGTGAGTTCCTGCTTCATTTTCTCCTCCTCGAGCTTTTCCTCCGTGGTTAACCTCTCGTTTTTTTCTCGTTCCATGATACTCAAAATCTCTTCGAAGAATTTGCAAAACAACAAATTATTGCGATCCCTTTGTTCTCTACAAACGCAATGGCATGATCTATCGCTGCGCAAATTGATCGTTGACAGAGGTGTAAATAAATCTTTTTCTACATAATTATGCACATGCCTAGTAGTTATCTTCTTTCTCTCTCTCTCTCTCTCTCGCTCTTTCTGTCTCACTAGATCAATATTTGTGATGCTGTAAAAACGATGCTACAAAGATGTCTTTTTTTTTTCTAGAAATCGGCGCAATTTCCTCTTGCGCGAGCAATATTATTGAAAGCATACACCGACGGAGCTTTGACTCTGTGTTACTTTTTTTTATGTATCAACAACGACGATTATCAAAATTTTATAAATTGATAAAGAGACACTGCCTCTTGTGAAAAAAAAGGTACTAACTTAAAACTAGACGTTGGATATTGGACATCCAGCGTCATCTTGCGAACGCGGAGACGAATTACTATTAAAATACGGCGTCATCTTGAAAATCGCTCTTTTCTTCCCTCTTTTCGCAAGTAAAACGAACTTTTTCTTGTCTTTCGAATGTAAAATAAAAATTACTCCTTTCCGAATAATAAATTATTCGGTGATGACGCTCATTTTTTTTACTTAACGTAACGCGCGCACAGCGTGAAATGTCAGGTTTTGCAAACGGGGGACGCGATTTTCTACAAAGAGTGTATCGGAAATTAAATAACACGTGCAAGAAAAACTTTCTTCACGCAATTGTGCAACTAAAAATGTGCTGATTTTATTCGAAATAACGCCAAAATAATTACCTCAACGACCACTCGCTGTGTCCGCTCGACCAACGTCGCCACGAGAAGCGTCGCGTAAGTATCGACACGTTTTTCCCGAATACGCGGGATCCATTCCCATTGGCCGTTATCAATCATCTGAGTTCGGGAAAACAATTGCGAGTTGTCATCCTTGTCAATACTCGACACGTTTGATTCGTCAATTACTGCGTTCAGCAGAAAAAATTGATTCGTAATAATCGAACGTGATTGGCTCTTACTTTTGCAATCTCCCAATCAACGTCGAGTGTTCACAAGACGGCTCAGCAATTGTTCTGCCGAACGCAGCCAGTTCTGCTCGACGCCAGCGACATCTGATGTTTGTTTGCTTGACAAATAACTGAATCAGCACAGGTGATTACGCTGCTTGCTAATTTGCTGAATTGACAGATAAGGTACTATTTTTCTTGCGGTCGAGTGATATTTTTAGTGTCGGTTTATTTCAAAAGTCAATCAAATCAGAGACTTAGATCGTGTGATACTTTGTGATGATCTAATGACATTTCAAGAAATGATTCTTTCTAGGAGATATAAGATCTTATCGCAATAAACGCATCTAAGATAAAATCGGTATACACAAGTGTATAGATTATTCTCAACACCCTTGGCTCAACACCACTGCTCATAAACAAATGTCAGTAGTATAAGCTAATTTTGAGAATTTTCTTCTCTGCACAGTTTATATGGATATTTAAACGCGCTTTTGAAAGTCTGAATTATATTATTTATGAAGCCAGAACTTTCAGAAATTGCAAGATGGTAAGTTGAATTTGTTTAATTATAAAAGAAAATTTTTTTGTATGTAACATGCTACATTTTTTTGTTAAATTTTTTATTTTTTCTAGGCAACAGTGAAACATGATATAAACCTGCCGAACAATATTCCACAATTATTACTGGAAAAACATGCAAATTATCTCATTTCATACGGAACCAATAAGGATGAATATGTGAGTCTTTTTTAATACTTCTTAAAAATTCTTTGCTCTTCTTAGTAAAGAACAGTGTTATAATTTTAGTATCTAACTATCAAAATTAACTAATATTATTCATTTTCAAAGACAATAATTTTTCTTGCAATTATATTTCTTTACACATATAAGATAAAAAATGAGGATTGATAATCAATTTCTTATGTTTCAGACCTATACTCAGACTGAACATATGAGAATGTCAGGCATGTATTGGGTTCTTACAGCTCTAGATGTAATGGAAAAGTTGGAAGAAACCAATAAGGAGGAACTGTTAGAATTCATTAAACTGTGTCAGTGCGACAATGGTGGCATTGGTGCCAGTGTACACCATGATCCACATTTACTTTACACACTTAGTGCTGTACAAATATTATGCATGTACGATGCGCTAGATGTAATAAATATCGACAAAGTTATAAGTTATGTCAAAGAGAGACAGCAGCCAGACGGAAGTTTTACGGGCGATCAGTGGGGTGAAGTGGATGTCAGATTTTCGTTCTGCGCTATCGCAACTTTATCACTTTTAGTGAGTATTGCAGAGTATTATGTAAATAGCAAAGTTAAAATATTTGAAAGTGAGAATGTCAACTTTTCTTATGATATTCGCAATATTTCTATGATTTCAGAATCGTTTGGATGCGATAAATGTGGAGAAAGCAGTAGAATTTATATTAAAGTGCATGAATTTTGACGGAGGATTTGGTTCAAAACCAGGATCTGAGAGCCACGCTGGTTTAATTTATTGTTGTGTGGGGCTACTTTCGATAACCGGTATACGAAAACGCAAGGCATCTATGCGGTCTCTAAGTATACATTTGAGTCTTAACCATAGAATTTTTTTTTCCAGGACACTTGCATCTTATAGATGCCGATCGGTTAGGATGGTGGTTGTGTGAGAGACAATTACCTTCGGGTGGTTTAAACGGCAGACCAGAAAAGTTGCCGGATGTGTGCTACTCGTGGTGGGTGTTGTCAACGTTGACAATCTTGGGCCGCCTCCATTGGATAGACAAAAAAGGCTTAGTGAGTAAACGTATTCTTATCGCACATGCCATTTGTATTATTTTGTATTTCAAGTAGTTATTGATCGACTGATGCAACTAATATTAATTTTCGTGTCTTCTCATTTTTCTCGTTCCAGGTTGATTACATTTTGACGTGTCAAGACGTCGAAACCGGCGGTTTCAGCGATCGACCCGGAGACATAGTCGATCCTTTCCACACTTTATTCGGTCTCACCGCGTTATCGTTGCTGGACGAGAACTTCTTGCTGAAAACGATCAATCCTACTTATTGTATGCCGCAGTATATAATTGATCGTTTAGGTCTCAAGCCGTCACGACTTGATTCGTGATTGTACGTTCAACATGTTTTACGGCACATGACGCAAAAGCCAACGCGCTAGAAAAACGAGAAGAGTAGGACACAATTGTGTACATATAAATTTTGTTTATATCTTCAATAAATAGATGATTATAAGTTTTTCACCAAAAATATATGCTTATAAGTCGCACATACATGGGAGTTTTAAGTACGTCCTTTCTATTTTGTTGCAAATTGTAGAACGCAATTTTACAATTTCTGCAACAAATCCGAATTATACGATTTTTTCCCCAAAAGTTGAGCAAAATGCAAACTATATAATCTATATATACTTGTTTTTTTTTCAGACAAACCATTTGCAAAATATTTATTATTGATTTTAATTTTTATTTCATCATTCGACAAATTATATACGGACCCGTGTTTCTTCATCGCGTTTTTGAACAATATATTGAAAATTTCCAGTATAGAATTATCCAAAATTTTAATATTTTTATAATTTCTTCTCATTTGTAAGTTCTTTTTTTCAAAGATCATAATCTTAAAGTTTTAAAGAAACTTAGAAAAAAAACCATACATTACAAGTGAATAAATGACGCGGAGCACGTCTTCCGAGAAAAATACAGCTCTGGAAAATTTATATCCAGTAACATCTCCAGTGTGAACCATATACTCCTAGTACACACATTACAAGTAATACGAATTGCCATTTTGTCGGCGAGGCGCGAGGCGTAGCGACACGCCTCTCGTCAACAACCCCGGACGAGGAAGGCACTTCGCCGCGATTGGTTTATCTTCCCCCTTCTCTTCCCATCCTTAGATCGGCGCGGTCACTGATCGAGATTAAGTTTGATATCTCGTTAACTGGAAAACGACGGATCTCTCTCTCCCGCGAAATCTTCTCGATCAGGAGTGTTACAGTTTTGCCAATGGCGCTCGAGAAGTCGTTCGGAAAAACAGATCAGTTCAGAACTTGCGACACGCGAAACGACGTTTCGTATCGTAAAATATTACAACTTTATACGTCATGTTAAAATATTGACGTTACGAGACACAGAGACAGTAAAGATTGATAAATAATTTGTTTTTATCTAAAACACAAAATCAGCAACGTTTTACTTCTTTGTACGCAGAATTCTTGCAACCGATGGAACTGGAGTATCTCGAAGTCTTCCACTTTGAGACACGTAGATCACGAGATAAAATTTATTTTTTTACTGTGTTCTCAAAAAATCGCGTATCGTCTATTCTCTTTGCTATTATCTTATTAAGATTTTCAAGGAGAAAAAAAAAGGAAGATTTGTAAAATCACAAGCAGATGAGGAGGTTCGTTTCGAACTTAAAATGTCGAACAGATCACACTTCGCATAAGATAAGTAGACTGTTGCGGCTGCCGAAACGTTTCGACGTTCAGAGATTAGATTCTAATACACACCGGGCGTGATCGCGCGCACTTGTTTCAATCCACGGAACGAAAGCACGCCGGCGGAATCGATCTCGCAACGCGCGCGGGAGACGTCTTCTTTCCTCGTCCCTCCCGTCGCTATACAACGCAACCCGATACGATGCACCCGGTACTCCGATGCACGTCGCGAGTGGGCGTGTCCACGCGGAGGGTTAATCGTGACGCGCGATCGGATTGGCTGGCGCTCAAATGTTCCCGTTCGTTCGTGGGAGGCGACTCGCGGCGATATCAAAAACACGAGAACCCCGCCTCTCGCACGGTCGTTCGAATGGACGAACGACGACCTTCTCGTAGGTCACGGGGCGAACATCGGAAGTGGGGGAAGCACGCCGCTGCCATTGGACGATGATGGGCGGTCGTGATCGCGAACAGGGACCGGCTCCAATCCGGACTACGGCGCAACCGTGCTCGCCTGGGTAGGGGAATCCCCGTTGCGGGGGTGTGGGTATAGATCGGCCGCAGTATCCGCGGAGACGTGATCGCGGGTACTCGGGTGTGCGATCCGGGTACCGTTTGCGTTGTTCGCGGAGACGAACGTTGCTCGAACTAAAGGGGGCTCGATCGCGTCGAGCTCGACGGAGTGCGTTACGACACATGTATACATAGTCGTTGTATGTATACGTTGCGAATTGTGACATATTGTGAGACACGTGCACAGCGAAAGCGTTTACCCGCCTCGGCCGGCCGCGGGAGGTAACCCTGTTACTGTCCCCGTGGTTGGGTCCGATGGAGATTCCGCCGTCGCGTTCCCGCGGAACCCGGCGAACAGAGAGGAGGATGTTGGATGCCCGCGAGCACCGATAAATGTAAAAAAAAAAGAAAAAAGAAGTGTATGTAGAGCGTTCGAGCGCATTGTTTCCTGAAACGAACGACGAGCTGGCAAAAAGATTAAAGAGAGGGACTGCTCTATTCCACGTTTGATCCACGTCGCTTGATGATGCCGCGGCCCTCGCGCGATACCTACGGTGACCAGAAGCCGCCGTACTCTTACATTTCGCTCACGGCGATGGCGATATGGTCGTCGAGGGACAAGATGCTCCCTCTTGCCGAGATTTACAAGTTCATCGCCGATCGCTTTCCGTATTACAGAAAGGACACGCGACGATGGCAGAACTCCTTGAGGCACAACTTGTCGTTCAACGACTGCTTCATCAAAGTGAGTTCAAATCCGCGTGTATATATCTTTTTTGCGATATGTCTCTGTTTTGAGATTTATACGTACACCGCGTCAAAGCGGAGATCTTATGTCCAACTGTGATCAACAATATAAGGCAATAGTCCCAATGGCCGGACATTTTATTAAAGAAGTAATTGTAACGAAGTATTCATTCAAATGTAAAAGTAGAAACTGACGTTTAAAAATGTAAATTAAAAGTAATTAAACTGTTGTGAGAATTGTCATGTTTAATATTTACATGTCTAATAATTATTTCTCTAACAAACATTCACTGGCACACACCCGGTCACTGGGACAGTTACCTCAGATCGTTACAAAGTACCAGTTTTCTATCAAATCTTGGTAAAAATATGTAGCGAAGTTAATATATTAATTTTTGTAAGAGAAAACTTGTTTTAAAACTGTGTACACGCGGAGAGAGAGTTTTTAGACGGAGTTTGTGTCGAGCAAAGTCATTGATCGCCATTTCGCGATTGAGGTGAACAATAATTGTATTACAGACATGATCACAGTTCGTTTTTTTTTTTTTTTTTTTAACAAGACAGATCGGTGTCAGAAAGTTGGCGGCGAAAAATGTCTCAGATCTCGTCGAGACGTCGAAAGATGTGAAGCGCGTGACAACGATGGGCGGAATGGGATGTCTTTTCATTCCGGACCCCGAGATCGTGTCTTTTCAACGCGAATGTCGTCACGACGCAAGGTGTTTGGTTGTTGTATTATCGGGCCATCTGTTTCGCACCTGCCAACGCGTGCGACCGCCGCGATCACAGTCATGGCGCGTACGTTTCTCGCACGCGGTTCCTTGAAAATTACGAAATAACGCGCCGGTTCTTTCGTCGCCCGGTTATCGAAAAAAAAAGTCACGGGGTAAAATCAGTCCTTTAACACCACCGTGTGTCCCTCTTAACGTGACACAGTATTCCTGGCCTTTTAAAGAGAAAACGATTTTCTGTGATTGCTTTGAAAACAAAAAATTATCGAAGTTACTTAATTTTTTTAATCGAAAACGCACGCGGTTCTAAATGTTTAAATCTGATAAAAATTTGTTGCAATTTTTTCTTCCAAACTTTCTCGCCGCAATTGCTCTCGCAATTTTCATCAAAATTATGGAGAAAAGAAATATCTGAATATTAGCGACGTGCAATCTGGAACGACTGTCAATAGTTCACGTACATTTCTGGTGATTACAGTCTCTCATTAAAATAATATATTCGCGCGAATGCGTAGAGACGATGATCTCAATCGAAATCACAAATTTTGACATAAAAAGTAAGGAAGATAATGTTTGCATTAAACTAAATAGACTATTTTTCTCTTACATTGGACCTGATTTTCATCCTGATGCATCTGTTTACGTGTAACGAATGATAATTATCGTCGCTAGAAAGCGTGAAACTATATAAGCGGAAACGATGGAAAGTAATAATGTCTCTGCGAGAAATTTTCGAGAAGATTTCATTCCGGAAGAACACACGGACGCGCGTCTTCTATCGATAAAATTGTTTGCGCAATCACATACACACACAGACGAACAAATTACAGTAGTCATCAACAAGGTTTTACGTATATCTGCGCATATTTACGGATTCACAAACTCGAAGGTGCGGTCGTGTTTGCGAGAGAATGTTCCCGGTATGTTTTTTCTTTCGGATTTCTTTATGCTAATTTAATGTTTTAAACGCGCTACCGCGTTTTTTTTTTCATACGTCTTTTAAATAACCGCTAATTGTCAAATTAAAATATTTATTAAGAAACCGATCGTACGTCTCTCTGTATCTTTTTGAGAAAATATTTGGTTCGAATTCTCAAAACACGTTAATTAAAATTCGAGATGATATTTTGCGTTTTTGACAACAAATTTAAAAATATCTTGAGATTTCTGCCGAAGAACTTCCCAGCGCGTTTGTTGTTTTTACGTGAAAATAAATGAGACAATCGTATTGTTCGAGTGGAGACAAGATAGAATATGACTGTATTGTGACTCGCGTTCGACGGACAACTATAACTGGTAACGAAGAATGTTGGTTTCAAAATATTATATACACGAACATAAATACGCGGACATTTATGAAGGTTGTGTGTGAGAGCACGTACATTTGTGAGTTGCTACGTCAAGCGAGAGACGAACACACGCCTCTGAGATAAGATATTTGATAAATTTGTTTCTCAGTTCGAGTGTGTTTTGCCGAGACAAAATATTCAATTACTTTTGTATCAATTATTAGTTTTTCCGGCGAATTATTGAGCGTAATTTCACGCTTTCATTTTTTTCTCAAACTGTTGCTTTAACAGGCAACGTACATATATATATATATATATATTGCAGATTTCTTTTTCAATTCTCTTACTTAATTAAATAGAATTGGTCTCGACGAGATTTTGAAAGAGCGAGAGGTTTGTTATTGTTGCATCAAGTCTGCTTCTATATCGTGTTACATAAAATCGCAAAACCAATTGAAACAATTTTCAACATAACTCAATAAACAACAATCATATTTTGTACGGGTTGTAAATATATTTATCTCGCGTGTGTTCGTCCGTTTCATTAATTTTTATGTGAAAATTAATGCAAAATAATTCGCAAATGTTTTCTTCGATACACGCGTCGATGTAAACACATCGATTTGTAATCCTTGTGGTTTTCAAGAATGCAAAACTTGTCGATTCATTTGCAAGAACTTTTTATATTCGCACACATTTAAATTCCAATTTACTCCAACTCTTCGCGACATTCTCTCTCTCTCTCTCTTGCGAACGACAACTTTTGAAATGTCCAAACTGTTATAATCGACCGAGAGAGACACGACGATCTTCCTCTCGTTCGCTTCTCGTCTCGCGTGTGTGTGATACTAATAACAACGTCAATAATAAATATATTTTCCCGCCGCGCGCGAGAACTGTCCGAGTTGCGCGCCTTTTCCCGATCGAATTAACTCGGTCTCGATCGGCGAGATAATCGTTTCGCGTTATTAAATGTAAAACCTGCTTCGGCGAGTAATGAAGCCCCCGGTCTCTCTACAGCTCATCAATCGCGCAACCGCGTCTTATAAACTATATATACACCGGCCATCGGTCGTGACGACGACGTGGTGAGATAGCACCTACATAGAAGCGTCTTTTAGCGCGATGTATGTACGTACGTATCGAGAGAGCGAGGAGGAAAAACACGGGTCTAACTCACACCCGAGTGTGTAACACGAGCGACCGTGTGCTTTACGGGAATCGCGTAATTGCTTCTGGACAAATGTTTTCCCAGCGTTTTAAGCGACGACAACAACGATGATGACGACGGCCGGGAATCTCGATCCCCATCTCATCGTGATATCAATTAAACCGCGATTCCACCGCGCGTGATGTACTCATCAAACCATGAACGGAAACGACGCGGACCTAGTTCTTCAAGCTGATTTCGAGTTTTCTAATCGCGACGAATATTGGCGCGTGTACCGTTGATTCTAAACGATACGTGTAAATAAAAATTGAACTCGGTTTCGAATCAAAGACACTTAGCAAAACAGCTGGACGGAAAAGGTGAGACTTTCTTCGAAGGAAATCACAACCGCAAAAGAGGGAAAGAGGAGTTGATGCAGATTTATTTGTTGGGAGAATATTATGTAAAAAACTGAAGGGATAATTTAAAAAAAATTAATGATAATAAATAAAGTTCGAATCACATGTTACACACGCTACAAATATAATTTTAATTAGATCAAATTAGAATCACCTAACATTTTAATTAATCGCTTCGTTTTCTCACATTGAGCAAATGTCGTGCATACACACACACACACACACACACACAATGAGTCGGCGCTATCACAACGTGATAAATCGGATGACCGGGTTTCAGGTACCGCGCGGTCCGCATCGGCCGGGAAAGGGGGCCTACTGGGCGTTGCATCCCGCTGCCCTGTCCATGTTCGAGAACGGCTCGCTTCTTCGCCGACGGAAGCGGTTCAAGCTGCACAAGCCGGACAAGGAACTGCTCAAGTCCGAGTTGCAGGCACTTGCGTCGGCGATGCCGCCGCCGTTGCCGCCGCCGCCGCCGCCGCCGCCGCCACCGCAGCCGCAGCCACAACCGGAATCGGTCGCTGCGACCGGCGGGATCGTCGACGCGACCTGCCCCGGCAACGGCCTCAGCCTGGCGAACCTCCACCGTCTGCGGGACGATCTCCTGCGATGGGAGATACAGGAGAGACGGATGATGGTGACCGCGTCGAACCCCGGTGACTTCGCCGCGGCCAGCTTCGGTCGATTCGACGGCGCCGCGACCGGACTGCCGGGCGCTCCCACCGCCCCGGAAGCGGTCACCGCCGGCTACTATCTGTTGTCACCCGAAGTTCGGCAGAGACTAGCGGGCGGCGCCGCCGTGGCTGACGGCGGCAACGACATCCTAAGAACGTACGAGGCCGCCGCGTTGCTGCACTCAGCCGCTTCCTGGAGCTTCCCCGGCTTCCCAACGGTCTCGCCGTCGTACGCGCAGCTGCCGTATCTTCAACAAACCGCGAGTGGCAGACAAACCATCCACACGACACGGGAGATCCGGGACGAGCGTCGCTTGTCGAACGATCGCGCTCTGGAGAACGGCGGGCCGGTGATCGCGACCGGTCGAGAGAGCGAGACAATTTTCACGGGTGAGAACACTTACGAGATCACGGCCGGCTACACGCGCGACAAGCTCGCCGAAGAGGAGCCGCTCTCTTCGTCCTCGTCCTCCTCCTCGTTGTCCCGGATAAACCTCTATCGCAGCCCCGCTTCCGTGACCGTCGCCTCCTCGCCGCCGCCGCCGCCGATGTCGCCCACCTCGCCGAATTCGCTCGCGTCCAAGTCGTCCTACCGTCACCTGTCGCCGATCTCCAGCCTCGCGGTGGAGGTCGAGCGCACCCAGTTGCCTTCCTGTCGCGAGGACTCGGGTGCGACGGTCGTTCTGACCGCGAACACCGAGAAGAGGGTGAAGAAACCGTTCACCATCGAGAACATCATCGCGCCGGACGACAACAACGAGAGCGGCGGTGACGGTCCTGGCGACGAAGAGGCTTTGAGACTGTCGGACGAGTCGGTCGCGAAAAAGTCGTCGCTCCTAGTGCCGAGACCACTTTACGCCGGATACACGATGTCGATCGCGACCACGGGCGTTCAGAGGCCTTCATACGGCACCGCAACCTGAAACACAGACGTCGTTCTGTCCCCGTCGTTATCGAACGAAACAATGCGACAGTCATAAAGACGTTTGAAGGATATATCTTTCTCCCTCAAGACATCCTTTTGGCGTCTTTGCCGCGTCCCTCGGACGTATTATTGCGCATATATACACATTCCGCCCTTCGCTTGTCTAACATTCCTTCAGGAAGAAAACGAGCAAACTACTTCTCGCTCCTCTCCACGCGAAACGAGACAATTTCCACCAGCCTCGCGCGAAACGCTCGCAAATCTCCGTTTCGCGAGAGTGTGAGAATTTAATTATCCGTTCTCTCGAAATTTCTTCGAGTGAAATCTCGAAGAGCGATAGTGAAAATGCCCCGCCACTCGTGATTGGTGCGGAGAACTCGCGGAAAGTGAAACATGTCACTCGTGAATAATTTGTATTATTGCAAAAAAACAAATGTCTATTCTTGTAACCTTAAGTTTCTCGGGTTATAGTTCTGGTGTTAACTCGTTAGAGAAAGAACCGTTGTGTAAAAGGACTCGGAACAAGAATCGAATTCGGAATTTCCGCTTGCTAGGCCGGTGCTCCACTGATTCAACTGCCGAGACCCTCGACAGTTGCTACTTACAGCGAATGTGCTCGCGCGTTCGCTCTTGAATGATATAATATTCGAGCGATTTACTCATTTTCTCTCGAAGAAATTCAGGGAGATGAGATTAGACGAGCGAAGGGATATAATACACACGAGAACACGTCGAAGAGAATCCCCGAGAATTTTCTTTGGTAAATTTTAGTTGACGTAGAAGAGACGGATTTCTAAAAAAAAAAACCTCTGCCGTTTTCTTCAGAATTGATGTTGGTTTTTTTTTTTGACGAAATTGTGAGAGGAAACAATCGCGGATTCCTTTCGACTCGACGCGATCCAGTTGCATGTAATTGCTGCGAATCTTTTGTTCAATTTGTCGCGAATCGACACGACGCGGACGTAGATAAGCTGCGTGCAACGTTAAACGTTTGCAAAATTTTTGTATGAATTTCCACGTCATTCGTTTGTCCGCGGACATTTTTCTGTCGTTCGAAAATCGAATTTTCTCTGAAAAAGGTACGTAACAAACATTCGATTAAGTTTTCTCAAATATCTCGAAGTTGATTCGAACGTTTCGATGTTGTACCTCTTCTATCGCGCGCGATTAGGTTCTTTAATTTAAAAACAAAAAAAAAAAAAAAACCACGTAGACAAATGACGCGAAGATTTTGCAAAAATTCGTGCAAAGCGTGTCACGCAGCCGGGCGTAGAGAGATATCGCATAGGTGACGTTAGTTCCTCGTTTTCGTAAAAAATACCGTCTTCTTGTCGGGTCCGCTTTGCCGATACCTGGCTATTGTTCGCGCCGAGAGTTGCGCGCTCGGGTCGCGAGAGATATAACTTCGACCGCGAGTAATAGTTTAACTAGAGTCGCTACGGGCTAATCTGCGGTTTTATCTACGGACACGCAAAGACGATCAATCGGTTATATTGTCGACTGCGACACCGAACGGACGGCCGGGTCGCGACATCGGTGTAAAACGCGAAGATAACGATTCTAAACGTTTTGCGCGATGTTTTGTCGCGGCTATTTCCGTCTGTATAATTAATTATAGAGGATCTCTCTTCTCTTTCTGTTCCGAATGACCAGAGGCGCGATAACATCGACGTTACATCGACAATACGCGCTTCGACGTTAGTTTTTTTTTTTTTTTTTTTTTTTTTTTTTTTTTTTTTATTATTTTAACTAATTGGAATGTTCTATACAAAAGGAACGCGCAGATGTCAATTTTAACCGCCGCTAAATGGAAAGATACACAAAACATGTTTTCGGAATATTTACACTGAAGAGAAAGATCGTGTGCTATTCAAAGGTTTAACGAGCTGTTTCATTCGTCTCTATAAACTACTAAAAACACACACACACACACACTTACACAGCGAACAAACAGTAAATATGCGTTACGTTTATGATATTTGTTTACTTGTTCTTTTTTTTGTAAAAATGTAAATACGTTTATTATTTAGGGTTAGTGTGTGACTAACTTATTAACGATTTGAGTTCTTAAGAGCAATTCGAGATTGCGCTGGTCTTTTAAGAAGTAGATTTAAGATGTACCTTGTTGATGTAAATTTAGTTTTTACAACACTGTGTATTATTTGATATACAAACACGTGTTTCGAAATAAAAATTTTGAAAATCCAATATTTCGATTCCGAGGCGAATACAACACGAAACAAAAAACGAATACAATAAAATTCGCTCGACTCCTCCTTTTGTATAGAACACGTCCAATTAACGATATTCCCGACGTGAGATGTGATGTGAAATCTCGCGCAGCGCATCGACTCACATACATTTCTGTTGCGAGATCGAAATACTAGACAGAAGAGAGATATCCCGCGATTCCCCCCCCTCCCCCCCATTACGTAATAATCCGTCGAATAAATTATTCGAAGCCTTTGCACTCTTTCATGAAGAAGAGGCTGCTCTCGTTTTAAACACATTCGTATGTGCATTTTAGTGCATTCCCCATCATCTAATAATATTCTGTACTCATAATCTCGCTCGCGCGAGACCGATTTGTAAATGTAGAAGCGATTCGTAGCGAAATAAATTATTGTATATATATATACAACGGTAGAACAACGACATACAGACGAGTGTTGTTATTTTTTTCTCACTCTCTTTACCGAGAGAACACACAATCCCTCTGATCATTCTCCCATCTCTTGACGTCATTCAACGAGAATAGTACGCCGATAGTTTCTACGTGACTAAAAAAATTTCTTGCAATTTCGACGACGTCTTCGCAAACCGGTAAACATCTTGCGCCGATTACGTGTTTCTGACATTTCGAATATAAATATAAACGAATAGAAATGTCAGTGTTTCAATTTTGTAATGTAAAAAATTTATTGTAATTTGTTTTATGTAAATTTTTTTTCTCTCAAGCGCATGCGAACTTCGCAATCTCCTCGTGTGCCGCATATAACGCACTTTGCAAATTGGATAAAAAAAAACTACTGCAATATTTTACGCGAGATGTTGCACAAAATTTCCGATAGGTAGTATATACACTTAAGAGAATCTCCTCTCTCTTCTCTCTTTCTTCCTCTTACATCGTAGTCTTATAAGATTTTCCGCGCCGCAACATATGGCGAGCAGATTAAAATCCCGGGTGTCTTCTTCCTTTTTTTTTTTTTTTGTTCCTGCCTGTTCATGATTCTCCTGGGAGAGATGATTGTTTTGGCACGAGGTAACTCACTTGGAAGTAACATGGCTATATTAATCATTATACTCGGTGTATTATAAGTTATAAGTCATGTTTGGCGGTCTCCGCTCGTCGTCCGCGGGAGAACACACACGTATACGTGGGTACGGGGGTACAGAGGCGTGTGTTTGTCAATTAAGTGGAAAAACGTGTTGATTTCACGCATGGCTCGGGATTACGGGCACAATGGAGATTGTTTAAAAGCGCTTTGTTGTCGGGAATGGGAAGCGCGGACCACCGTGCCGCGTTGAACCGTGGCCGCGACCCATCTCGACGTTTTTTTCAAACGGAGGTATACCGGTTGCCGCCTTTTTCTGCGCTCTCTTTCCATGGGAGTCCGCATGGCGTGCGTAATAAAAAGGATTATCCGTAATTTCTGCCTCTAATGGGGACGGGGGAAGATTTAATAAGGACTACCTCGGCGAGTCACGCTCGTTGGTGGGTCTTGTTGCGTCCCGCGCGATATATACACACAAAAAGAGAGAGAGAGAGAGTGAGTAGCGTTATACACTGCGAAACACAGTGTAACAATTCTTTCGATTATCCCCTTCGTATCGTAAATACGGGTCATTAAACATAAGGAGGAGATTTGGAATATTTTATATATATTTGTGCGCCCTTCCTTCCTCCTCTTTCTCCGATGAAATCACTTAAGCGAAATGCTTAGGAGAATCTCTTTTCACGAAAAACCAAAAAAAAAAAAAAAATCTCCCTAACAACAAGAAAGTATGTAATTCCTCACAGTTCGTGTCTGACAGAGAGTCGGTTTATTGGTAAAATTACAAATTGTTATATTTGTTTACGAAAAAAAAAGACTCGACAACGAGTAAATAACTACGTATATATATATGTACGTATAATTTTTAGATTTCTCTCTGTGCGTTGTCAAGTGGAAAATATTCGCGGCAAATAATATATCCGCGGTAAAATATACGTTCGTAATATTTTCAACTCGGTTACAGGAATGTGTTTCGGTTCGATAATGAAACAGAAGGAACGCGCGCGCGCGCGCGCGCATACACAGAGACACACACAAATATTCCCAATGAAATAACCAACTATCGGAAATATAAACGAATACGCGTACGAGATCATGCATGTACGCAAAGCAGCTAAATAATAATGGAGACACGATAGCGCACTATTACCACTTTCTATTGAGAGCGATTTATCGAGGGAGCGATAAAATTCAAACGACAGCGCATCGACCTCGCGCGATCAATCATTAACGCTCCGCAACTACACGAATCGATTATCGTTAATAAAGCTCGTTAAGGCAGTGCTCGGCAAACAAGTCGGTATAGAGTATAAGGTGGTATAGTCGCTCGCCTAGAGGTCACCCGGACTTACCAGCGCGGTAATCCGGTTTACGTCAACTTGTACAGCAGCTCGATTTAACGTGCACCGACCAACGTGTATACGCTATGAAATATTTAGACAAGAACATCACGAGCGAGACGCGACGAACGCAATAGCTGCTGGATGTACTTTATTTCTCTTCCTTTGCATGTTGTGTGGATGAATATATACCTACCTGCCTCTGCCTACCTACGCTCAAGTGGGTAGCAAAGTGACGACGTCAAAACGCGACGTCCGTTTTGCTACTTGTGAAGTAAATTGAAAACAATGTAATATAAAATTGGTTTTCAGAAAACCCAGGTCGGAAATTGGTTTATTTACTTTTTGAAAAATTTGTTACGTGAATAACGATTGAAAAGTTTGTTTGAATAAAGCTGGTGGTTACGAATTAGTTTTGAAATTAACTGGATCAGAAAATAGCTAATTTTTTTGTATATATATATATATATATATATATATATATATATTCTATATTGTGTGTATGATACAAAACATATATAAATTAGCTGCTGTTTTCTCATCGATTTTTTAATTTAAGTTCTCTGACTAATTTGCAACCAATCTCATCTAAGCAGACTTTTGTGTACATTGTGTGTAATAGAATATTATAAAAATTGGAGCGCGCGTGCAGGAAGATCGAAGAATCAACGTCGAGAGTCGTTTATCCGATTAAAATTAGCAGTGGGATTACGAATGCGTGTGTGTGTGTGTGTGTGTGTGTGTGCGCGCGTTTTCTCTCTCTCTCTCTCTCTCGGGTCATTATTTGTGCCATTATGACGCGGGCCGAAAGCAAGGACTTAACAAGGCTTCGAGCAAATTCATGCTGCTGCAAAGAAAAACGACGAAAGAGCCGAGAGAAGATCGAAGCCCGTGGTGGTGTGTACGTGCCCCGGCCGGAGCGGGGATAGAAAGGGACAAACGGAATTACCTCCCCGCCTCTAACCCCTCAGTCCTCTCGTTGCCTTCGCGCGCGCTCTTTTTCGCTCCTTTACTTCTCTCCCCGCTCTCTTACAAGCTGTTCGTCTTTTATTGAAAGCGACGCGGCCGTGCTACGTGACTCGGTGATAACGCACTCTCCGTGCGATACATTGTGCAAATCGACGAAACCCGCTCGTTACTAGGCAAACATATCGACTATGAGGCGAATGGTGTAAAGACTATCTGCTTTTCAAACGTGCGTATATATAAAATTTTAAATCACACAAAAACACAAAGCGAATATTTGCAAAAACTAAGTACTTGAATAAACAATATATTTTCTACAAGAAATTATCTTTTGTTTTTTTTTTAACAATCAACTTTTTCTCGATTAATCCTGAATTTACGGATCTTTGACGTTCATCCTTTGAATATTTCTTCAAAATTTGTCAAATTACGTAAAATTGCTTCTTTTGTTAAATAAATTACAGGACGTATCAACAGACACTCGAAAAAGGATAACAGAATTTTTGCAAAATATTTCTGATGTCTTGAAGTCGTAACGCGTCAGAAGATTCACTTTTGAGTGACCAATAAAAAACGGTTCAGGATTAAGATTAAAAAAATTAACAGTCTATATGTTTTCAACGTACTTATCAAAGCAAAATATATTAAATATAGCAAATGTACCAAATGCAAAATTTGCCCGATCGTCCGGAGCAGCCGATCCTCGTCAGCTTTAATATGCGTGTCTAAGTTCCATGTTCGAGATGTATGTACAATATACATACAATATATATTTTGAATTGGCATTGTATAGAGTTCGTTGCGCTTTCGCGTTCGCGAGTAAACAAAAGGCGCAACGGAAGCGACGGAAACCTCAAATGGTCCGACGGAGAAGGAGAATTCGCCTAATTTCGTCGCGGCACGCCACGGCCGGTCTTTCGATCCTTTGTAACTCTCTAAGAGCGCGGGATTCCTCTCTGAACTTCGCCACCTCGAAGGCGCGAGAAAACTCATCTCGCCGACCACGCACGTTTAAACGCTCCGCTTCAACTTTCCACTCGAATGATTCTTTTGTTTTTTTCTCAAACGTTGTAATAAATTATAGTCGTATTTTTCAGGATTCTTGTTTTTTTTTCAACATTCTTCTCTCAATTATAAGACAAATAACAAGGTCATTAAGCGAATAGGTTTTTGCAATGTAAATTTAAATGAACTTTCGAGAATTTTTATCTCCAGTCTCGGTTTTTTTTTTCTCATTTAATATTTCGCTCAACGCGATGAGAAACAGAGTTGTTGAAACGCGACACAATCGACTCCCGGAATTACAGAGATCCCCGTCGACGATTATCCTCGCGGGATAGAAATCGGTCGGAGTCGATATCTCTCAGGGAAACCGTGTGTTAGAGGAAACGAACGAAGAGAAGAGAGCTCCCGCTGCGGGGTTTTCGGTATGGGATTCTGCGGCGCGTTCGAAGACTCGCAGAAGAGAGCTGGGGAGAGAAGAAGCCTTCGCAGCCCACCTCCGGGGCCCGCCGCCGCTTCTCTCCCGGCCGGGGAGGATGTGCGAGAGAGCCTCGGAGGTAGAGAAGACAAAGATGAAAAGATGAAAGGCATCCCGCCTTCAGCCACCGGCCGAGCCGCGGCGCGTTGCTCCTGCCGTGGTGCAAGTCTTCTCACTCCTCATCTTCGTTGCGCTGCTCTTCGCGCGCTGGCGCGCGGTGTCTGGTCATCAACACCTGAATATCCCAAGAGCGTTTCTTCCCTCTCGACTTCGCCGCTCTCTTTCTCGCTCTCGCTCTTTCCCTCTCCCTCTCTCTTTCTCGCATCTCCTCTTTGTTCCTCGCGCCCATTTCGTTCCCTCGTCCGTCGCGTCTAGCCTTAAGGTACTTCGGGGCCAGTTTCTCTCTACCTCTATCCGAGGGGGCCTCCTTCGCCCCCTCGACACCCTCAGAAACGTTCCATCTCTCACGCGTACACACGCACGCGGATCGCGTACGGATTCGATTCGTGCGCGTCACACATACGCACGCATCGCCGCTTT